TAAAAGGAATGGGAAGCAATCAATTTTGGATGATTTGAGTGAGCAGGATATGGATTCTGATGACAGTTTTGGGGATTCTGATGAATTTGATGAAGGTGTGGGATTTTCCGATGAAGAACTTGAAGATGAGGAAGAGGAAGGAGAAGAGGATGAAGGAAGTGGGGAAGAGGAAGAGAATGAAGAGTTGAAAGAAATTAAAGGGAAGAAAGGAGATCCGGAGGGTGTCGACGAAGATGAAGAAGAGGAAGGTGATGAACTGGAAGTTGGGGAGGAGGATGAATTGGAAGGTGAAGAAGAAGAGGAGGGAGAAGAAGATGAAAAGATGAGTAAAATCAAAGTGAAGGAGGGAGGTGTCGATGGTGTCGATGAAGAAGAAGAGGATGAAGAAAATGAAGGTGATGAATTGGAGGATGAGGAGGAGGATGAATTGGAAGATGAAGATGATGTTTCTGAAAAGGATTCGACTAAAGGCGAAGTCATTAAATTCACTGGGTTTAAAAATGAGGATCAAATGTCTGATGAGGATGATGAAATGGAAAGTGACCACTCTTCTGAAGAAGATGAAGAGAATGAAACAAAGAAAGCTTCTAGACGGTTTTTTTAAATTAATATTTAAATTTAAGCTTTGTTTTAAGAGAAAAAGTTAAAATGAGGAGAGCGGCTATAAAAGCGTCTGAATCTAGAACTGTTTTTGTTGGAAATGCGCCGGTGAAAACGCAACAGAGAGAACTTCGAAAATTGTTTAAGTTCGTTTTTTTGATTTTCAAAATTTTTGGTTGGATGCCGTGTTGGTCTAAATGTTTTTTCGTTTTTTGTCCGCAAAAATTTTTTTTGTCCGCAAATTTTGTCCGCAAAAATTTTTTTGCGGATTTTTCCAATTTATTAATAAAAATTTTTTCCTTTAATTTTCAAGGACTTTTGGCGAAATTGAAGCAGTCTATCAAAGAACTCATCTTCAAATGACCGAAAAAATGACAAAGATGATGATGAGCAAGTATCCGGAAATATCAGATCGATTAACTTCCACAAATTTTTATATTCGCTATGTGAAGGATGAACATGCGGAGAATGCAGTTAGGGCAATGAATGGTACAAGATTAAATGGGCATGTTCTTAGAGTGACTGTTGGTGCAAAAAAGGATGTTGATCACAGAAGGTTCGGAAATAAAATTTTATTTTGGCTCACAGCAGCTTATGAGTCCAATCGCACTTTTGCTGGTAGAAACAATGCTAACTATCCGCAGCTAGAGATATTTTTATGAATTTGAGTCTGAGTTTTGTGCAGCAAGCTTTTCAACTATGAAGAAAACTCATACTCAAATGCCTGAAAATATCTCTAGCTGCAGGTAGTTAGCATTGTTTCTACCAGCATTTATGAGTCAATTCAAAATGTTTGGGTTTTTCTTTGTGTTTCAAAGTTGAGGTATGGTTCCAAAACATTTCTTTGGGTTCGGGAACGCCCAATGGGTCTGGGGCCGTTCCTTGCTATGTTTCGAGAAATTCTGGAAAGTTATAGCCAATTTTTAAAAATTTCGGAGAAACAATTATAGCTTCCCGAAATTTGAGGAATAGGGAAAGGAACAGTCTTAGACCCAGTGTGTGTAAGTCTTGCATATGAAGAAATGGTTTGGGGTCATACCCCACCTTTGCAACACCAAGAAAAATCGAATTCTTTTTTGATTGGACTCAAAGTCAAGTAGTGGCTATTTTTTCAAGCGAATTTTTTGAAAAATTTTATTTTTTTGATTTTTTTCCTAAAGTTTTCAAATAAATTTTTGAAGTCCACTTTATATTTCTTGCATATTTTTCAACAAATTTTCAGGTCAATTTTTGTTGGAAATATTCCCCATACAACACTAGACGAATCAGTTCGAGCTTATTTCTCTACTTGTGGCAAAATTTCTGCTCTACGTTTACTTCGAGATAAACAGACAGGATTGGTTAGAGGATCTGGTTTTGTTGAATTTGTTGAGTCTGATTCTGTCCAAAAAGCGTTGGAATTGAATAATTTGCCTTTTGAAGGAAGAAAATTGAGAATATCGAAAGTTTATAAAAAGAATAAGGTTTTTCTTTGAAATTTTTTTTGTTTAAAAATTTTTTTAAGTTGGAAAAGATTTCAATTAAAAATGAGAAGAAAAGGGAGAATTTGAAGAGAAAAATGCCTAAGGTGCCTAAAGGAGCTGAAAAGTAAGGAAATTTTTTTTTTAATTTTATTTTAAACTGGGGGAATTTAAATCAAGAGATCTGAGCGTCCGTACTAACGATATTTTTCGTTATTTATCGATATTTTGATTAGTAGTACGTACGGAATACGGGACTTAGCAAATTTCGGTCACTAATTTAAAGGGGTAATTTTTGGAAAATTTGCATATTTTTGATTAGTGGTAATTTAAATAGAGAGATCGGATCGTGCCGTACTACTAACGGTATTTTTCTGTATTTATCAAAGTTCCGATTTGTAGTACGATACGGAATAGGTTCTATGAAAATTTCGGTCTTTAATTTAAAGGAGAAAATTAAGAAAAAATTTTTTTTGATTAATTAAATTTTTTTCAAGTTTTATGGTTCTCAAAAGAGGAAGATTCGAGGGAAATGACATTTTCAACAGGAATAAAAATAAATTTAAGGAAGAGAATAAATTAAATAATAAAGCCAATAAAGAAGAAGAAAATATTAAAAAAGAAAAGAAATTTAATAAAAATAAAATTGTGGACAATAAAATTAAAAAGGGTAAAAATTTAGTTTTAAAGAAACAAAAAAGTGGAGGATTGAAGGGAAATAAGAAAAGAAAAAGTTTAATTATTTAAATTGAAATTTGTTTTTAAAATTTTGTTTATTGTTATATTCTTAAAATATTTTTTATAAATTTATTTTATTTGTTTTTTAAATTAATTTTAGTAGGGTTTTTAACTTTAGGTAAGAATTAAACTTATTCTTGCATAAGTTCCTTATTCTTAGCTTAAGTTTGTAAACTTAAGTTTTCAAGTTTAGGCTTTAAATAAACTTTATCTTATATTCAAGTTTATTTAAAAATTCCAAGTTTTTAATTGTTTAAGGGAAATTAAAGTTTGTATACTTAAGTTTTTGAGTATGAACTTTATTTTATGTTCAAGTTTATTTATTCTATTCTAAATTTTTAATTGGTTAAAGGAAATTAAAGTTTGTAAACTTAAGTTTTCTTCAAGTTTTAATTTTATTATCTGCTCAAGTTTATTTAAAATAGGTTGTAAACTTAAGTTTTCAAGTTTTAATTTTTGTATTTTTTAGTCAAGTCTATTTAAAAATTTAAAGTTCTTCCCCAAATTTATATTTTTAAGTTTGTAAACTTTTTCCCTTGAAATCTCTCGATACATATTATTAATTTCTCAAAATTATCTCTAAAGATTTTATATGTTCTACTGCAGCTCTCAACAATTTTAGTTTAGAAACACGTCTTTTCCTTCCTCTCATTTGTGGCAAACATGCACGTAGCATTAAAAATGCCTTAAAAATTTTTTTTTAATTTTTTCAAAAAAATTTTTTTTGAATTTTTAAGGGGTTTGGATTTTCAAAAAAATTAAAATTTTTTTTTTCAAATACCCCAACTTGCCTTATTAACATAAACAACACGTTCTCTTTCACGTATATTTTTTAAATGTGCTCTCCTCAGTTTGCGATGATCTGTTATTTTCATTTTTAATAAATAGAAGGGGGGAGGAAAAAATTAATTTTAAGCCAGGAGAAAACTTAAGTTTGTAATCTTAATAAACTTGGAAGAATACTTTTAAGCTTATTATTAATAAAATTTGCTTTGCAGGTGTGCGCTTTCTTGCCAATAAAATTTTACCTTTCCCTTTTCAAACTTATTATTTTGCCAAGTTTGAGAATTCCATTAAAACGGCCATTAAATAAAACCAAAAATGCCAATACTTTTATTAATTTTTTTACAAAAAAATTTTTTGAGGGAAAGTGAAAAATTGAAAAAAAATATTTAAAAATTACGGGAAAATTAAAAAATCGATTTTACAATATTAAGAACACTTAAAGTTTTGAATTAAGTTCAAGCACAATTAAAGATACCCCTCCAATCTTTTTAATCCGTTCTCTTCAATCCCAAAAGTCTCAGTCGAAGGGAGTAACTGATTGTGAGTCCGACTCAGGGTGGCCTTTTTACCCTATTTATAGAGGATTTTCCCTATTTTTTATCTTTTCGCCCTATTTTTTCCCTATTTTATACATTTGCCATATTTTGCCCTATTTTTAACATTGTGTAATATTTCTCAAATTTTCCAACATTTTTAAAAAATGCGAAAAAAACAAAGAAATTTGACTCTTGGGTTTTTTAATTGCTCGAAAATTTCGCCTGCGGCGCTAAATAAGGAAGAAATCTGGCTTCATACCTTCATAATTCTCAAAATTTTGCTAAAAATGGAGGAAATCTGACCTCTTAGAAATATAAAATTTGAAAAAATTTCCGCCAGCATCACGTACGATTGTCGTACAATAAAAATTGCAATTTTTCGAGATTCTAGATATTTCGTACGATTTCGTACGACACTCACAGTTCGGTCTTTAACAGAACTTTTCTGTTCGACTCCCGGTTCCGAATTTCGACTTTCGATTAAAAGATTTTTGAAACTATTTTCAATTTCGATATTTTATCGATTTACAATTTTTAAAATATATTTATTCATAAACGGCTTCATCCTGATCTGTTCAATTTGGTCAAAACTAGTGGTGAACATGCGGAATAAAGCTTTTTATTTAAAATTTTAATTATTTTTATGTTTTTTTTAATAATTCCCTACTTTTTGCCCTATTTTTGACCGATTTCGCCCTATTTTTGCCATATTTTCGAGTGGCTGCGCCCTATTTTAGAGGTTTGGAAAAGGCCACCCTGGTCCGACTGTACTCCAGTTTCTCTATTTCATTGTAAAGGTATTATTAACAGATATTCGTGCTCCGCTCAATACCTTTCCCCTTTGTCTGTCTTTACAAAAGTAAGATCGAGGTAAAAGTTTAATTCCGGGCAAGCTTCGATCTTGCGACCTCCTGGCAGTTATTGCTAGTCGATTTCGCTCACCACGTATATAGCTGCTCTACCAATTGAGCTACCGGGACGCTGCCTTCACCTTTCTTAAAACCCCGACTAGTGAGCGTTTTAAATGCTGGCCAGGTGGATCTTTCTCTTCCTTATGCTACGGTTACATAAAAATCGCGCGCGACACGCGACAGAAAAGATAATGTAAAAAGAGGAGAGAAAAATCGCGCGCGATTTTGTCGCTTTTTTCTAGTGGTTACATAAAAAGCGACTTCCGCCGGCGTCTTGTCGCGCGCGACTTTGTCGCTTTTTTGAGTGGTTACATAAACCGCGACTTCCGCCGGCGACTTGTCGCGCGCGATTTTGTCGCTTTTTCTAGTGGTTACATAAAATGCGATTTCCGCCGGCGACTTGTCGCCGGCGACACTTTTTTTGATTCAAACATGTTTGAATTTTCGGCGACACTTTTTTGCGACATGCTATTTTTCGATCAATTCTGATCCGATTTTCAAAATTTAAAAAGATTCTGAAAGTTCAGTTTATTCTCTATCGATCAATATAAATTTTATATTTTTAAAGCTAAATCTTATGGGTTAAAATTGATTTTGAAAAAGGTATACATTTTGCAAAAAATATTCTTTTTTTTCGATATTTTTGAGATTTTGAGTATACTATCGAGTATTTATATCATAATTTTTTTAACAATCGGTCAAAAATTCTGAATTTTTGATATTTTGTAGATCATTTGATTCTCTATCAAATGATACCAAAAACATGAAAAAGTGATCATTTCTTGATGAGTAGGGCCGTGCAAAAGCATGCAAATTAGAGGTCGGCAAAATCGCATTCACGGGATCCCAGAACTTGAGAACGGGTAATCCCGTTCTCAAATTTCCCTGGATCCCGCCGGGATTCCGGGATTTTCACAAAAAAATTTTTAAATTATAAATATGTTGAATATTGGCGGATTTGGAGACAATATCTGGATTTCGTCTGATTAACGGAGGAATGAATAGATATCAGAGGATTAAGTGGGATATCTGTGGATTAAGAGAGATTAAGAGTATTTGAATGCTTATATGTAGACTTAGAAGGATAACGGTATATTTGGAGTGATAAAGGATGATTTGAAGAACGGTGGGTATCTCCAAAATTCGACCGGGACGGGATCCCGCGGGATTAATCCCGTAAATCCCGGTAATCCCGTTTATCGCTAAAAACCCGGGATTCCGGGACGGCATCCCGTAAATTCCCGTACGGGGTCCCGTCCCATGCCGAGCTCTAATGCAATATATACACTATGGAAAATTTTCTTTAATGTACCTCGACCCCTATCTCCATGAATTTTTTATCGGAAAAATTGAGCCTGGGCTATCTTATAGTAAATTTTATGGACTTTCTAATGAGCCCAAAAGAAAATTTTAATATAAGCCCTGGGGGTTAAAATAATTTTTAAAGTACTGTACCCCGTTTTCCCGTTGATTTTTGTGATTTGAGATCTCCATGATGAAAACAGTTACGGACTTCGTTCTTTTTTATTTTCTACTCAGTACAGGGTGCGGCATAAGTAACCGGAGGTGCGTGCTAGTTGCTCAAGGAGGTGCGTGCTAGTTGCAAAAATTCCCTTCGCCTCTGGATCAAAGCCAAGGGTGGGCATTTCGAATCTTCTTGATTATTTTTGTTCCTTATTTAATTCTCTATCATTTGATTGTATTTTGATTTTATTTGATTGTGTTTTAATAAAGTTATGAGAGAAAACAAGTGTCCGGTTACTTATGCCGCACCCTGTATTACGAAAATGTTCACAGAATTTTTTTTGTATTTTTCCTGCCATTTGTTTTTCTGAAAATCCAATTTTTGCAAAGTGTATACCACTGGGCAAAATTTCTATATACCACTGCCACTGGGCAAGATTTCTGGGCAAGATACCACTGGGCAAGATTTCTTCCTTTTTTCCTAATTCTAGGATCCTAAAATAGTCCCAAATAGTTGACATTTTTTCTAAAATAGGTATATTGAAAATATCTCATGTCTTGTGGCAAAATACGAGATACGAGACCTCTAAAAAACACGAGATTTCACTAGATACGAGAGGAGCGCCACCAGCAAGTAATTTAAAAATGATGTACTACGAATTAAAAAAACCTGATCGGTACCATGGCAGAATAAAATGATTTGATTTTATAAATTTTATTTTAGTAAATATTCAAAAAATTTTTAATCGGATTTAGTGGTTACATAAAAATCGCGCGCGACACGCGACAGTCGCTAGGCGACATGTCGCCGGCGACAGTCGCTAGTGGCGTGGTTACATAAAATCAGCGTTTGTCGCTTTGCGACAGTCGCTTTTGCGGAAGACGCCGATTTTATGTAACCACGCCACTAGCGACTGTCGCCGGCGACATGTCGCCTAGCGACTGTCGCGTGTCGCGCGCGATTTTTATGTAACCGTAGCATTACACTAACGAGGGTTGCTCTAAAGTGTTGATTTTTGAAGTTTACAAAATTTAAATTAAAAAATAATTTCCTAATTTTCTTCCTTTTAATTTTTCTCATTATTTTTTTTCTAACCCCTCCCTTCAATCCCCTTCTTTATCTTCTCATGTGCCTTTCATTCATAAAAAATAAAGAAAAAAATTTATTCGGCTAATTTTTCTCTGTAATATTATCCCCCCTTTCCAGTCACTTCTTCAATAGCCTATCCTCTTTTTGATGACTTTTTTGTTGATTGGCCTTTTTGACCGGTCGGTAGAAGAATGCTTGAAGGAAAGAGATATGCTCTCCGTTCTTTTTTTAAGCACTCAAAGTCGGCTTTCTCTGTAAATTAATATTTTTAAAAAATATTTATTTTGGAAATTTTTTGATGGAATACCGCTCCTTTTAGACACAACAGAAAAATACTTGAATGGACACTGAGTGGACACGTGAAGAATTTTTTTAGATGAAAAGAAAGAAAATTTTCGTGAATGCCCTAGACTGATTAAATTACCTTTTAATGAATGAAAGGTTGAGAGAATTTTAAAAATTTCAAAGGAAAAATCGTTTAAAATAGTGTAGCACTCAGAGCCTTGGGGGTAAATTATTCTTTGTTCCAGGGCTGGTGTCTCTTTTTAAAGATAAAAGAGAACATGTAAATTCTTAATTTTTAACATTTGTCCCCTCCCCCCCCCCCCCCTCCCCACCATGGGACATGCACGGTTATAAAACATTCGAAACTCGGGCACACATCTTGGAAACAATCCAATTTACCAAAACTAAAAAACAATTCTAAACAATTTATTTACAAACTAATACACAATACAAACGACACAAAGAATAGGGAATGCAAACAATATATAGGGACATAGCAAAGGAACAATATACAGAATCTTATTTTTATATCTCAAGCGTCACCTTCAGAACTTCAGGGCATACAATATACTCTACACCATACTTCTCTTGTCATCAATACTGGCCCCGGGAAGCAATGGCTTATCGACGACTCTCTTTGACTCCCCATATTCAATCGCAGTTGTTGTTCCATCGATCACTTCGAACGGATTGATTTTCTTTTCCTGAAATATACAAATGATTAGTTGACATTCAAAAAATTATTATTCACCTTTTTCCAATCCTGGAAACTTCCAACGCCATCATATCCCTTTTTAGTCAATTCAGGAGCATATTCGCGATCGTAGATCTCTTTGTCCCTATGCTTCACAAACTCGTCTAGGAGGAACTGCAACTTGTCTTTGATCTTCTCCTTCTTTGCCCTATTCCACATTGCAACGGCCAATGTTTCAATCGGAACGCAATTGAATAGTGACCCCAAATCGTCCAACTTTTTCTGAAAAAATTGGGGAAATAATTTTTTTAGTGAATAGGTAGTTATAATTTCTAAACTCACTTCTTCTTTCCATGCCGCAAATGTCTTGATCTTCTCCCCAACTTGTGGTTCAGCTGAGTACACACCATACAGGTACTGCTCATACTTGGTACAGGTCATACATTCTTTTTCGCAACTGTGTTTTCTCTTCTTCCAGGACCGTGCGAACCATGCCAAGATTCCAATGATGATTAAGCCTTCAACAATAGCGGCAACCAAAATCAGATAAAACAGCCATCCTTTGGATTCCTCCGGATACTTGCTGTCCGCTGGATACTTTGTCGATGGTGATGAGATGTTTTTGACCGCAGATGTTGAAGTCTCTGGAGTTGGAGTCTGAACTGGATTCAAAGGACAAGGAGCACACGTTGTAGCCGCTGGTTCAGTCGGACAGATGTTTGGTGTCGGTGTAGTTGTCGTCGTTGTCTGTGGCGGAGGAGAGACAAACAGCAGCTCGTAGTATGTTCTGTCCTAAATTTAATAAATTTAATGAGGTTTTTCAAAAAAAAAGAAACTCACAAATTGGATGAAGAGATCACAATGCGGCCCGGGTGGTGGTTTACCCGCGAGGTTTTCACCATCAAATACAACAGACGCATTCAATGGAAGCAGGCTGAAGACGAGATATTCGCCTTTCAGATCCTTGTCTGTGATGGTCCATGTTTTCGGTTCAGCAATGGGCTTGCCCCCTAAAACGCAAGCAATATCCACATGATTATTGAATGTCTTCGGTCCGTCAAACTCCATCGTGAATTCACTTGCGCTCTTTAACGTCATGTTGAAAACGAGTATATATTCATCTTTTATAAGCCTTCTAGACTGCTTTATGCCCGGCTCAGCATCGCCAACTAAAATCAGAAAAATAAAAAAATTATTTTGTAATTATTGATATTATATATTTTTTTACCTAAACGTGTGTAAGCATAAACATCAGCACCTTTTTTGCTCCATGAGATTTCGAGAGGCGTCCACTGCAAGCACTTTCCTCCGCATCCACTTTTGCATCCTCCGTTGGGATTTCCGTTGAACTTCGTTGAACCCTTTCTGAGCTCTTGGATGACCTCATTGTTTTGGCTGTAGACGAACGGCATACTAAAAGGCTGAAATCAAATCTTTTCGTTGAATTCAAAACCTACATATTGTTAAAGCTATGCTGTACACTGCCACCAACATCAAGACATTTGAGCCCCATTCTTTTGTTCCTCACTCCAGCTGTGAACTTGATCTTATTGTTGTAGCCTTTGTTCTTGCTGAGCAAGTCCACATTGCATCCCGTGCTGTTGTAGTCGTACCGAACTTCACTGAAATAAGGAATAATTTTGCCTTTAAAAATTTTTACAAAGAAAAAAGCAACATACATGGTTTTGCTGTCGATCTTAACATCACATGCATTCGGGAAGCGCTTTCTGTACTCATCGGAGTTGAAGTTTGCCTCGTTAGCCTCGATGGTGTAGTCGACGAGCCTAACCTCCTTGCCAATCAATTTGTGATTGGCGACTCCGACGCTTCCGTCATTGTTGGACTGTCCGGGTACTTCAACCACGAGGAATGTTGCGATGACGAGCAGCAGCAAGGAGCACAGCGTTGACGACTTTCTTGTTCCAGGGCCGATGTCGAGGTCCATTGGAAGAAGGCAGCGGACCAGCATGGAGAGTGTTGTTGTTGTTTTTAACGTAGAGATGTGAAGACTGTTTTGTAGAAGTTGTTGTGAACGAAAAGAAAGTGGAGGCTTTTATAATACAAAAAAATTTATAAGAACTTAACCGTTTTACTATAAAAACTTGTAAGCCTCTAAGCATTCTATCACATGGTCTTCTGTTTTCGCTGCCGCTGTTGTTTGGTTCAAACTCGCTTATTTGCAAGGATGGCAATGCCGTTTTATCGTTTTGGACGTCCCATAGTGAACAGGCTCAAACACCTCTTGGATCGCTGCATTTTGAACTTCCCAGAAAGGACTACCTCAACTTGGCAAGCTGCTCGCAATAAAAAGTCAAAAAAGAAAAACAAAAGGAGGCTTTACAACCGTCGTGGAAGACACAACGTGACAAGCTCTAGTAAGTTTATTCAAATGGGTACAGCCCAAAACGGCGCGCGGCCATAACGGCGCAAAGCTATAACTTGGTGGAAAATGTCTGGCTCTTAACAATTTTGGTACCAATCTTTTCAGCTCGATGAGAGGAATCGTTTAATACTAAATTTGTTAAGATCAGGAAAATTTGAAACAAGTTATGGCTTTGCGCCGTTACGACTGCGCGCCGATCTTGGGCGTGTCTCGTTCAAATATCCTTCGCTTTCTAACTATAAATTTAACAAATTTTAGCGGGAAGCACAACTGTTACCACCACCACCACCACTTCTTCGTCTTCTTCTAGCACACATTACGAAAATATTCCAACTTTTTCGTCATCATCGTCAAATAATGCTCATCGAAGACCTTTGCCAATCAACGACGGTGTCTATTCCTTAATGAGACTTGGCGATTTAGTACGTGTGAGAAATCCAGAAGATGGTGTATCTGTTCCGAATACAGATGAAGACTACTATTATATAAGCAGCAATAGTGGGGAGGAAGATGGTGAGAGTCCTTAAAATTGCTCTACAAAACAATGAAATCTTCCTTCTTTTAAGATCAACAAGAGGTGACTACTGCTATAGAGTACAAGCAGTCCTGTCCAGGTCCTGGTATGAAGCAAGCTGTTAGTAATGTACGCAGATTGTCTGCTGTTCGGCAAACCAAATCTTGTGGAGACTTGCCTAATTTGTTGAATGCGGAGGATGACAATTCTTATGGTAGGGAGGAGAAAACCTCTGATTGAGAATTTGAATCTTTTTAGGTGAATATGAGGACGAAGAGAACGGGACAACCAACAACTATTCGAGTAGTTATTCAAACGATGCAGACGTGTCTGCATCTTGTGACGAAGAGGAGGATGGCTCTTTCTATTCTACTCGAAGCTGGGATAGTTATGGTGTGTTTTTAGGCTGATTAAATTGAAAAGTCCCCAAATTTTAGATCAATCTTCTTGCTCCGAATCTGTTTCATATTCGTCTTACTCGGAAGAAAGCAATGTCAGCTTCTCTACATCTTCTGCCACAACAGCTTTCTCGCTTGTTGGCAAAACTGTTCGTGTTGTTTCATTCAAACAGTCAAATATGCGACTTAATCCTGAGAATATTCAAGAGTCTAATGTAACCGAGGTGCCAAGATCTTCACAACACAAAGACGAGTCGTCTTCACAAGATGAGTATTTTGTGGCAACAAACGAACTGTCGTCCAATTCGTCGGAAATGTATTACTCTGATGCAGTCTCTGAAGAAAAGGTGGTAGATTCCATTAAATAAACTTGAAAATAAACTTAAGTTTACAAACTTAAAAAATATTCAAGTTTATGCGAATCAAGTTTGAACTTGAGATTCTGAAGACAAACTTAATAAACTTGAAAATAAAGTTTTAAGAGAAACTAAAGTTTACAAACCTGAAAAATATTCAAGTTTGAACTTGAAATTCTGAAATGACACTTAATAAACTTTAAGTGAACTTAAGTTTGCAAACTTGAAAATTTAAGTTTGAACTTGAAATTCTGAAGATAAACTTAATAAACTTGAAAATAAACTTAAGTTTGCAAACTTAAAAAATATTCAAGTTTGATCTTAAATTTTGAGAACAAACTTAATAAACTTGAAAAAAAGTTTTGAGGGAAACTTAAGTTTACAAACTTGGAAAATAAAAACTTGTAAATTGACCAACTCCTTTAATTATTAGGTGCCTAGATTAATGCCAGAATACAATCTATACAGTACGCAGCAAGAATTCCGAAATTGTGCCGTTGAAGCTTGCAATATGAACACATTTCTACAACTGATTGAATGTTCATTTCCTCAAGAATGGTTCGAAAAATAATTTTTATTTTTCATAAAAAAATTTTTTTTTCAAGCTCTGAACAAATTCTAAACAACTTATTCTTCGATTATCGTCAACTTGTATGTCAAAAAATGTGGGAAGAGGAACAACAACAAAAGCAACAAAAAGAGGAAATGAATAAAAGTAATGAAACTGATTGTGAAAATGAAAAATTGGATGATGAGAATGATGATTATTTTTGGTCATAAAGAAGGGATATATTGAAGGGATATATGAAGGATATGTCAAATAAATATATGTTTTGTACATGAATAAATTAGATAAAATTCTGAAATTGTCTTTTTTGTTCGTTCAGTTTTCTACTAACATTTTGTATTGTTATTGTAAATTTGGATGGTAAAAAATGTGTTGTTAATTTTTGAATGTTCGCTTTCAAACTAGAAGGCTTTTCTATAATTTAAAAATCTTTTTCTAGTGGACCTTTTTCAAGTTTGTAAACTTAAGTTTTATTTTTACTATAATTCAAGTTCACGAAGTTAGTCAAGTCTATTTTTGTTCAACAATCCTTTAGATGAATTTTTAGCATATGTAGTTCAAATCGGGGTAATTGCGAGCTCGGAATATTTTAAATATTGGATAGCTTAAATATGGTCTATCAAGACCAGAAGAATTTTGGAGAGATCTGTTGTCACTTCATAACTGATGAAGGTTAAGAGAATTTAAGAAAATTCATTATTGATGAAATGACGTTACATCCTCTAATATTCCCCTAATAGTATAGTACAAGTGGTTCATTAAACAAATTATGGCATGTTTGAATCCTTGAGAGATTTGACTAATAACATGTACCCTCAATCCACTTACTGTACCCTTCACACTACCCATTGTTCCCTACGCATTACTCTTCCTCCAAAAAATTATTTTGAATAAATCCAATAAATTTTACAAGTTTTTTTCTTCTGATTCATTCATTTTCTCACTTTATTTATGTCTTTATGGCCATAAATTTTGTGTAAAAAAAGAAAAAAATTCTTCCCAATGAAGAGCTCTAAAATTGGTTATTTAGTAGTTACACACTAACTTCCTTTTGTTTATTTGTCTATTTTCAAAAAAATTTTTTTTCTGGACTTCTGGCTCACAAAAAAATTATTTTTATATTTTTCTTTACTAAATATTCTTCTTTCCCTATTACCCCTTGATTCCTTTTTTTCTTAAAAAATTTATTTATTTTGTATATCCATGTGTTTTTATACTTGTCGTTGGCTAGGAATGGATTAACAAATTGTTTGAGGGAGTGAATTGGAAAAACTTAAAGAAACTGAAAAGTGATGACCAGAAGTATGTAAATAAAATTATTTAGGAAAAGTTTCAAGTGTTTTGATGAGAAATTTAAAAAAATTTCAAAAAAACAATTTTCCACCCACTCAAAACAGGACGTTTCAGTGCGCGGCTTATAACTCCTTAATAGGTGGGCTTTTTGAAACAATTTAAATTAAAATAGATAGAGAATTAAATTTTCTATAAAATAAGCTGTATAAAAAAGCTGGAAAAATTCTAAATAGCAATGAATCAGGCAAAAAATTTTTTTCAGTCTAAAGCCCTTATTCATGATTTTCAGAGCATGAATTTCAGAGCATGCGTTCCTATAGCCTATAAGAACTCAGCCCAAAAATGGCAAAAAATGATGGGAATTGATCTGAGAGCTCTCCAACGTATTGTTGTCTAACCACACAACCACCCCATCATCTACAGATCGTTTTAATTTTTTGCTTTTTGAAAGGCTGGGAGTAGGTTTGTCGGTTCTGGACCGGACCGAAGAAACGAACGATGATTTATCGGTTCGGATATCGGGTCGGTTCCGGATATCCGAAGATTTACCAAGAACCGACAACCTTAGCTGACAAGAAACACCGCAGAAGATAAATTTTACTTTAATTTGGATCATTTCTGATTCACACAACCACCACTATTTATTCGCTTACATAATTAAAAGACGTAGGACTAGGATCAAAAAATTTTTCTTTTTAAAGGGCGGTTTTCCTGTAAGACATTTCATCCCAAGCGCCCACTCTTTTATTTTTTAAGGATCTAAAGAGAGAGCCTACAAAAATTGAATGAGTGTATTTTTCAGCGAATAAGGAAAATGCGCGTCTGGCGAAGAAAAAAAAATTGTTTGAAGGGGCGTGGTAGTTGAGTAATAAACACTCTCTCCCCCAATTCACATCCATAAATCTACCGTTGCTGAATTTTAGAAATTGAACATTTTTTAATTTTATAAATTTTTTTATTATTGACTTAATTGATTAAAAAAATTTTTTTTGAAATTTTCTGGAGCTGTGCGGTCATATGATCCAACGATTTTTTGTTGGTATTAAAGTAACTTGAGTTGGTCCATAAAACAATAACCACTAGGCTTTTACCTTTTCTCAATTCAAGAAAAAAATTTTTTTAATTGTAAATTCTCATCAAGTCCCCTTTCATTTACTAGACTTGTATGACTAACCAAATTCTTTTAAAAATGCCGCGTGAAAACGTGCAGTATCATTAAAGGAATGTGAATAAGAATAAAACAATTAAAATACAAAAATCACACTCTACCAAAAATATTTTTTTAATTCATTTACATTAATTAAAATATAGTTAGCAGATTTTTTAGTAGGCCACTGGGCACGGGAACTCCCTAGGTGATGCACTCTAATTAACATCATACCTTAGCGATACCTTCTATTTAAGAAACACCCCATTATAAGGTACAATAAGATAGTCTCTTATACTGAGAAGTACCTCTATTTAATGTACACCTCTATTTAAGCTATTTACTGTAAACCTCATTATAAGGCCCCAAGGGTATCTTATGCCTTTAATAAAATCAACATTTTAAAAATTATTCACTTGCTCTTTGGCCTTTTATTTTTCATTAAAGCATTTTTTTATTTTTCTATTCAATTTTATTCACCAAAAAAATCATCAATTTTTGTCTATATCACATAATTTGTTTGTCTTTTATTTTTGTTTGATTTCCTCATTTTTTCTTTTATTTTTCCATGCCATACCGATCATCTCTTAACTTTATTTTTTTATTTTTTTGTCGGTGTCGAAGGTTAAAAGACTCTTGAGCATTTGTTTTAAGGCTTAAAACTAAGGGGGATTTGACTGCGCGAGAATGAAAGAAAAAAAGAAAAAAATATTTTAGAGAAGAAAAATAATTCCTAGAGCAACCTGAGAACCTTTTTAAATCGTTAAAATGATTCTCCCTTCTTTCCATCTGTTTTTCGGAACAGACTTGTGGAGAAGAAAGGTAAAAGGCGGAAAATGAAAAATCAAGCACTTGCTGCGCAAACAATAAAAATTGAAGAAAAAGCTTTTTTGAACACAAAATAATAAATAAATAAATATATAAGAGGAATGTCAAACGTTAAATATTTCTTCCATCTTTTTTAAAGCTTAAGTAAAAATCATTATATAAAAAGCATGCGTTCTCAATCTTAAAATTTGGCTTTTTTTAAAGTGATTACTATATTTTTTATTAAATTATTTTTTCGCAAACATGACTTTATCTAAAACTTCTCAAGCTTGATCTCAAACTTGATAATTACAAACTTGATTTTTAATTAAACTTGAGTTTCAAACTTGAATTAATTTTAAGCTTAAACTTGAGCTTAACTTAAAGTTTTAAGCTTAAACTTAAATAAACTTGATTTTTTAAGTTCCTTTTTTAAACCTAAGTTTACAACTTAATAATTGCACACTTAATTTTTAATAAACTTGAGTCTCAAACTTGAATTAAGCTTAAGCTTAAACTTGATTTTTTTAAAGTTTCTTTTTTCAAACTTAAGTTTTACAACTTGATAATTGCACACTTAATTTTTAATAAACTTGACTTTTCTTAAAACTTGACTTTTCTTAAAACTTTATTTTTACAAACTTGATTTTTCCCAAACCTTAAGCTTAATCTTAAATCTTAATTAAACTTAAATTTATATTATGTTTATATTTTCTGTTGGTATTCCTTCCCAAATCCAAAAATTCTTTTAATTTAAATTTTTTCCCTTTTTTAATTTTCACATGATTTAAAATCACACAATTACTAATTAAATAATTCTTTTGTCTAATTTTCCCTTCCTTTACCCACAGAAGCTGATCAAAAGCCACCTTCCTTCCAATTACTCATTCTCCCATTATTTTTAATTTTTCTTTATTCTCTCAATTAAAGCCTATTTTTCTCTATCACAACTGATCAGACAACAACATTTTTATTTTCCCTGACATACTCGTGCCCCTAAAGTCTATTTATTGGTATATGAGTGTGTGTGACATTTCGTCCCACAAAGCTATTTTTCTTTTTTTTTTCAGAAAAATTTATTTTGGGCTTCTGCCAAAACAAATCTTCTTTCTAATCACCCTTTTCATGAAAAAAATATTTTTCTTTTTTTTCCCTTTTAACACTTTCCTGCCCCTTTCCCCAATAGCCTTGCTTGCCTTAAGGGGCTAGCCTTGCTTGCCTTAAGGGGCTCTTATTAGGCGGCTACTTTTCCCCCCCTTCCCTCCCTCCTCTTGATTTTCCCGTGATTTTTGTTTTTGTTTTTTTTAAACGATTCCCCCTCCTCCTCCTTCTGTCCATTCCTTATTTTTACATTAACTCGATCTGTTTACATTTTTAAATGTTTTCTTAACGTGAAAAGTTTCGAGGGGAGAAAATGTTACTTTTAAACATTACATTATTTTTTATGTTTTTAATAATTCTTTTTTTTTCTCCTTGATTGTCTAGACAATAAAAAATGTAGTATAGAATCAAAACATAAAACAGAAAATATATAAAAAGTGATTGAGAGCTTGTTTGGGGTCAGCTGGTAAATTTTAAGTATTTTCGGGGTTTTCTGATTTTTTCTGAATTTCTGGTTTTTTCAGAATTTCTGTTTCTGATTTTTAAAAATTCTGGTTTTTTTGTTCGTGATTTTTTGAATTTCTGATTTCTTCTGATTTTGTTCTGATTCTGCTTTTAAAAAATTCTGATTTTGTTCTGATTCTGATTTATAAAATTCTGATTTTTTTTGATTCTGATTTTTCTGAATTTCTAATTTTATTTTCTTATTCTGATTTTTTTCTGTTCTCTAAAACATGTTTCTTTTCGTACATTGTAAAATGCAAATATTTCCTATTACTCTAGTGTCTCCACTACAGTATACCTTACGCGCTTGCCAACATTTTCTATGGGGCTACGACTTTTCGTCAAAGGACTTTCCGTCAATGGACTTTCCGTCAATACTTTTCGTCAATGGATCTTACATCAACGGACTTTTCATCAAGAAATAAACGCTTTTAAGAAATTCAGAAAATTAATCGGCCTGTTCGAAGCTACAAATAACTAAATTATATAAAAAAAACAAACAACATAAACCTATAGGGCGTCGGCAAGGCGCTTGTGCAAAACCCCGCGCTTCGCGCGGGGTTTTGCGGCACGCGCCTCGCGGGGAGTCAACGGTCGCTGGGTTCTATACCGGTAACATAAACCTATTCCTTTTTGCCGATTTTCGGTCTTGAAAAGCCTACCTATCCTTCGTAGTAACACAATTGCTTATAACTTTGTTTAGAATTATCAAATAAGTCTAATTTTTAATCTGACAACACTCTTACAACATATATCATCTTCTATTTCTCTTAAAATAAAAAAAACATCACTTATTGACGAAAAGTCGTTGACGGAAAGTCCATTGACGGAAAGTCCTTTGACGAAAATTCGTGCCACCTTTTCTATAGTATCTAACAAATTCTAAAATTTAATCCAGACTCTCCTAATCGCATTCCCTGGTGTATAACTAAGCGAATTCTGAGAAAGTGGAATAACTTGGAGATTTTTCATATTTAATGCTTGGTACCAGAGGTGGGTCGGAACAGTCAGAGGTGTCAGGGAAGAGCCGGAAATCGGAACTGGCTCAAAAGTCGGAACTCGGAAATCGGGAATCAAAATTTATTTTCGGAAATCGGAAGGAAAAAAACGTCGGAAATCGGAATTCCGACCCACATATGATTGATACATCTCATAATTTGAGCTATCTTCCTGTGATAACTCAAAGCTTTTAGATATTCAATGCTGACAAAATGAAAAAATAACAGAGGCTTACCCAACCGAACAAAAATTAAAAAATATATTTCCAAGGCTTGTAAAATTGTAAAAAAATTTTATATGTTGTAAAAGATCTTTCGTTTTCTGACCGTAATATTCCCCCTTAGTTTTACATAAAAATAAGAGAATGGGGGCAGAAGACGCGCTATGAAAAATGTGAATGTGTCGCTCATTCTTAAGAAAGGAGAAAAAAAAATTTTTAAAGCAAAATAAAAAAAAACGGATTGTGTCCAATATTTAAAGACAAGTATGAAAAATGTAAAAAAAAATTTTAGAGGAAGCGACAAACACGCATAAATTAACACTCTAAATAATAAATAAATAAATGTGTGTAAAAATAAAAAGGGGAAAAAAGGGGGAAGGAAGAAAAGCTTCGGCCAAATCATTAAAATTTTTCTTTTTTTTTTCTGTATTTTTTTTTTGTTGTTGTTTAAATTTTTGGCCTTGTGTTGTTTAGTTGTTTGGGGACACTTTATTTTATTGTATTTTTTTATTCGGAAAAAAATTTTTTATTTTGGAATTTAAACAAAAATATTTTTTTAAAAACTTTTAAAAATTATAAAAAAAAATTTTTTAAAGACTTGTACAAAAATTGGGATCAAATGTCCAATTTTCAAATTCTGAAAATTTTTTGAAAAATTTTTTTACCAAGTATCCTAAGCCTAAAAAAGAGAGACTTACTTTCACATGACACCTTCCCTCATTATAAAATCATTTTCCTTATTAACAGTCGTGATCAAGTCAAATAATTTGAAGGGACATTTAATCCCAATTTTTGGACATTTCATCCCAAACTGATATTTTCCCATTTTTTTACTCATATTTTCTGTATAATTTACCCGTTTTTACTGCTTGATAAATTCCAAAGAGTAAAAAGGGGGGCTAAATAAAACAAGGTAGCCAATGACTCATTTTCACAGTCAGTCATGTTTTTATATGGTGGCCAACAAAGAATTGAAGCTTTTTTTACATAATTTTATTTTTAGTTTAAAAAATATAAATTTGGTTCTTATTTTCCTTTTTTATTTTATTTTTTTTTAAATTTTGAGATATCCCAATTTTGAATAATTTATCTGTTGATTTTTCAAGTCTTGTGAACACTAGGTCAACTAAGCTCCTAAAATATTCCACGAATTTTGAAAATGGAATTTTGAGGAAAATTTTTATGAAAACTGTCTCGGCTACCGTATTTCCTTTAATAAATGCCCGAGGATTCTATTTTTAATCACCTTCCAAAGGGGAATTCTGTTAGAAGAGGGAGAGGGAAGCATCAAATTAGATAGGGAGGGCATCAACTGAAGAGGCATACAATTAGAGGGTACACTGTACTTATCTCTCTCAATTGCCTCACTTACAAAGAGGTATCTATTAGAGGGAGAGGAGCTTCGAATTAGAGGGGAATGGGCATCACTTTGAGGGGCATACAATTAGAGGGCTTACGGTACTCATCCTTCTCTCAATTGCCATCACTCACTTGACTTGTTTCTCATTTTACCCCAAATTCCAATAAAAAGGTTAAAAACCAATTTTTAATTTTTGCAAACAAACGAACACTTCTTTTAGCCCAATCAACAACAAAAAAGACAACATTTAATCCTTCATTTACACCTATTTTTATTTTTGTCCTTTTTTTATTGCATTCTTTTAAAGTTGATTTGTTGCCATGCCGTTTTTAAGCTTTTTTTATTGTGTATTGGTCCTTTAAAAATAATTAGGGGAAGAAGAAACTTTTGTTGTAAGCTGGGACAAAACATTTTTTGCAGGGAAGAAAGAAAACAAAGTTTATTTTTATTAGAGATAAGGGAAAAATAAGAGAGTATTTAGAAAATTAGAGAAAAGTTTGTTCTCCTATCTATATTTGACCAAAACCACATTTCGCCAATAAGGCTAAAAATTCACATTTTGTCAACAAAGCTTTATTGACTAAATGTAAATTTTTAGCCTTCTTGGCAAAATGTGGTATTTATCAAATATGGGGCCTTATTAACAAAGCCAAGTTTATTTGAAAGTTAGAGAAAAACAAAAAGAACAAACAATTAACAAAGTTTATTAATAGGTTATAGAATGGATGAAAATAGAAAATAGATTGGAATGAAAAGAATGAACAGGGGGGAATGATTAGTTTTAGTGGATGTGATCAATCCTTCCTTTTCTTCCATTTATCCATTCCTTTACTAAAAACGAACGGCTAAAAAAAGAAATAAACAAAAGAAAACAAATAAAGCAACAAATGATTGAATTGGGGGCTTTTAGAGTCTGAAAATGCAAAGAGTAGAAGTCATGATTTTTTGTTCTTTTTGGGAGCAGGGTTAAATTGGGCTATAAGATGGGAAAGCATTTCGTAATTGAATCTTATTTTAACTTCACTCCCTCTCCCTCCCTCCCACTCTCCCTCCCTCTCTCCCTCCCTCTCTCTCTCCCCCTCTCTCCCTCACACACTCTCTCTCCCACTCTCTCCCTCCCACTCTCTCTCTCTCTCAATTTCCTTCCCAATACAAAGATTCAATCTCTTACTTATTCCTGCTATTTAATTTATTCGAAATATCACATATGTATGATCCCAAGCTCTCTTTAAAGTCTTTATCTTATACCTCCCAAGCTCCTAGTTATCCTATTCTTCTGAATCTCTTTCCTATCCCTTTCTATTTTACCTCTCTCATTCTTATCCCATCATTTTCTCAGTCTCTATTGTCCATACCTTCTTATCACAGTTTCTCTCACATATCCCAATTTCTCCGTTATCCCGACTCGGAAGGTTCATAAAAAGGACAAAAGATATAGCAGACATTTCCCTATCCAGACTCAAGCCTGCGTACTCAAACTTACATTCTCTCTTAAGATTTCAGACTCTAATGTACTCTCTTATGTTTTAGTATTTAGTAGGCTATAAAGATTTAATTAGGTAATAATTCCAAAAAAAAATTTTTTTAGCTGGCACTTGATCACAAAAAGCGTGTGATTCACACGGGAAAGTAGAGCAAAAGCAGCCAACAAACATTTGATCAGAGCACAGAGAGCAAAAAATAGGGGGAAACTTTTTTTCCTTTCTTCATTCTTTACCTAAAAAAATTTTTTAAATAAATTTCTTCCATCCATTTCCCCCCAAAATAAAATTAAAACATAATTAAATTCTCTCCTAAATTTAATTTTTTTGATCAGTGATCTTTCTTGTTAAAAATGACATAAAATCCCCTTTCTGTTAAAAATGACAAAAAATCCCAAAATGACAAAAAATCCCAAAAAATGCCAAAAATAAATTTTATTGGGATTTTTTGTCACCTGTCTAAAAAGAAAATTAATTAATTAATTTTTCTTCCAAAAAAATTTTTCCAAAAGAAAGTCTTCTTTCTGACGTCCAAAGTATCCAAAAATTGTGTCTCTCTCTTATCACCTCCAAACTTTTCTGATTTTTGTGTTTTATTTTTTTTGTTACTTTTAAGCTTTCAAAACACACTTTAAACGTATTAATTAATTTAATGTTTTATTTTTCTGTTTAGCTTATTTTTTATTAAAGTCGTTTTCATTTAATCACTGAGAGGACATTTTGTCCCAATTTTGAAAAAAAATTTTCCTTAATTTTTTAGTCATCCTCGTCTTTTAGGTTATCCCCCTCTTTAACCACCCCTCCCCTTCGTCTTTTAGGTTATCCCCCCTTCTTAGGTTATCCCCTCTTTAGGTTATCCTCCTCTTTAACCACCCTTCCCTTTTTCCCTTCCATAACTTGAAACATGGGGTATCTGAGAATATATTTGGGATATCTCAAAGACGAAAAATAGGGTCTCTATCATGTTAGGATAACTAAAAGGGTTGGGATTATGGTTGGAGTTTCGAATCGGGTTGACATTCGAGTCTTTCTTTGGACCAAAATCCGGGCCCCAACCCTGATATATGGGTTATTATTGCAAAACTTTATCATTTTTGATAACGAACTCGCTATCTTATAAGCTCGCGCCAAAACGGCCCCGCGCCAAAATCCGGGCCCCAACCCTGATATATGAGAGCTTCTTAGTTTTGAGAGCTTAGTGATTTTCAAGACTCTGGTGGGGTTGATTTTTTAAAATAGGTATTTTCTAATTTTTCCCTTTTAAAAGAATCTAATAATTTTTATTTGACTTGATATTTTTTCAATCCCTTGTAAAAATAAATAGTGTAGATATTTCTTGTATGTAGCAACTAACTCTCAGCTTCAAGCATTTTTATTTTATTAACAAGCTTTAAGGGTACTTTATGGATATGTCACCCCCCTCCTATTTTGAGTCTCAGAGTTTTCCTTAAACGTAGAAAATGGTCAGAGATTATTTTCTTCTCCATGTCAATCATTTCTCTTTCTTCAAGCAAAATAAGTGAAATGTGGTAAATGTAGAAACGAATGAGTGAAATTTAAGTACAAAATATGTGAAAAAGCAAAATAAACAAGCAAATACTTGAAGAAGAAAAAAATGATTGACATGGAGAAGAAAATAATCTGACCATTTTCTACGTTTAAGAAAAACTCTGAGACTCAAAATAGGAGGGGGGGTGACATATCCATAAAGTACCGCTTTAAGGTTAAAGAACAAATTTTAAAAATAGTGAAAAGAAAAGTGCAGATAATTTAAAACTAATAAAAAAAAATTTTTTCAAAAATGCTTGTTTGTGTGTTTCTATTTAAAGATTTTTTTTTAAAGAAAAATATTTTTAAAACGGATATCCTTGCACTTTTTTTAAATTTTTTTATCAAGTCTGCAATCTTTAAAAATCCATAACTTTCGTTATACTGAACCTAAAATTATGAAATTTTAAGGTAAACTAGTTAAGACTCATGAGAACCGCCCTACAAAATTTCAAGTTTTTAGGTTTACCCTAACCGGTTTTATAAGCCCGCGCCGAAATGTCCTCCTTTTGATTTTTTAAATTTTTCTGTTAGACTATTACCGTTTCGAAACCCATAACTTTCGAAATACTTAACCTAAAATTGCAAAATTTTAAACTAATCTAGTTGAGACTCTTGGGGACAACCCTACAAAATTTCAGGTTCCTAGGTCTATTATTGGCTGTTTTATAAGCCCGCGCCGAAACGTCCTCCTTCTGATTTTTTATATTTTTATTAGACCATTACCGTTCCGAAACCTATAACTTTCGAAATACGTAACCTAAAGTTACAAAATTTTAAACTAAGCTAATAGAGACTCTAAAGTACCACTATACAAAATTTTAAGTTCCTAGGTCTATTATTTACTGTTTTATAATTCCGCGCCGAAACGTCCTTATTAGGAGTTTCTCCTCTTTTTTTGCATGTTTTGTTCTAATTTTCCTCTTTCCTCCATAATATTTGTTTGTCCATGTATGGTATTTTGTTATGTTTTTAGTTAGTCCATTCATTGTTTGTTAACGCCGCCCATTTCCTTGAGAAGAAGTCCATTCTTTTTTGGGCGGAGTTTTCAAGCATTTTCCCTCCTCTCTATTCTTTTACCATTTTTTCTGCTTGTTGCCTTTCATTTTTATTTAATTAATTTTTCTCTTGGCATTTTTCTGAATATTCTAAATTTAATTAGAATTCAACTAAAAATCTAGGATTTTTTTTATATATTTTTTAGAGATGTTAGAGTCTGAAAATTCTGTTTTTCCCTTACTAACTTCCTTACCTTTAGTAAAAATCATTTTTAGTAGAGTCGGCACGAGACAGTCCCCGCACGGGATTTTACGGGATCCCGTCCCAGAATCCCGGGTTTTCAGCGAAAAACAGGATTAACAGGATTTGCGGGATTAATTCCGTCCGTGGGATCCCGTCCCGTACAAAATTTTTAAACTGAATTCCGTTTCGGGATCCCGGGATGCGATTTTACCGACCTCTAATTTTTAGGGTCTTTTAGAGTCTGAAAAGTATTCCCTTCTTTATCAACTTCCCTAACTCTGTTAGCATTATTCTAGGGTTCATTAGAGTCTGAAAATGGTTCCTTCCCTTACCACCTTCCTTAACCCTTTTTTTTTAATTTTCCCAGGGGTCTATTTTAATTGTCCGCAGATTCTGCTTCTATGCACAGAATGCGGAATCTGTGGACAACTTAAATAGGCCCTAGACCTAAGTTCTTTTGTCTTTTTTATGCCTATAAGAGAATTATACGATCTCTCTACAAGCTCAAATACTGACCAAGGATATAAGAGGGGTTTTAAAGCATCATAAAATGGCTACCAATTGCTTGGGTGGCCGATGGCATTTGGACACATTTTCTTCCCTCGTTTTTTCACCAATAAAAATGCTTGTGTTTTTGGCCTGGCCGTTCCTGTCGCCGTCCTTTCCATTTTTTTAAACTGATGATCCATTCATTTTTTATATTTATTCCTGTCATTTTTAAGGGTAAAAAATGGCCGTTGTCCATTCCCCCATCAATTCTCTCTCAAACTTTTGCCAAGCCATATAGCTATAACTCGGCCAGCTGTCCTTCCATCAGGACGTTTTCCCAGTAGATCGAAAAAAGTACCAAGGAGGGGGTTAATAAGGGATTTAATAAGGGTTCATGAGGGATTTTTAACTTTATTCCCTTTTATCTCTTACAGTAGACTGGGAGTCTTAAAACTACATTATTACACGTACCCTTTTGTTATTTATAGTTCGAGCCTATAGAGACTGAATATGCGCAGGTGGCCGATGGCATATCCATATCCTTCCCCTTTCATCCTTATAACAACCCTTTAATCCCTTTCCCCTTCTTTCCCTTTAACCCCTTCCTTCAACCAACCCCTCCCTCAAACTAACTCGAGTCAGTCGTTCTCGATTCCTTCTATTCAGACCTTTAGAGCTTACTTTTGGAGGTATCACGACTTTTGCGCCGAGAACATTTGCGCCGCGACTTTTGCGCCGCGACTTATGCGCCGGGGGACTTTTGCGCCGCGACTTTTGCGCCGCGACATATGCGCCGAGCGACTTGTGCGCCGCGACTTTTGCGCCGGGCGACTTATGCGCCGCGACATTTGCGCCGCCATAATTTAAAAAAATAATATCTACAGAGGGACATAATTATAGTGTACTCCTTAAAAAATGGTATCCAGGAGCTGAAGGAATTTCAGGAAGTGCAATATTTCGGGAAGTACAATAGCCCCTTCTAATAAAACGACCCTCTAGAGGAAGGTTAAAAAATAAACCAACCCCCTAGAGGGGTCATTTTCAAAGAACTTGACTTTTTCGGATCAGGATATTTGGTCTACTACCCCTATTAAGGCATGATTTTCTGCCAAAAGAGGGTGCACTATTGTGTAGGGTTGTCGGGTCCAGATATCCGGATCTGAAAAAGATCCGGTTGGAAATTTTAGGTCGGATATCGGATCCGGATCTTGATATCCGAAGATCTCCAACTATCTTACATCTTCTATAGTGAGGCCCGGCTGTAGTTTCTCATACATATTTAGTAATGATAGTGGCGGCGCAAAAGTCGCCCGGCGCAAAAGTCGCGGCGCAAAAGTCCCCCGGCGCAAAAGTCGCGGCGCAAAAGTCCCCCGGCGCAAAAGTCGCTCGGCGCAAAAGTCGCGGCGCAAAAGTCGCGGCGCAAATGTTCACGGCGCAAAAGTCACGGAACCCTTTTGGATAGCTCGATTTTTTGGCTTCCCCCTCCCCTCTCCTCCTTCATCTTCTCCCCTTTCTCCATATCCTTTCCCTTCCCCCTACTCTCCATCCTTTTAACAACTCTAACAAATCCTGGAAACTTTTCTCTATATTTTGTGGTCATTCCTCAACCCCTCTCTTTCATCTCTCTCCAACCCTTTCCCTCAAACTTTAAAAATATGGTACTTGTCACTACCTCCCAGTGCTAAGTCTCGATCCATGTGTGGCGAACACTACCAAACAACAACAACCAGCAATGGAGAGATCATGACGCTTGATCGCCACTGCCAGTCTCTTTTTATTAAAAATAAAAATTTATTATTAGCTAATATAAATGGAGGGAAACAGAGAGAGAAAGAGAAAAAGAGAGGGAAGGTGACATTTTATCCCAACACCCCTTTTTTCTAATTTTTCACTTTTTTTTTCTCGCCTTTTTCAAAACAAGCATTGGCCTTTTTTTAATTTGCTTTAAATATATCCAAGCACTACCGGTCTTCCCCCTTATATCTTTTTTTTGATGCTATAAACATGCCCTGACTGAGGAGGGAGAGAGTGATTTAACACAAAGTGATTTTACAAGAAAATCGCCAAAAATAAATTTTTAAGGAAAAAATTTTTATTCTATTTAAACACCAAGTTTTCGACAAAAAATTGGAACAAAAAATTTTTTACAGGCTCTTTTTCACTATTTATTTATTCTGGCACAGAACCATCTCTTACATCTGACACTTTAGCATACCTCTGAATTTTCCAGATATTTCTATCTCTTAGATATTCCAACTCGGTAACATGTAGGTATAGATCAGGAATGGGCCGGGCCGAGAAAAAATTGGGTCGAATTTCGGATCGGGGGTTTTAAAAATTTTCTTCGGATCGGATTTTGGATCGAAAAAAGAGTTAGGCTCTCGGATCGGGTAGCCCGACCTATCCCTGAACTAGTCAGTCCCTTGGATATTTATTAAAAATATTTAATTTTCATTTCAATATTCTATTTTTAGTAGTTACCCCCCCCACAAGGTTGCACTGCGTGCAACCTTATGGAGGAGGAAGTCGGCAAATCAAAGGAAACCAAAAGGTAAAGACACATTTCATATTCCTAACCACCCTTTTTTTACCACCCCTTGGTTGCAGGGCAGTAGTTAACTAGTCCCCTTTCGCTCCACAACCCAAATCGCTCTTCTACCCAAATAGCTCTTCCTTTTTTCAAGGTAGCTACCCAAATCGCTCACTCCTTCATCAATAAAACCTAAGCCTATAGGGGGTATTTTTTGATATTTGCCACAAACACCTTTCTTTGGGAAGTGTTTAGGGGTAATTAATCACGATTAATTAGGGTAATTAATCATTCCATTATTAATTTCCCTTTGGCTGATACTTTGTGGGGAATGAAAAAATAATTTTTGTGACGTTTCATGGTGAGACACATTTTGTTAAAAAATTTGACAATATGAAATTTGACATTTTGAAATATTTTTAGTTTTGATAGAAAAATTTAAAAGGGACTTTCTAATTTAAAAATAAATTTAAAAAATTAAATAAAAATAGTTTTAATTAAATAAAAATGATAAAAAATAAAATTTACAAAATTTTGCATAAAATATAAAATGATTTTAAAAAATGACCGGAAGTACAAATGTAAGGGGTTTATTTCAAAATGCCAAATTTAAAAATTGGCGGGCATTTCAAAATTTAAAAAATTTCCAAAAAAATTTAAAATGTCAAAAAATAATAAAAATAAATTATAAAATTTAATAAATAATTATAAATTAAAAAATGAGGGAAAAAATTTGACAAAATTCTAGAAAAAAATTAAAATGATTTTAAAAAATGAACGGAAGTCAAATGTAAGGGGCGGAGCTAATTATTTCGAAATACCAACATTAAAAATGTCAAACGATAAAATGCCAATTTTCAAAATGTCAAGCGACGCAATGCAAACTTTGAAATATCAATTTAGGTGTCTTGTCTTCCATTAATTAAAACTTATTATTATTATTAAACTAATAAAATATGATTGTTAATCAAAACTTGAACACCATTAATTAATTCGAATTATTCTATTTTACAATTTATCCCAAATTTTTCTATTTAAAATTTTGTTCGTCAAATTGACGCAGATTAATTTCGTATTTTCACTAAATAAACTTAAACTAAATATGGTTCATATCCCCTTTGATCCGCGTACTATCGGATATGATGATCATCATACGGCTTTCAGTCAAATAGGAGGAGGGACTGGTGAAAATTATTATTATTTTCGCGGACTTAATCCTTATCAACGTGGATACGGAAGACAAATGGGTGGTGGAGTTGGAGATGTACTTAGAAATTTTTGGCGTTTCCTTTTACCTTATGCAAAACGCGCGGGAACAGCTGTAGCAAAAGAAGCATTGGATACTGGAGGAAGAATTTTAGAAAGTGTGGGAAACCCAGAATATGATCAGGAAGCATTTAAACCAAATTTTAAACAAACAGTAATTAGTGAAGGAAGACGTGGATTAGATAGATTACTTGAGAAGGGTGGAATGCCAAAGCAGTTTGGAACCGGATTGCAAGAGAGTGATAGTATAAAAGGACTCAAAAGAAAGCGTAAACCCCATTCATCATTTTCAAAAGAAAAAAGTCATCAAATCATTATTGGTAAACCGTCTCATAGTTCAAAAAAGAAACGTCAAAAAATAGATACTTTCGGTCTTTATTAAATAAAAATGTCTACTCATCAGAAAATTGATCGTGATTCTGGCAACGCGATAACAAATGCTTTATCATTTTTCGAAACTCCTCATACAAATGTTAGTATTAGCAACTCATCATTTATCGAATTACTCACACTTAACCCTGTAAATATAACTCCTTTTCATTTCAAAATCCACGCAAGCACAAATTATATTGACCTATCAAAGTGCTATATTTTTACCGAGTTAAGAATTCGGAAAGAAGATGAACATGGACGTCTAACCAATTTGGAGGCTGCAGACAACAATGTTTCCTGTTGCCAACTTATTGGACATACAATTTGGAAAAATTGCCGTATCAGTATAAATGGAACCCAAATCTTTGAAGGAAATTCACTTATGGCATATAAAAGTATTTTCGACTATGAACTTACGTATCCACAGACAGTAAAAAATTCATACTTATCCGCCGCAGGATATTACGATGATGGTGATATGGGGCTTAATGGTGTTGGGTTTGAGAATAGAAGAATCTTATTTGCACCATCAGCTGATGGTATACAAAAATCCGCTCAATTCATGGCAAAATTAGACGTAGACATTTGCAATCAACCTCGGTATCTAATTAATCAGTGTGAAGTAGATATTGAGCTTTTGCCCAATGAATCAAATTTTCTTATTGTTGCTCCAGGAGCCACTAATCATAAATATCATTTAGAAGTACTTGCATACAAATTATTTATCAAAAAAATTGAGCTAATGGATAGTCTTGCCTTCGATATAGCAAAGAAATTAGAATTGAAACCAGCACGATATCCAATGAGAAAAACTTCGTTAAAATCATTATTCATAAGCGAGAACAGGACAGAATTTAATGCTAATCTATGGATGGATCAAGTACCGAGGAGAGTGGTCCTTGGAATGGTTAAAAATGCCGATTTTGTTGGATCTCAAAAGACGCATCCTTTTAATTTTCAACATTTTAATTTACGAGATATTTCCATAACTGCTGGGGGAGTTACTTTTCCAGCTGCCCCGTATTCTCTTGATTTTCTAAATGGAAAATATGTGCGAATATATCATGATATGCAGGAGGCTATAGGATACGCGGGGGCCTTAGAAAGTAATGGAATTTCAATGCAACGTTTTTCAAATGGGGGGTTTTGTCTGCTAGTATTTAATCTTACTAATAGCCAGGAAGATAATGGACCGGAGATGTTTGATTTAATAAAGAATGGTACAACTAGTATAAAAATGACCTTCAATGAACCGGTTCCAAATGGTGGGATTGTGCTAGTAGCTATGGGTGAAATCGATTCACTGCTAATGTTAGATAGAAACAGAACAATTTCCACAGATATTTCAGTATAAATTCTCGTAATTTTTTTTCATTTTTTCTCAATTTCATTCAAAAATGTTTCATATTACTATTAAAATTGAATTTAGCTTTGTTTGTATTATTTTATTTTTCTTTCTGTATAAATTATCACTACAATATTCGATGATTAATGAAAAGGATAATCTTGAATACAGAGAAAAATTAAGAGAACGTATAGGCTATTATGCAAATACAATACCTCCTAAATCAATCGAACTTATCAATTCGTTTTCAAAAAATTACCCAATAATTCCTGAAAGAGTTCAAAATAACACTAGACTAGTCTCTAATTCTAATCCTAAAACCAATATTAATATTTTGGATTTTTCATCAATGGAACATGTGAACAATGTACAATTTCCTTCACTTTGCAAGGAATTTCCATCATCAGGAACATCAATCGCTCAAACTATTTACTGCGTTTTATTGATTATACTCTGGCTTTTATTGTTAGCTATAGCTTTAACATATCAACTAAGAAAATTAATAAAGAATAAAAACGACAGCAAGGACGTTGAACTTGAAGAAATATAAAGAGAGATATAAACATCTCCTTCCTCAATTAAAATGGACACGTTACAAATCGAGAAAATTTTATTACACAACAGTATAACTAAGAGATATTTTATTGGATGCTTTGCAGCAGACAAAATTCCACAAGAAATTCAAAAATATCCTTGTTCAATGGTCGTCAACCTAGAAAGGGCTTCTCAAAATGGATCACATTGGATTGCATTTTTCATAATGAACCCTGAGAAGATACTTATTTTTGATTCATTATTACTCCCCAACCCACCAATTTCAATAAAAAATTTTATTTCCAAATTTCCAAAACGTGTAATGAATAATGTTCCCCTTCAAAACCCTCTTTTACCTACTTGTGGTCAACATTGTATCACCTTCATTTATTTTATTTCTTCTGGATACACTTATAAAAAATTCCTATCCTTATTATTAAATTATTCAAAGCCAGACGAATTTGTTTTTACTTTTATTATTAAAATGATAAAAAATATATAATAAATTTTCAAAATTTTTATTAAAATTTAATCATTCTGTTAAACATTAGAGTAATAATTACAGTTCCGTGATCAAATTTCACAAGACTTCCATTCATCCATCTTAGTTCAATCTCAATCTCATTAATCTCTCTAGGCAGCACTGGTATGAACATTGGTTGATCATACACTCTTTCAACAACTCCGCCAGACCTATTCTCGACGGCTACAATTCTAAGTAATGAACTGACAGAATTTCCCATAATTACAGTTCCCGTTAACCCCTTTGAATAGACAGCAAAACTTGTGAATCCTCCTTTAAGATCAATGCCATATTTTCCAATTTGTCCGTTTACCAAAGGGCCCATGGGAAAGCCGAGAACATAACATAATTGTGAAGATATTGTGATGTTTCTAATCTCAGGATCATTGAAAATTACTCTAAAGCGATCAATGCTGTCCAAATATTCAAATTCAATGTCCGAATGTAAATCTTTTAAGTGAGATTCCTTTTCATCAATCATTTTAACTGTCTTTTCTTTAATTAGATCATCAGTATTTTTCTCATCTTTTTGCTCATCAAATATTTCATCTGTTGGTATAATTTCTTCTTTTGAATCCAAATCTAAAACTGGACTTTTTCTGTTTATTTCCTCCCAACCTTCTTCCTCTTTTTCGAAACTTTCTTCCTCAGCTAAATCTTCCTCTTCAACACTTTGCGAGTCAGGAGGTATAGGATCGCCATGCTTATCTATTCTTCTTGCATGCTTCAATTTCTCCTTACTTTCTTTCAGTTCTTTATCCTTTCTTTCATTTTCTTCTGACTCTTTGACCTTGTTCTGCTCATATCCATGTCTGTCCTTGACAACTTCAAGCATTTCATCTGTAATTACGGGAGCAGGAATTGGTACTGGTTCTACATTTAGGACATTCTCTAAATATTCTGGATGAGTTTTCTCTTCAATTTTTTGCATTTCCTTAATTTCATTTTTAGTTGGTGGAATTGGCAGCTCAAAATTTTTCCATTTCTTATAGGCCGCATGATGTATCGCTGTAAATCTATTTCGTCTGTATGAAGCCAATTTATTTAAATTGTCAATCTCCTTATTTAATTTATTCTTTTCTTCTTCATCTTGTTCTTGAGAATGTAAATCTCTTTTTTCTCGAATTTGTCTGTGTAATTCCTGCAGATCCCCTAAATTTTTCTTCAAAGCTGCCCAATGATCTTCAGGGTGGTCGTCAAAAAATTTTTGGACAAATTCTGAGTGAGTATTTGAATTTTGCTGATTAAACTCATCTCTATTAATTTTCAACTCTCTTTCAATTATTGCAGATTCGAGTGCTTCCAAGTTTTTTCGCATACGTTTTATCGAATTAATAAACCTTTGAATTTCTTCACCAGAGCGAACATTTTTACCGCCCTCATCCCTGCTCGCTTTAATTTTATCTTCTAGTTCAATGTATCTTACTATTATATTTATTTCCATTTTTATTACTTGCTCGTGATAATCATCTGGGTGCTGTTCTAGAAACTGATTTGCTATAAGTCGATCATCAAGTCTATCTCGCTTATTAGCTTCGTCAGTTAAAAGACGAATTTCCTTCTTTTTGCCTTCTGAAAGGGAATGTAGGTGTTCAAGTTCTTGCTGAAATTCTTCCTTCTGTATATAATCCTCTTCATTAATAACTTGTTTTGTTTTTTCCTCTACTTTGACTTTATGTTGTTCTAATTCTTGTTCATAATCTCGTATGGCTTCCCAATAATTGTGTGGATACGTATTAAAAAATTCCTTTACCCATAATGGTACGGTATCTCTATCTGCCTCTCTCTTTCTTCGTTTCCTAATTGGATCTTCAATTAAATTAATTTCTGGCCTAATAATAATTTCATCCTCTAAAGTATCGATTGATACATCACGTCTTTTCCTAGACTTTTCCTTATTGGATAATACAAGTTTTAAAAAGAAGCTGAGTCCGTTGGGTGTTAACTGTGTTGTTTTGGGAATTCCTGTTCTAATCGGTTTTTTGCTTTTGTAATTAATTTCGATCCATTGTTTAACATCGGTGCCAATGGTTGCAGCCCATGACTGGGGGTATTGGATACTGTAGAGCCCACATACCCAGTTTCCACCTTGAAATTCTATTGGCTTAGGGAGATGCACTCTGTATTTATTGGGTTTATTATCTGGGTAATCACTAACATTACTAGGAAGAACAACAAAGAATGTATTAGCCATTATTTATTTTAATAATAATTATGAACAATAAAATGAAAATTAAATTAAAAAATGTAAAAATGATTTATGGGGAATGAAAAATTGGCCTTTTATACAAATTGATTTTCATCTATCCAATGGGGTTGGGGATAATCAAAAAATTTTACAAGATATTCTTTTCCTCCATCTTTTTTCTTTCTGCTCTTAATAATCTTCTCAATTCTGTAACTAGTATTCTCATCTTTTCTTACTTTTGTCAGTTCCTCAGGGTAGAAATATCCTTTAAACAATTCTCCATTATCGTCACGGACGCGGTATCTATTTGGATTAGCTTTCTTTTTAACAAGATCTATTTGAAGAATTTCATCACTATAATTTGGGAGATAACCTTTTGAAAATATATTTTTACTTCTGCTCATACGCACATAATCATTTTCCTTGAATCTTGGATTTTTTCGAGGTTTATTTTTGCCAATAGGACCAAATACCATTTCTCTGATTTCCTTTGCATTGTTAAAGCTTACATCAACCGGTCTTAATCCTCCTAAAACCCTACACTTTGAATGATTTATTGCGTCAACTATTTTCGGTAATGCTTCTGCCCATTTTAATGTATGCTTCTCACTCATAAACCTGTACAATCTCTGTTTAATGTTCCGAATACATCTTTCAGCTAGAGATGCTTTGACTTCTGAGAAAGTTGCCGTGTATTTTTCAATATCTTTTTTTCTAAAAAAGTCCATAATTTCTTTGCTGCAAAATTCTGTTCCATTATCGCTAAAAATTCGGTGGGGGTGCATTTCCATTCTTGCCAAAATTTTTTCAAATGCATCAATCATATCATTTGATTTTTTAGTGCGCACAGGTTCAGCGAAAACTCTTTTACTTAAAACATCTATTGCAACAAGTGCATATTTGTTTCCATTATTTTGCCGCGATAACTTTTGAAAATCTGCCAAGTCGCACTGAACATCTGTCATATATCCAGAAGGATATGTTATTGATCTTTTAAAGTGTATGCGTCTAGGACGGTGAATTGTATATGTTCTATGACCTTCTAAATATTGCTGAACATCCTTCTTTTTAATAATCGCATCTTTTTTCCTAGCCTCTGTCCATAGTTGGTTTACACCAGCAAATCCTGCCGGATTTGATGGATCATTGTAAAGCTTATCTAAAATCATTTCCACTCTGCGGGAAGTCTCCATTTTGATTCAGCTATTTCCTTGGATTCGGGTATTTTTCTTTTTTGTTTTGAATAAGTTCTTTTTGGTGTACAATGCTCCCTAGCCTTCTCTATCAACGGCCAAATTTTATTATCACTTTTTAATTTATTTTCTAAAACAGATGTTCCAGGTGGTGTCAATTCACCCCATCTCAATTTCCCACTTATTCCAGTTCGAAGAATGCACTCTATAGATTTTTGAGCATTGCTTCCCTGTATTTCTTTTCCTCCCTTCTTACTTAAAATCTTTCCATCTGTGCTTACGTCATATTTATCTAGATTTTCCTGTTTCATATTTTCAAAAATCTCCTTTGTTTTTTCCTTTATTGTTGTCTTTTTTGGCTCACTCTTTTCATTGGAATCAGGAGATTCCTCCTCTGCCGTGTGCATACTAAGATCATCCTCATTTAATTCAGTAACTTCTTCTAACGGGGTCAATTTTGGTGTGGTAATATTTTGCCTAAAAGTCTTTTGGGGGCTTTCGGTTACTGTACGGTTTTCATTGGAGCTTGTTTGTAGTAGGGGAAGTAATTTTTTAATTTGCTCCAGGGCTGGGTCTTGCATTTGTCCTATTGAAACATTCATTGGTCTATCATTTTGTTCCTTCAACATGTGTAAATACCGTCTCAATTCCTGATTATAATTTATATTTTTTAATTCTGTGTTGGCATTTTGTCTTTTAATAGTTTCCAAATTTTCTCGAGTAAAATCCAAATTGATATTTCCAGTTTCTGGTGTAGGTTGAGTAAGTAGTCCGCGATATATATCCTCAGGAATTAATATAAATTTATTTGCCATTTTTATAAATTGTTTGTCAATGTCTTTGTCAATTCAATAATAATTGGGGTTAGGAGGGCAGGAAATAAACCAATTGGTAAACCGCTACCTTGTTGTATTACCGTACGCCGGGCGCCTTTTTCTGTTTTTAATCTGCTCACACGGCGAACAAAATCAGCGAATGGTAGAAGACGAGATTTTTGCCTTTTATTTAGTTTAAATTGATCGCGTACTATATTAAAACAAATTTCAGTAAGGGAGAGTAACTGATCTGTTGAAGCTTTTTTTAAAAGTTTTCTTCTTTTAATTAATGAGCGTGTTTGTGCGAGTTGTTTGAGAAATTGAAAATTGTCTTTAACAATTTGACCAATATTTGTTGACATGATTTAATTTGAGGAATTTTTGGGTAAAAATATAATAGGGAATGAATAATAATTGTCTTCTGTTTCTTTGTCTTTAAATATATTTGTTCTTAGTCTAAGTGTTGGATCTGATGCTGGGTGTAAATCAATAAATAGATATGAATAATTACTGCTACTTGTAGCTTGTCGATATGCGTCTAGAAAATAGTTTAATCTTCCTGGGAATAATTGTACTCCTAGATTTCGAACGGCCAATGCACTGTTCGGTGCGCGAGTTAATACAATATACATAGAATTTTGTCGTGCAACCCTAAGCTTTTTCTCGAAGAGATTTTGAGTGATGAATATTATGCCAAAATTAAGATGATGAGATTTCTTTGTAAAAAGTTCGGATAAATATTTTTCGTCAATTGAGTACATTAGGTCGTCAAGAATGACTAGTGAAGGTTGTTCTTGTTTCTTAATAAGATCCTCAGGGGGAACTCCGGAATAGACTGAGACTCCAGCTCGCTGTAGCTCGGGTACAAGAGAATTATATTCCCCATAGCAGTAAAGAATGGATTTTGGAATAGGTTCAATAAGTTGATGAGAATTAGAAATTAATTTTCGGACAAATGTACTTTTCCCAGTTGAACTTGGGCCGCTAATAATACAACCGAATGGAAGTTTTAATTTTAAATCTTTATTTGAAAATATCTGATAGTTCATGTTTAAATTATTTGTTGAGAATTAAAAATATAAATAGAAATGATTAATGATTAAGAGAGGTAATTGAATTATCTTTTAATATATATAATTATTATCGTTTAATTATCGTCTACTTGAGCCTTCTGTGAAAACTTTGACAAAAATTCCTTGTCACTCATCTGTTAATTGCCGTTGATGAACTGTTTTGCATTACAGACTTGTTTTTGTGTAAAATATTGAAATTCATCCCTTCTGACCTCATACGAAAAACACAATGTTGAGGAATTTCATATATTGATCAAACGTCACTTCTTTTTTCCGTTTGGGCGATTGCAATATAAGGTTACATCCTTCGGCTTAAACTTCCATTGCTAACTTTTCATCAATTGTATCTTCTAACTCTTAAGATTACAACAATTGTATCTCTTAATCCTTAACTTTAAATCAGTTTTATCTTATAATCCTTAACTTTTTTCATAACCTTATCTTTTAACCCTAAAATTAAATTAAAAATTTATTAATATAACAATTTTATCAACAAATTTAAATACAATTTAAAAAATTTTGAAATAACAATGTACTGTTTAAAAACATTATGAAAATTTAAAGATTCAATTGAAAAAATATTGTGAAATATTACAATACAATTGAAAAATTATTTTTGTCCAAAATTTACAATTTTGAGATTTTTTGAAATTATCCCCTTTTGTATCATTGGTCTATATATTTTTCTCATCTTAGTTGAGTAAACTATACCATCTTTCACATTCCGCCGTATAAAATTTTGATTTTCAATCATAATTTCTCCTCTATCCAATTCATAATCTTCCTCATCTTCGTTTCCCCCATTTGCATATTTAAGTACGCTTTCTTTGAAAGTGTCAAAGTGCAAAATTTTACAGACATCTGCTGTTAAAGTGATACCACGTACTTTCAGAACACTATTTGTTTTTGCATTTTTGTTGTTTTCCATTCTCAGTGCATAAGCCTTGCATGCCCCTCCAACATATTCTTTTATTTCAAATCCTGCGTACTCTCGTGCCAAATCACCAAGATGGGGACCGGTTTGGAGCGGACATTCCATGTCCTTTGGGTAAGAGAATAATATACTGTCGGTATCCCCATAGAGAAGATTGCAGTCAAGTTTTCCTGCTACAGTTTGCATTGCTTTTAATAATCTAATTCTTGCTGCCGACGTTGTCCATAAGGAAATCACAATATTTGAAGTGTCATGTTCTATTATAAATTCTTCTCTTGGCTTATAGGTCAATAGAACAGTATCTTCAGTTAGATCATCAGCAGATTGTATTTCAATTGATTTATTGTTGTCAAACTCACGTAGTTCATTGGGGGAGTTGATGATTAAACTCTTTGACAGACCATTCCGTAAACTGAACCTTCCCCATAACGAATTAAGCATTAATTTTGAAATGTAGCGCATTGCCTGATCCGGAACCATTTTTTCTCTTTGAAGTTCAATTCCAAATTTTTCTTTACATTCTTTTATAAAATTTTCCTCATTTTCTTTTCCTTCTATTCCTTCAGGGAACCCGCTTGCGTGTATTTTCATTGCCATAAATTCGGCCACATAATTTTTAAATAAATTTTCATCCCATTTCTCATAATGTAAAGCTCTATAAAATCTTGTAACTGTGTATCCAACTTTTAATGCCTCTTCCAATTCAAGTGATGTACATGTAGAGACCCAACCTCTCTCCTCATCATTGTGCGGGCAATGGTAATCTTTGATATTCGCGCCATTTGGGTACATGAGTGCACATTTTCTACATAGTGGGAATAGAAGTCTTTCGTCAAACTTAACTGGAATTACAGGAACATCCAGTTGAGGCGGTGGTAGCAAAAATACTTTTAAAATTCCTTTGAACGGAATCTGCTCACTTCTTGTCCAATAAACTTTTTGTTCAGCCAATGGTACAACATGCACTTTCGGATGCCCAACCGGAAATGATGTTGTAGCAATTGTTGAGGGGTAAAGTGAATTAAAGTCTAAGTAGGCAATTTTGTGTTGTTCTTTTTCTGCGTCAAAATGCATGTGTAGTGGTCCAGTCCTCCCGCCAAAATAGCAGTCTCTAATATTGATTGGTCCTTTGTTGTGGTAATTTGAAAAAGCTTTCCTCATTTTCTGATTGCGACGAAGCATCTGATGAATTTCACATTCCCATATAATATCAACATTCTTTATATATTTTCTAACTATTTCCATCCTTTTCCCATCATCTTCACGTGTCTCTCCCACAGTTTTTCCATTGGGCAATATTTTGTTCAAATCATCTCCAAAGCATTTTTGGCATGCATGCCAAACACAGCCATTTACTTCAATTGCCCTATCTTCTGCCGCTATATATCCATCTACTTTATATTTTCCATCTACTACATGTTCGCCACCTTCCGAATGTGCACTTTGTATTTCCACTCCTTTTGTTTCTTCATACCATTGTAAATATTTCAGGGCAAGCTCACTTTGATTATCAATATTTTCATATCCCTTTTCGGGAACAATTGCCAAATGTTCAGGCTGCAGATGATTGAGTCGGAAATGTTTCATGCATGCCGATGCGATTGTCATTGCATCCTTCAAAATATCGATTCCTTCAACTACTGCTCCAGGTCGTGTAGTTTTCTTTTTGCTGATCTCCGAAAATTTTTTTCTAAAGGCGATCAATGCTTCTGTAAGTATTTGTACATCGTTTGTGCAATATTCAGCCAAAGCCTCATCCAAACAAAATTGATTATTTTTTTCTACTTCATACCATTTATCAAATTCGTTTTGCTTTTGAGGGGGCATTCCTCCATATAAGTAATCAGATTTCGGGGGTAATTGTTGTAGAGTTCTACCATAATTTTCAGAGATGTTTGCCAAATGCGGGAAAAATTGTTTTTCAGTTACTTGTAGCCCAAATGCACCAATTAGCTTCCCCAGAGCGACTGGACAAAGGTTATACGAGTCCCGGAATATAACCTCATTGCATTTATTGTTGCGGGGAATTTTCAATTCATAAAGTTTATTACCACGACGAATTATTGAGGGAACAACACCATTTACATATATTTCTTTGAACACCATAATCATATCATAACGCCCTCCATTGTGTGAAAATGCCATTGTTGTATATTGAGGGTTAAGTTCAAAAAGAACCCATTGGATGAAGAATTTAAGCGGGTTTTGTGTGACGATTTGCTTATCAACTTTTGTTTGATTGAATGGACGGTGTGAAAATGTTATGGATCGATTGTTCCCGCAGATTGTACAACTATTTCCTTTTTGCCTTAGAGGTGAGCGCCATAATTGTTCATTTTCCATGCATTTTGTACAAGTTACTGTTGCTGCGATAAAGTTTACGTTGTGTAGCCGTCTTTCTTCATTATCATTTTTTATCACTTCATTTTGTGTGGCCTCAAAATCGAAAGTAACCAGACGATAATCAACTCCTTTTTTCAGTTCCAAGGGGCGAATAAAACATCCTCTATCCACGTTGTGAAACTGTCGACAAATTTGACACCACTTTTGACCACAAACATGTTTCTTTTCAGCCTCTCTCTTGTAATTTTTCATTGACCAGATTACTCCACATTTATCACACTGTTTTGTTTGGCGGCAATTGCTACTCTTTTTGTGATGGTTGAAGCATTCTCCATTCAAATATATTTTCCCACATTCATCACATTTCTTGTAAAAGTCTCCTGTTGCCACACAAGGTCGTTCACTTCCAACGCGTCCACATAATCTGCAGAGAGATTTACATTTCAAATCATGTTCCTTTGACTTTCGAAACTTTTTTTCACAGGTAAAGCAGTATTTGTGTTTCAACCCAAACATACCTCCAACAAATCTTATTCCATCAAAATGGTTATCTTTGTGAAAAATTGAAATAGGCATGTTAAAATTATCGTTCCCATATTTGAATATAGGTTTCTCACTGATACTTCCAAAAATAAATACTTTAAATTTATAGCCTGCATCCTTGTATTTATTATTCCAAAAATCGACAACAACTGGTACATATTCCACAGCATCATATTCAGGAAGATCATGAGGGATTTTTACTGATTTTAGGAGGTTGAAAACATCATCCATTTGTCTGTCACCATTTTTTAAATATCTTGAAAAGTTCCATTTAGCGCCCAATTCTTTAGCAAAATATTTTCTTGTTATTTCCAGCGCATAGAATAAACATAAATTGTTTGGGTTTGAAATTTTTATTAATCGATCAATATTTATATGTGTAATTATTGCAGAATTTTCTTGGGGTGCGCGTCCTCTAATTGATTGATTCTTTGGCAATGATGAAATACCAAGTGTCTGGATTTTAACTGTGAATGGTTGGCCAAGAAGAGAACCTTTTTCTATCTTAGATTGAGAAACAAGCTGGAATCTATTGAGAATGTTATCGATAGTATCATTTTCAATTTTTCTAATTGGGATCCATATGTCGTTGTCTAATAATTGTGAAGATATTATAGCTCCTAATCGGTCAGGTTCAATTGATTGCCTTCTTGAGGCTTCGATGGTTTGATCCATACAATCGTGAATTATTTTTCTCAGTAGTTCCTCCGGATTCTCGGGTAGCTTTTCAATAATAAACTTGCCTGTTGTCCCCATTATTTTAAATTTACGATTAAATGATGTATCGTAGTCTATTTGTCGATAATAGTTTTGCAAATTTAATGCGCCTGCACCGGTTTGTGTGTCAATGAATAAATGTGGAAGAAGATCACGGATGAGAAATCTTGCGCGCTTATTGGCAGAGGGTGCAGTTTGATCGTTATTAAATGCCATTTTAAAGTTTTTAATTTTAAATTGTAGAAAGTATTTTTGGTTTTGAGTTGAATGGTTAAGAATGTTAAAAACTTTGCCTTTTATACTCTTCGTTTCAGACGGATAGTCGATTACGAAATATTTTATGTCAAGGACAAATGATGATACTAGTAAAATCTATTCGCTCTAAAATCATCAATCTGTCGGTGACATTTATAAAGTTTGCATTTTGTCGTTTGACATTTTGAAAATTGGCATTTTATCGTTTGACATTTTTAATGTTGGTATTTCGAAATAATTAGCTCCGCCCCTTACATTTGACTTCCGTTCATTTTTTAAAATCATTTTAATTTTTTCTAGAATTTTGTCAAATTTTTTCCCTCATTTTTTAATTTATAATTATTTATTAAATTTTATAATTTATTTTTATTATTTTTTGACATTTTAAATTTTTTTGGAAATTTTTTAAATTTTGAAATGCCCGCCAATTTTTAAATTTGGCATTTTGAAATAAACCCCTTACATTTGTACTTCCGGTCATTTTTTAAAATCATTTTATATTTTATGCAAAATTTTGTAAATTTTATTTTTTATCATTTTTATTTAATTAAAACTATTTTTATTTAATTTTTTAAATTTATTTTTAAATTAGAAAGTCCCTTTTAAATTTTTCTATCAAAACTAAAAATATTTCAAAATGTCAAATTTCATATTGTCAAATTTTTTAACAAAATGTGTCTCACCATGAAACGTCACAAAAATTATTTTTTCATTCCCCACAAAGTATCAGCCAAAGGGAAATTAATAATGGAATGATTAATTACCCTAATTAATCGTGATTAATTACCCCTAAACACTTCCCAAAGAAAGGTGTTTGTGGCAAATATCAAAAAATACCCCCTATAGGCTTAGGTTTTATTGATGAAGGAGTGAGCGATTTGGGTAGCTACCTTGAAAAAAGGAAGAGCTATTTGGGTAGAAGAGCGATTTGGGTTGTGGAGCGAAAGGGGACTAGTTAACTACTGCCCTGCAACCAAGGGGTGGTAAAAAAAGGGTGGTTAGGAATATGAAATGTGTCTTTACCTTTTGGTTTCCTTTGATTTGCCGACTTCCTCCTCCATAAGGTTGCACGCAGTGCAACCTTGTGGGGGGGGTAACTACTATTTTTAATTTTTGTTCCTTTTTCTAATGATGATTCCTTAACAAAATTAAAAATATGTATGTATAATTAAATATTTCATAGAAAATTTTTAAAAATATTTAAATGGAAGCAACAACAGAAACAGAGACAACAACAATTTCTTCTTCTCCACTTCCTTTACAATTAAATACTAATTATTGTTGTGCCTATTTATGTAATTTATGTCCACGTACATCTTTTCATTCTATGGAATTGTTGGATCAACATATGCGTGATGAACATCAGGGGAATGAAAATAAGTTGAAAATGAAGGAAAATGTAAAGATTGAAGAGAATAATGAAAAGGAGGTGGGTTAAAAAAATATTTTATTTGGGGAATATAAAAATCAGAACAAGGTCAGAAAAAAGGTCAGAAAATCAGAATAATAAAAAATCAGAAAAAATAATTCTGAAAAATAAGTCAGAATTTCTTCTGATTTTTTATTCTGAAATGTGTAGGTGAACTAATGATAACAGGGTATTGAGTGCGTCTCAGGGAAATATAAAAATCAGAAAAAAGTCAGAAAATCAGAATATTAGAAAAAAATAAATCAGAATCAGAAAATCAGAATAATAAAAAAATCAGAATTTCTTCTGATTTTTTTTTCTGAAATTTTGAAAAGCTAGGGATAACAGGGTATCGAGTGCGTCTCATTTCCAGCTTCATAACTTAAGAACATGTAGACCTATTCCAATAATTTTGGCACCATTCGATAGAGAATTGAATTTGCTACTTAATCAAGTTAAAAATAAAATTTTAGATGGTTAATTAAAAAAGTTGTGAACAGAAATATGACATTTTTGAGGGGTTTCAACTTTAAAATCCCTAATTTTTTGTTTGCTTTTGTTAAAATTATCATTCTTTTTTATCTTATAGCAAATTTAATTCTCTATCGAATGTTACCAAATTCACTAAAAAGGGACCACCCATTCTCGAGTTGTAGTGCCTGTACTGAATTGTCATTTTTTAGAAAGGTGGCTATTTTAAGTTTATAAAGTATTTTAGAAAATTAAAACATACCTAATTTTAAAACTTGAATTTTTAAAACTTTTTCTTACAAAACAAAGTTTAAATTTATTTTAATTTTAAGCAACAGATCATTCAACAACCAGAAACAGTCTTTGACCAATCAGAAGTCGAACAACAACAACACCTTTTAAATTCTTCCAATTTATCAACCTCCCCCTCTAGCGCCTTCTCTATTCCTCCCCCAAATTTAACAATAATAAATAAATTGGCCGATTTAACCTGCAAAAAATGCCCTGGGGGCAAAACTTTTACAAGCCGCGAACATTTAGAACTACACAATACAAACACCCATAGAGACAGACCTCAATATTGTTGTAATCAGTGTGGGGCTTTGTTTAGTGTTAAAAGGGAATTGGCAACACATTTACGTGTTCATTCGGGAGAACAACCTCATCAATGTGGTAGGTTTCAAGTTTATTTATTTGTTGGGGGACAGTTGAGTATGAGACGGGTGGGGAAGTGGGGTTATTATTTTTGACCATAACTTTTGAAGGAATTGATATTTTTAGATGTTTTTGGTATCATTCGATGGAGAATTAAATTTGCTATAAAATGAAATTTAAATGAAAATTTAATTTAAATGTTCAATTAAGTTATAATTCAAAATCTCCAAAAATCGTTTAAAAATGTTAGTTTTTCGGCTTTAACCGCTTTTTTCTTCAACCTTAATTTTTTTCGATTTTCTATGTTTTATAGCAAATTTTCTGCTCTATCGAATGATATCAATTTCGCAAGACTCGGACTTTTTATTCAAAAGTTATAGCGATTTAAGTTTTCCATGTCTCGACTCAAATGTCCTTTTAACAAAAAACATTTTGAATCAATTTAAAAATTTTTTTTAATTTTTTAGAAAAATGTGGCAAAGAATTTGGCACAAGACAATTATTAAAAAAGCATACAATGTGGCATACTGGAGAACGTTCGCATGTTTGCCCCAGTTGTGGAAAGGTAGAGAGAGATTACTGATTTATTAAATTATTTTTGTGTGAATAAGAAAATTACTTCTTAGGGCTTCCAAAAATTAAAAAAATTTTCAAAAAAAATATTTTTCAAGTAAAACCCCTTTCAAGTTAATAAAATACAACTTAAATTAACAAGAAAAAAAGTTAACCCTAAAAATACCCGAAATGGTACCGAACCCCGACCCCACCCCTAAACAAGTCTGTAACACTATCAACTCGGCCACGCACGTTACTGATAAAATTTAATTATTTTTGTATTCCTTTTATTTTATTTTCCAGGCATTTTTCCAAAAAGGTCATTTAACACAACATTTAATGATACACAAAGGTGGAAGGCCACATAAATGTTCTTTATGTTCAAAAACTTTTATTTTTAAATTTGGTAATTTTTTATATTTTTCCTTTAAAAATTTGAACTTTTTAAAGATTTAAATCGCCACTTAAAAATTCATACTGACCGAAGTTTTGTCTGTGGGAGGTGCTCAAAGTGTTTTCAACAAGAAGTTGAGCTTGAGGGGCATGTTTTAAATTGTAAAAGGTCGTCAACAAATATTATTCGAAGGAATAAAAGGTGTGGGAAAATTTAAAAAATTTGAAACTTTTCAAAAAAATATTTTTTTAAATTTTTCTTTAAAGGCCCTCCAAGCGTAGAGAACCATTTTTTGATAACTCTACAAATATTGAAGAAAATGAAATTCCACTTAAAAAGCCTTCGTTAACCTTTAAAAATGAGGAGGAAAGCAATAATGAACAGTATAATGAATTTATGCGAAAAAATGAGACAAATGGGGGAAATGACCAAGTGAGTCTTTACCATTTTGAAAAATTTTTTGAATTTAAATATGGCTATTTTAAATCTAAATAGAGAGAAAGTAGTGAATATGGCAAAATTGGAGCCATAAATTATTTATTTTATGAATTTTAGAAAAAAAATGTAGTAGTCTGTAGAGAACATATGTCACTAGTGCGTACGGACACGACGCAATAAAACAATCAAATAAAGACTTGGGCTGTTTAAATTTTGTACAAATCTTTGGTTGATCCCCCCCCCCCATTTTTCCTTTCAACATCCCATACCTTTTTGAGCTTTTTTACTTCATCTATAATTTATCACATCATTCGGAAGAGTTCTTAGAGCTCGGTCGAACTATACCAATATCGGTAAGATTTGATATCGGTAAGACTTAAATAGTTATGTTTCTTTGTGAACCTATTTGACTAGAAAAATTAGATAGAGATCTTCTAGAATGAAAGTCCCCTTCGCCATCCCCCTAGTAGAAATCTGGAAAAATTTTCTAAGTTTGGTAATAGTAAATATGGACTAAAATGGAAGTAAACTTTCCCTAATTTATCGAATCAAATAAACAATACAAACACAACAATTTATCTACACACAAAAATACAATTGAATACAACAATTCAAATACAATACAAACAACAAGAAATATACAATACATACATACAATTAGAGCAATATATGGTGACACAAATTTATCACAACTATATCTCCTCTCTCGGGTTATTATTCTGTTCCGGCGGAATCCACCCATCATCAACCTCCTCCTCAGTCTTTGGAACATCAACACCGTCCACAGCGCCTCTATTCGCCTCCTTTATCTCCCTCTCCTCAATTGTCGGCCCCTCCTCGATTGTCGACTTCTCAGCCTTCTTGACGATCTTCTCGATGACCTTTGGCTGCTCGTGTTCAATCGCCGTCCTTGTCCCATCGTTCAAGGTGAACGTCGCCGCAATGTTCTTGCTCTGAAAATAAAAATTGGGAGGATTAGCTGAGATTCAGAGAGAAAAAAATGTTTAAAATTTCACCTTTTTCCACTTCTCGAAAGACCCAACAGCTGCAAGTCCATTCTTTTTCAGTTCCGGCGTGTATTCCCGCTCGAAGAGTTCTTTTTCCTTCTGCTTCTCGAACTGATCCACAAGGTACTGCAACTTGTCCATGGCCTTTTTCTTCTCCACTTTCTTCCAGATTGCGGCGATCTCGTCCTCGATTGAAGGCAGCCCCACCGCAGTCTTCGTTTCGCTCTCCTTTCTCTGAAAAAATGGGGAAATTTAGGTCTGATTAAATGTACATATTTCCCAAATTTTTAAACTCACATTCTTTTTCCATGCAGCAAATGTCCCGACAGCCTTTTTGCCTTTGGTCTTCTCCTCAGCCTTGTACAGCGCAAGCAGACGATCTTCTTCTGCACGCTCGGCGTCCTGCTTCCCTCCCTTTTTCGTATCCTTTCCTGCCTTGTTCTTGATCCAGACCAAAACTGCAATGACGATCCCGACAAAGAGGCCAACAGCAGCAGCAATGCCAATCGCAAGGTAGGGAGCTCCGCCACACTCCTCCCGTTGTTCCGGGCACTTTGTCGCTGCTTGAGAAGTTGTTCTGATGGAAGTGAAGTTGTTGGCGGTCGTAGGCGAAATTGTCGATGAAGATGTTGTCGTTCCAGTCTCTGATGTTCCCGTTGTTGGAGCTCCTGTGGTCGCTGCAGTAGTCGTCGTAGTCGGTGGCGCTGTTGTTGCAGAGGTGTTGACAACGAGCAGGCTGTATTCGGTTGTAGCCTGAAAAAATAAGATTGGTGGAAAGTTATACAAAAAAGGCTGCATAAAGGTAAAAAATCGAAAACTCACGAATCTGACGAAGAGTTCGCAATCCGGTCCGTTTGGATGTCCGCCGATTTTACCACTATCAGTGTACACAAAAGTCGCATTTTGTCGAAGCAGGCTGAAGACAAGCAGTCGTTTATCAATGAGCTCCTCCCCACCATTCGTGATCTTCCATGTTTCAGGTTTAACGATTTGAGTGTCCTTTGGAACGCAAACAGCATTATCCGCGGCGTTGAAGAGCTCTGGTTTCGAGAAGTTCATCGTGAACGCGCTCGCAGAGTTTATTGTCAGATCGAAGGTCATGCTAGATCGTTGTTTATCCATGGGCTGGTACTGTTTCACTCTTTGGTCCACCACTTCCCCGACTGAAAAGTATTTTCAAATAAAAATATTAAAAAATAAACTCACTTAGATGTGTGAAGGCATAGACTTGTCCCATACCTCCGCTCCATGAAACTTCAAGTGATGTCGGCGGCATGCATGTAAAACACATTTCTTTGTTGCAATCTGCGCCAGATCCATCGTACTGGCGATTATTGAGCTTTTCGATGTCTTTGTTGTTCACGCTGTAGACGAAAGGCAGGCTTAAAATTTGAGGGGAGGGAGTTTATTTATTATAATTACCTAGTCGAAAGAAACTTACATATTATTATAACTTTTGTCGAAATTGGCAACATCGTCGAGGCATTTGTTGAGTCTTCCTTTTCGGTCCCGCACTCCGGCCGTGAACTTGATGGTGTTGCTGTTTGACTCGTCCCTGCTGAGAAGATCCACAGTGCATCCTTTGCTGCCATAGTTGTACCGAAGCTCGCTGAAATTGAAATAAGTTTATGACTAACTTTAAAAAGAATTTAAAAAAAGTCCTCACATGTAGTCGTCTTCGATTATAACATCGCAGGCGTCCGGATACAGCTTCCTGAAGTTACAATCAGCAAGGTCGTCGATGTTTGCCCTGTTGGCAATTACGGTGTCGTCGGCGAGCGTCACTTTGTTGCCATCCTTTGTGTGCTTGCCGAATCCGACTTCTTCGCTTTTGTCCTGTCCAAGAACTGCAAGTGCGGCGATGGTGAGCAGCAGCAGCAGAGAGCACAGCGTTGACGGCTTCTTGGTCCAGGGTCCGGTGTCGAGCTCCAATGGAAGAAGGCAGAGCATGTAGAGTGTTGTAGACGATGTAGACGTTTGAAGAGATGTGATGATTGTTTTGTAGGGTCGGTGGAAATGAATAGGATGTCGGGGCTTTTATAGTAAGAATGAGTTGTATCTCTAATTGTGCATATCGCTTAGATAGCTTCTGTGGCCAACCTAACTTTAAAAAAACCTATCTTAAATTGAGGATGTATCTAGATTGAGAGTTATGAGATCCAGAAGTAAGATTTTAGCGTAAGTTTAGCCGCCAAGAGGCTTCGAACCTCCGACAACGCTGTTAGTGCGCGCTTGCCTTGCTCACACCTATACAGGTGTAATGCAAGCAAAGTTATCAATACAAAATTTCAATTTCCAATTTGATTGTTTTATTGGCTCCAGAGCTCCAGATAGTTTCAAAATTAACTTTCAACCCACCACACTTATTCAAAAAACCAAAATTCCATTTTTCCATTTAAAGGTTTTAAACGTTTCAATATCTTCATCTCCAATAAATTCAAAACCTCCAACTTCCTCTCCAATAATTTACCAACCTTCCCCATCAATTAATATACACCCAATACCCCACCAACAGCAACAATTACCCTCCTTACAACAACAACAATTAAATTTAAATCGTTTAAATTATTTATTAGCAATACAAAAACAACAACAACAAAATAAAAATTTATTTTCTGCTTTTTTAAATTGTAATGGGATAATTAATAATCAAAATAATGAACAATTACAACAACCCATTTTTTCTTGTAATTTGTGCCCACAAAAGTTTACTAACCAAGTGAGAATTTTGTTTTAATTTTTGGGGTGGGACGAATTGAGGTTGGGACGAATTGGCGGTTTTTGGTCAGTGGGACGAATTGATGGTTTTTAGGGAGTGGGACGAATTGGGGATTTTTAGCCAGTGGGACGAATTAGGTGTTTTTGTTCATTGGGACGAATTGGGGCTTTTTAGTCAGTGGGACGAATTGGAGGTTCGTATATTAAAATTTAAAAAATGAATGATAATTCCTGAAGACCTCAGAGAGAGACCTGGATACATTAGAGCTCTCTTTTTATCTGCCCTCTAATCTATTCCTTTTTCGTTGTTCCGAAGCCAGGATAAGTTTTAAAATTAGAGGCCGGTACAGGACAGGATCCTGTACGGGATTCTACGGGATCCTGTCCCGAAATCCCGTATTTTAAGCGACGAACGGGATTTTCGGGATTTACGGGATTAATCCCGCGGGATCTAGTCCCGTAAAAATTTTTTAAAAGAATCCCGTTACTGGATCCCGTGAATGCGATCTTACCGATTTCTACTTAAAATTCTAATAGGTACACTAGAGTCTCAAAATTTATTTAATTTTCCAAATTTTAGAGTGCCTATATTTACCATCGGACATTAATGCATTTAAAAGAAAATAAAAATGAGGAATTAATAAAAATTGAAGAAAACCCTTCAAAACCTCCTCCTCTTCCTCTACCTATTTTTGATAATTTAAATGATTTGTCTAAATACCCAATTTTACAATTATTAGCTGCTGATGCCTATTTTTCTTCAGCTAGGTAAATATTTAGATTTTAGTGGTTGTTATATAGAGGTTTTTGTGGTTATAAGAGACTAGACTTTTCCTATATTATCGCACAGATATTTGAAATAACTTGGAACATGGGGTATGAAGAGATGAATAACTTGGAAGTATTTGGGATAAAACTGGAAGTTGGGAGGATAATTCAGAGACACATCTTCTGAACTAGCTATTTAATGATAATCTTACCACACATAAATTTGGAATAGTTCATAGCTTTGGATATGAATGGGATGACTTGGAATTGGGATATTTATTCGGGAGGACCTTAACTAGAATTGAAGTTGGGAAGTCTCCAACTTATACCTTCCTTTAATTCCAAGCGGGATAACTAATTTGTAAGAGAGAGCTCTTCTACTAGGAGAGGAGGTCTTAAATTTTCTCACTTTGGCTTATCACACCTTTTCTTCTTTTTAGCCCACAAAAAACATCACCAGTAATATGCCCTTCATCTTCCTCTTCATTATGCTCCTCTTCAGCATCATCAGCATGTTCCTCAACTACTTCAACCGATTTTCCCTCAAATTCAATAATTTCTGAACAATTTAATTCCTCTTCTTCAATTCAACAACACCAACAACATTTTAATTTTCCTCCCCACAACCAATTTTCGTCTTCATTTAATTGCCAAAATTGTTTATTAGAAAAACAACGTTTAATAGAAAAAGAAAGAGAATTGGTTGAAACACGTACTGAACTTGAACGGATTAGAAGTAAAAAAATTAATTTAAATGCTGGGTTAAGCTAGAGAGTGTGGGGGATAGCTGGAAGGTTTATGGGATAACTGTATTACATATAACCTCGAACTTTTCCCCGAGAGAGAGAGAGAGACATGAGACTTTGCTGTGACTTAACCTACGAATCTGTTACTTGTCCCAATTATCTCTTAGTTTTCAGTTACAAGGGCTGGGATAATTTGAAAGACCTCTCTCATTTGCCTCCTTTCTCATCTGTTTTCTTGTTCCGAAGCTAGGGCAAGTTAGATAACGTGCGGTTTAAGGAATAATTGTAATGGGATTTTGGGATTTTATTTGGACTTTACTTTATAAACCTGGGACTTCTCCCTAGGAATATAACATGAGACTGTGACTTATCCCAAGAAACTGGGACTTATCCAAATTATCTCACAATCAGTTTTCAGTTCCAAGGCTGGGATAATTTTAAAGACCCTCTCATTTGTCTCCTTTCTCTCGTTCCTTTTTGTTCAGAAGCTGGGATAATTTGGAGACCTCAAAATTCCAAAAGGTCCACTAGAGTCTCATCTAATAAAAAAAATTTTTTTTCAAGGCCTCTTCCTTCGTTTTGGCGTAATGTTGGGAATTAAAAATGAAGTATTACAACAAAATAAAAATTTATCGGGAGAAGAAAGGAGTAATAATTCAGCAAATATTTCTTCTATTGGAGGTGTTAATATTCCAAATCAAATTTTATTATTAAATAAAAATGGAGCCGCAAATTGAAAATTTTATTTATATGTACAATTTTTTTATTTTACTTAAAAAAATTTTTTTTTATTTTTTTGTCCAATTGTAAATTCCAGAAAAATTTTTTTAACGTCAAAAAAAATTTTTTTTGAAAAAAAAATAAAAAAAAATATTTTTTTGAAAATTAAAAAAAAATTTTTTTTCGAAAATCAAAAAAAATTTTTTTTTGGCGTTTTGTTGCCTTTTTAAATTTCACATCTCATACCTTTTGAAAAATATATAGCTTTTACTTTATTATTTTTTGAATAAATTTTCTTTAAAATTTTTCCTCAAAACCCTTAAAATGAATCATGCCATTTCGCCACAAAGGCAAAAATTGACCATTTTGTCACAAAAATTTTTTATTTGTTAAAATTCTTTTTTTCATTAAAAATCGTGTGAATAGACAAAAATAGAGGAGTTTAGTAATTTAAGGTGAATGAGAAAAAAAGGAAGTGAACGGGAAGAAAATTCCATTGTTTACCTTATTTGTTAGAGAAGAAGGAAAATACTCTTGACTAAGAAAATTTTTTTTATTTATTTTTGTTATCCAAAAACAAACATTTTTAAGGTTGGTTACTTTCCCCTCCGTTCCTTCCTCTCTTAATAAAAAAAATTTTTTTTGTCGAGTAAACAAATTCCTCTACCTTTCCCCCCTTCCCTTCTACAGTCAACTGTTCCCCCTCCCTTAAATAGAAAAATAAAAAAGAAAAAAAATTAAGGGGAGTGCGCGATCTTCAACATTCCCTCTTTTTCCCCTCTACCTCTCAAGAAAATAAAATTAAGCTTTAAGTAAAAAATTATTTTTTTTCTGTTTGTTTGTTTGCGCGAAATTTGGGGTCAAGAGAATTGTTACAAAAATTAAGAAAAAATAAGTCGACGAGATTGCCTTTTTTGACCTGAAAAAATTATTAAACTTGAAAAGATTAATTGGAGTCAACAAGGTAGAAAAGTAGAAAAAAGGGGTTTGAGAAAATTTTTTATTTTTAAAAAATTTTTTTAGAATTAACGTTCTTTTACCCCACTTATACAAAAATTAAAAAAAAATATCTTTAAAATTATTTTTAAATAATTTCCGGAAAGAAAAATAAAAATAAAGTTGATGATTTATTAGAAAATACACCCATTAAATGCTACCGTATCTTCGCGATTAATTCCCTTCCAAATAATTCCGTATCCCACGGAAGGGTTGAAATACTAATTCCCCAGGGAAGAAAATAAGGTATTTAAATATTCCAACTTTTCCGGAAAAGAAAATAAACAATTTTCATTTCCGGTTTTTATAGGAAAATATACTCAATAGACTTTTCCGGAAAGAAAAGAGGAAAAATAAATAAACCTTACTTTTATACTAATGTGTTTTCACACTTTTCCGGATGAATTTTATTAAGAGTTATTTGTTTTGTTTATTTACCTAAACCCTTCCAACACAATATTTTTTCAACACCTATTGTCCCCTTATTTTTTAAACAAAAACTTTGGCCATTAGGAAAGGTTTTATTTTCCACAGCGGGATTTCCGTTGAAAATATTTTTGGTGATTTTCGTTGCGTAAGCTATATATTTAGAGTGCTTTAATTGGTTATAATAATGTCCAAGTTTACACAAAATATTTTTTCCACCACGTTCTAAAATGAAGGGAGAATTCACAAAAAAATCATTTTGGAAATTGGAAAAATACATAAAACAAAGTCGAAATGAACTAAAAATGCTGAAATTTTTTCATCTATTTTCCAACCTTAGGGGTTGTATAAAATTCGAAGTTTCCGGAAGGAAAAGAGGAAAATAATTTTTCCCTTTTCCAAGTCTTTTTTGGAAGCCTAAAATGTCGTTTAGCAGGCGTGTTATCGCATAAACACACATATTGTTAGATTTATGGGTTGTCTTGACCACTGCTTGGAAATTTCAGATTTGCTCGTACTCGTATTTCGTACCTAAGTCCGTTTACGAATTTAGCCGACATACCCGTTTCCAAGCACTTGTCTCGACTTGTCGGGAAGAACCTCTTTTCGGAAAACGGGTACGTCGGCCAATGGTTGTCGAGGATCGGGGATCCTTAGATCTGACTTTCAAATCGGGAGTGTATTTTTGTGTTCAGTTTAGAAATAACTAAAATATGGGGTATTTCCTAATTTATCGAATCAAATGAACAATACAAACACAACAATTTATTTACATACAAAAATACAATTAAATACAACAATTCAAATACAATACAAACAACAAGAAATATACAATACATACAATGAGTGAACAATATATATAGGGGACATAGCAAAGGAACAATATATAGATAATCACACATTTTTATATCTCGAGCGTCACCTTCACACAACTTCCGGGCCAAACTCCTCCTCCCTATTCAGTTTCTGGAATCGACTCATCAACGGCCCCGGGAAGATACGGCTTATCATATGGCTTCTTTCCCCTCCCATATTCAAGCGCAGTTGATGTTCCATCGATCACTTCGAACGGATAGATTTTCCTCATCTGAAAAATATAAACATGACTAGTTGACTTTAGAAAAAAATATTTTTCTCACCCTTTTCCAATACTGGAAATTCCCAACGGCATCATATCCCTTTTTAGCCTTTTCCGGTTCATATTCGCGGGCGTAGACCTCGTTGTCCCTGTGCTTCTCGAACTGGTCTACAAGGAACTGCATCTTGGCTTTGGCGTGATCCTTCTCCACTCTCTTCCAGATTACAGCGATCATGTCGTCGACTGAACCAATCTCAAACGCAGTTGTTTCATCACTCTCCTTTCTCTGAAAAAATGGGAAAAGAAGGTTGATTAAATGTAAGTATTTTCTCAAATTTTTAAACTCACATTCTTTTTCCAAACATCAAATGTCCCGACGGCCTTTTTGCCTCTGATCTTCACTTCAGCCTTGTACAGAGCAAGTTGTCGTTTTTCTTCTGCGCGTTCGGCATCCTGCTTCCACTTTCTCTTATCCTTTTCTGCCTTGTCCTTCATCCAGAACCAGACCAAAACTGCAATGACGATCCCGACAGAGAGGCCAGCAGCAGCAATGCCAATTGAACTGTAGAGACCTCCGCCACGCTCTTGTTGTTCCGGGGGCTTTGTCGTTGTTCGAGATGTCGTTTTGATGGAAGTGGAGCCGTTGTCGGTCGTAGGCGGAGTTGCGGATGAAGAATCAGCTGTCGTTTCAGTCGTGTCTGATGTTTCCGTTGGCGGATCCTCCGTGGTCGTTGAAGTAGTCGGTGGCGTTGTCGTTGGAATGTGTACAATGAGCATCTTGTAGTCGTTTGCATCCTAGGAAAAACGAAATTATTAGGAGGGTCACAAAGATATTAGGATCAAAAAAAGAGGTCTTAAAATTGAAAAACTCACAAACTGAACGAAGAGTTCACACTTCGGTCCATTTGGAGGTTCTGCCAAGTTGTTTCCGTCGTACTTTAAAGCTGCGTTTTGTCGAAGCAGGCTGAAGACGAGCAGATGTTTGTTCTTGTAATCACCTTCCGTGATGTTCCATGCCTTGGGTTCGAAGAGAGGAGCTGACTCTGGAACACATTCAGCTTTCTTAGCGTTAAATGGCTCGACGTCTTTATACTCCATCGTGAATCCGCTTGCAGTACTTATCACCAAATCTAGGGTCATACTCTCACCCTCCGGCTTCTTAAACTGACTCAAGCCTTGTCGATCATTTTCACCAACTAAAAAGTGATTTTAGAAAAATAAAAACAAACAAGCCTCTTACTTAGATTTGTGTGAGCATAGACCTCTCCACGAATCTGGCTCCATGAGACTTGAAGTGATGTATGACGCTTGCATTTTCCACCAAAGTCTCCGCATGCTTCTTCTTTACACTCTGCTCCTGAATCGTTGTACTGGCGGTTGTTGAAACCTTCTATGACCTTATTGTCGACGCTGTAGACGAAAGGCAAGCTATAAATATCAGGATAGATTACCTAACATACATAAATGAACTTTCAAATAGAATAAAGAAGTAAAAACTCACGTGTTGTTAGAGCTTTCGTCGAGGTTATTACCAGCGTCAAGGCATTTGTAGAGTCCTCCTTTTATGTTTCGCACTCCGGTCGTAAACTTAATTGTGCTGTTGTTTGACGCGTTTTTGCTGAGAAGATCCACAGTGCATCCTTTGCTGCCGTTGTTGTACCGAAGCTCGCTGAAACAAAATAAAATGTCAGTTACGATTGGTCCTAAGAAGGAATAAAAAAGTCCTCACATGTATTCGTCTTTGATTGTCACATCGCAGGCGTCCGGATACAGCTTCTTGAAGTTACAATCAGCAAGGTCGAAGTTTGTACTGTTGGCAATTATGATGCTGTCGACGAGCGTCACCGTGTCGTTTGTCTTTGTATGCTTGCCGAATCCGACTTTTTCTCTGTTGTCCTGTCCAAGAACTGAAAGTGCGGCGATGGCTAGCAGCAGCAGAGAGCACAGCGTTGACGACTTCTTGGTCCAGGGTCCGGTGTCGAGCTCCAATGGAAGAAGGCCGAGCATGAAGAGTTGTTGCTGCAGACGATGTAGATGTTTGAAGAGATGTGATGATTGTTTTTGTAGGGTCGGTGAAAATGAATAGAATGTCGGGGCTTTTATAGTAAGAATGAGTTTTATCTTTAACTAGGGTTATCGCTTAGATAGCTTCTTTGGCTTAAAAACCTATTTAAAAAACTTATTTCAAATTGAGGATTATCTAGATTGAGAGTTATGAGATCCAGAAGTAAAAGTTTAGCCGCCAAGAAGGCTTCGAACCTCCGACAACGCTGTTAGTGCGCGCTTGCCTTGCTCACACCTATGCCGGTGTAATGCAGTGAACGAGTCGACGAAAAAATAAATTCCCAATTTCGGGAATCGAGTTTGCTCGTTCCCTGGTGTACCTACAAAGTCTCTTCAACTTTGGTATAGCTTGAAAATGTCGGAGTAGTCTTTAGGGATCAAAAAATTCCCAATTTTTTAAGGAACGTAGCAAACTCCAATCAATGTTATCACTACAAAATTTCACTGTTTCGGTTCCCATTTGATTGTTTTATAGGCACCAGATAGTTTCGGAATTAACCGTCAACCCACCAAAAATTTCATTTTAAATTTTTAATTTTCTTCCTTTCTACATTTAAAGGCTTTAAACGTTTCAATATCTTCATCTCCAATTAATTCAAAACCTCCAACTTCCTCTCCAATAATTTACCAACCTTCCCCTTCAATTAATATACCACCAATACCCCACCAACCATTACCCCCCTTACAACAACAATTAAATTTAAATCGTTTGAATTATTTATTAGCGATACAAAAACAACAACAACAAAATAAAAATTTATTTTCTGCCTTTTTAAATTGTAATGGAATAATTAATAATCAAAATAATGAACAATTACAACAACCCATTCTTGCTTGCAATTTGTGCCCACAAAAGTTTACTAATCAAGTGAGAATATTGTTTTAATTTTTGGGGTAGGACGAATTGAGGTTGGGACGAATTGGGATTTTTAGTCAGTGGGACGAATTGTGGATTTTATCCAGTGGGACGAATTGGTGATTTTTATTGAGTGGGACACATTGAAAATTCGTATACGAGAATTTAAAAATTGAATGATAATCCCTAGAGAGAGAGACTTAGGCACATTAAGCTCTCTTTTTAACTGCCCTCTAATCTATTCCTTTTTCGTTGTTCCGAAGCCATGATAAGCTGAAACCTTAAAATTACAGGCATGCACGGGACAGGATCCCATACGGGATTTTACGGGATCCTGTCCCGAAATCCCGTATTTTAAGAGACGAACGGGATTACCGGGATTTACGTGATCAATCCCGCGGGATCCTGTCCCTTTAAATTTTTTGAAAAAAATCCCGTTACGGGATCCCGTGAATGCGATCTTACCGATTTCTACTTAAAATTCTAATAGGTACACTAGAGTCTCATAAAATTTATTTAATTTTCCAAATTTTAGAGTGCCTATATCTACCATCGAACATTAATGCATTTAAAAGAAAATAAAAATGAGGAATTAATAAAAATTGAAGAAAACCCTTCAAAACCTCCTCCTCTTCTACCTACTTTTGATAATTTAAATGATTTGTCTAAATACCCAATTTTACAATTATTAGCTGCTGATGCCTATTTTTCTTCTGCTAGGTAGTTATTTTAATTTTAAAAGTTTATTATAGAGGTTTTTGTGGTTATAAGAGACTAGACTTTTCCTATATTATCACACAGATATTCGAAATAACTTGGAACATGGGGTATGAAGAGATGAATAACTTGGAAGTATTTGGGATAAAACTGGAAGTTGGGAGGATAATTCAGAGACACATCTTCTGAACTAGCTATTTCATAATAAGTGGACCTCTCTTACCTTATCACAGAAAATTGCATAATAATTGGACCTCTTTATCTTATCACACATAAATTTGGAATAACTCATAACATGGGGGTATGTGAATGGGATGACTTGGAGTTGGGATTTGGGTGTTTATTTGGGATATCTCTGCGAAGAATTGGAGTTTGGAATATCCCCTCTATCTTATCACCCTTCCTTTAATTCCAATCGGGATAAGTGCATAGGAGAGAGCTCCTATTTTTTACTTCCTTTGGCTTATCACACTTTCCCCTTCTTTTTAGCCCACAAAAAACATCACCAGTAATATGCCCTTCCTCTTCCTCTTCATTATGCTCCTCTTCAGCATCATCAGCTTGTTCCTCAACTACTTCAACCGATTTTCCCCCAAACTCAATTTCTGAACAATTTAATTCTTCAATTCAACAACAACAACAACATTTTAATTTTCCTCCCCAACACCCCCAATTTTCGTCTTCTTTTAATTGCCAAAATTGTTTATTAGAAAAACAACGTTTAATAGAAAAAGAAAGAGAATTGGTTGAAACACGTACTGAACTTGAACGGATTAGAAGTAAAAAATTAAATTTAAAAAAGCTGGGATAGGCTGGAGAATGTGGGGGATAATTGGGAGGTTTATGGGATAACTGTAATATATAACCTAGGACTTCCCTGGGAGAGAGAGACATGAGATTTTGCTGTGACTTCCCACGAATCTGTTACTTGTCCCAATTATCTCTTAGTTTTCAGTTCCCAGGATAATTTGAAAGACCTCTCATTTGCCTCCTTTCTCATCTGTTTTCTTGTTCCGAAGCTAGGGCAAGTTAGATAACGTGCGGTTTAAGGAATAATTGTAATGGGATTTTGGGATTTTATTTGGACTTTACTTTATAAACCTGGGACTTCTCCCTAGGAATATAACATGAGACTGTGACTTATCCCAAGAAACTGGGACTTATCCAAATTATCTCACAATCAGTTTTCAGTTCCAAGGCTGGGATAATTTTAAAGACCCTCTCATTTGTCTCCTTTCTCTCGTTCCTTTTTGTTCAGAAGCTGGGATAATTTGGAGACCTCAAACTTCCAAAAGGTCCACTAGAGTCTCATCTAATAAAAAAATTTTTTTCAAGGCCTCTTTCTTCGTTTTGGCGTAATGTTGGGAATTAAAAATGAAGTATTACAACAAAATAAAAATTTATCAGGGGAAGAAAGGAGTAATAATTCAACAAATATTTCTTCTATTGGAGGCGTTAATAATATTCCAAATCAAATTTTATTATTAAATAAGAATGGAGCCGCAAATTGAAAATTTTTATTTATGTGTACAATTTTTTTTATTTTACTTAAAAAAATTTTTTTTCTTTGTCCAACTGTAAATTCCAGCAAATTTTTTTAACGTCAAAAAAAATTTTTTTTGAAAAAATTTTTTTTCGAAAATTAAAAAAAAAATTTTTTTGGCGTTTTGTTGCCTTTTCAAATTTCACATCTCATACCTTTTGAAAAATATATAGCTTTTACTTTATTATTTTTGAATAAATTTTCTTTTCAAATTTCCCTTAAAAGCTTAAATTTATTTTAAACAAAATTTTTTGCCATTTTGCCACTAAGGCAAAAATTGACCATTTTGTCACAAAAATTTTTTATTTGTTAAAATTGCTATTTTTTCATTAAAAATCGTGTGAATAGAACAAAAATAGAGAGGTTTAGTAATTTAAGGTGAATGAGAAAAAAAGGGAAGTGAACGGGAAGAAAATTCCATTGTTTACCTTATTTGTTAGAGAAGAAGGAAAAAACTCTTGACCAAGAAAAAAAATTTTTTATTTTTTTATTTATTTTTGTTATCCAAAAACAAACATTTTTAAGGTTGGCTACTTTCCCTCCGTTCCTTCCTCTCTTAATAAAAAAAAAATTTTTTGTCGAGAGAATTCCTCTACCTTTCCCCCTCTTCCCCTCTTTCTACAGTCAACTGTTCCCTTCCCTTAAATAGAAAAATAAAAAAGAAAAAAAATTAAGGGGAGTGCGCGATCTTCAACATTCTCTTTTTTTCCCTCTCAAGAGAAAATAAAATTAAGCTTTAAGTAAAAAATTATTTTTTTTGTTTGTTTGTTTGCGCGAAAGTTGTGTGGGGTCAAGAGAATTGTTACAAAAATTAAGTAGAGATTGCCTTTTTTGACCTGAAAAATTATTAAACTTGAAAAGATTAATTGGAGTCAACAAGGTAGAAAAGTGGAAAAAAGGGGTTTGAGAAAATTTTTTTATTTTTTAAAAATTATTTTTATAAAAATTTTCCATTAATTAACGTCCTTTTTACCAACCCTTATTCCGAATAGCTTTAAAATTATTTTTAACTAAATCCGGAAAAAATAAAAATAAACTCTCCGGTTTTTATAGGAGAAATACGCTTTTTAAGTGTTATTTAAATATTCCAACCTTTTCCGGAACAGAAAATAAATAATTTCCATTTCCGGTTTTTATAGGAAAATATCAAGAAGAGTTCAACTGACTCTTTGACCTATAACTCAGGAAGGTGTTGTTACTTTTTAATTTTCTTGGCACCAACGTATAGAGAATTGAATACACTACAATATAGCAAAAAATCAGAATTATTGGCTGATTGATAAAAAAATTTTTTGAATCTAAAGAATCTTTTTTCAAAAACAATGTGATTTTTCGGTACGTTATCGATCATAACTTTTTTAACAGTTGGTCAATAATTCTGATTTTTTGGTATCTTGTAGCCTATTTAATTCTCTATCCAATGGTACTAATAATATTAAGAAATGTTGAATCTTTCAAAAGTTATAGGGCCCGGATTCAGTTGAGTCTTAAGTCAGTTGAGGTTTACCCAATAAAATACACTCCTTCCAATATTATTCAAATATTCGTCCAACCTTTCCGGAAACGAAAGAAAATAGGAAAAATAAACCTTACTTTTATGCTAATGTGTTTTCACACTTTTCCGGATGAATTTTATTAAGAGTTTGTTTGTTTTGTTTATTTACCTAAACCCTTCCAACACAATATTTTTTCAACACCTATTGTCCCCTTATTTTTTAAACAAAAACTTTGGCCATTAGGAAAGGTTTTATTTTCCACAGCGGGATTTCCGTTGAAAATATTTTTGGTGATTTTCGTTGCGCAAGCTATACAAGTATAGATAGAGTGCTTTAATTGGTTATAATAATGTCCAAGTTTACACACAAAATATTTTTTCCACCACGTTCTAAAATGAAGGGAAAATTAAAAAAAATAATTTTGGAAATTGGAAAAATAAAACAAAAGTCAAAATGAACTAAAAATGAACAAATATCTTTTTATCTATTTTCCAGCCTTAGGGGTTGTATAAAATTCCAAGTCTTTTTTGGAAGCCTAAAATGTCTTTTAAAACACACTTATTTTTAGATTTAGGGGTTGTCTCGACCCGTCGGGAAGAACCTTTTCGGAAAACGCGTATGTTGGGGAATGGATTGTCGAGGATCGGGGATCCTAGTTAGATATCAGGGTTGTGCCGAAACAGACGCGAAATCCAAAAGTCCAAAAACGCGAAAATCCGCAAAATGCGAAACGCGAGACTCGTACACCCCTGTTAGATCTCTTTTTTCAAATCGCGAGTGGATTTTTTGTTCAGTTTGTAGATAATTAAGATAGGGGAGTATTTCCTAATTTTTCGAGTCCATAAAGCAACACAAACACAACAATTTATTTACACACACAAAAATACAATTGAATACAACAATTCAAATACAATACAAACAACAAGAAATATACAATACATACAATTTAAACAATATATTGGGGGGAACAATGTGAACAATATATTGGGGGGAACATAGCAAAGGAACAATATATAGATAATCACACATTTTTATATCTCGAGCGTCACCTTCACACAACTTCCGGGCCAAACTCCTCCTCCCTATTCAGTTTCTGGAATCGACTCATCAACGGCCCCGGGAAGATACGGCTTATCATATGGCTTCTTTCCCGCCCCATATTCAAGCGCAGTTGATGTTCCATCGATCACTTCGAACGGATAGATTTTCTTCATCTGAAAGTTAAAAATGACTAGTTACATTTAAAAATTTTTTTTCTCACCCTTTTCCAATACAGGAAATCCCCAACGGCATCATATCCCTTTTTAGACCTTTCCGGTTGATATTCGCGGGCGTAGACCTCGTTGTCCCTGTGCTTCTCGAACTGGTCTACAAGGAACTGCATCTTGGCTTTGGCGTGTTCTTTCTCCACTCTCTTCCAGATTACAGCGATCATGTCGTCGACTGAACCCATCTCAAACGCAGTCGTTTCATCACTCTCCTTTCTCTGAAAAAATGGGAAAAGAAGGTTGATTAAATGTATTTTCTCAATTTTTAAACTCACATTCTTTTTCCAAACATCAAATGTCCCGACGGCCTTTTTGCCTCTGATCTTCACTTCAGCCTTGTACAGAGCAAGTTGTCGTTTTTCTTCTGCGCGTTCGGCATCCTGCTTCCACTTTCTCTTATCCTTTTCTGCCTTGTCCTTCATCCAGAACCAGACCAAAACTGCAATGACGATCCCGACAGAGAGGCCAGCAGCAGCAATGCCAATTGAACTGTAGAGACCTCCGCCACGCTCTTGTTGTTCCGGGGGCTTTGTCGTTGTTCGAGATGTCGTTTTGATGGAAGTGGAGCCGTTGTCGGTCGTAGGCGGAGTTGCGGATGAAGAATCAGCTGTCGTTTCAGTCGTGTCTGATGTTTCCGTTGGCGGATCCTCCGTGGTCGTTGAAGTAGTCGGTGGCGTTGTCGTTGGAATGTGTACAATGAGCATCTTGTAGTCGTTTGCATCCTAGGAAAAACGAAATTATTAGGAGGGTCACAAAGATATTAGGATCAAAAAAAGAGGTCTTAAAATTGAAAAACTCACAAACTGAACGAAGAGTTCACACTTCGGTCCATTTGGAGGTTCTGCCAAGTTGTTTCCGTCGTACTTTAAAGCTGCGTTTTGTCGAAGCAGGCTGAAGACGAGCAGATGTTTGTTCTTGTAATCACCTTCCGTGATGTTCCATGCCTTGGGTTCGAAGAGAGGAGCTGACTCTGGAACACATTCAGCTTTCTTAGCGTTAAATGGCTCGACGTCTTTATACTCCATCGTGAATCCGCTTGCAGTACTTATCACCAAATCTAGGGTCATACTCTCACCCTCCGGCTTCTTAAACTGACTCAAGCCTTTGTTATTTTCACCAACTATAAAATGATTTTAAAAAATAAAAACAAACAGGCCTCTTACTTAGATATGTGTGAGCATAGACCTCTCCATCCGATTGGCTCCATGAGACTTGAAGTGATGTGTGCCATCTGCATTTTCCACCAAAGCGTCCGCAAGCATTTGTTTTACACTCTGCTCTTGTATCGTTGTATTGACGGTTGTTGAGATCTTCTATGACCTTGTTGTCGACGCTGTAGACGAAAGGCAGACTATAAAATTAGCGTAAATTAACTATCAAATAAAATATGTAAGGGGGTAAAAACTCACATGTTGTTATAGCTGTCATCGATACCGGAACCTACTCCGAGGCAAGTGTTGAGTCCTCCTTTTGCGTCTCCTCGCACTCCGGTCTTGAACTTGATCTTGTTGCTGTTGTCCGCGTTGGTGCTGAGCAGGTCCACAGTGCATCCTTTGCTGCCTTTGTTGTACCGAAGCTCGCTGAAATTGAAATAAAATGTTAGTTACGATTAGCCTTTAAAAAATAACAAAGTCCTCACATGTATTTTTCTTCGACTGTAACATCGCAGGCGTCCTGATACAGCTCCTTGAAGTTATAACTAGCAAGGTCGAAGTTCGTCTTGTTGGCAATTATGGTGTAAGCGGTGAGCGTCACTTGGTCGTTTCCATCCTTTGTGTGCTTGCCGAATCCGACTATTTCGCTGTTGCCCTGTCCGAGAACTGCAAATGCGGCGATGGTGAGCAGCAGCAGCAGAGAGCACAGCGTTGACGACTTTCTGGTCCAGGGTCCGGTGTCGAGCTCCAATGGAAGAAGGCCGAGCATGAAGAATTGTTTGTGTAGATGATGCAGATGTTTGAAAAGTTGTGATGATTGTTTTGTAGAGGTGTTGGAAGTGAATAAGTTGGGGGTCTTTTATAGTATATTCTCAAGAAAAAACTGCGAAATTTCAAGCAAAGAAACGTAGAGGGGATATAAAAGCAGTTTTATTGAAATGTTCAATATCTTCCTTTGCCCCTTACCACGCCACTCATCGACAGGACTAAACTACAATGTCGTCTCCAACACACAACTGCTGTCATCCAAAGCAACAACAGCCGCAAACGACAGCAGGAGAACTTGCGAGCGTCATGCAGGAATTGCGTCAACGATTCAACAAACCGACGAACCCGAACGATGTGCCAGTTCAGCCTGTGCAGAAGAAGGAGCAGAAAAAGCAGCGTAGCTATCTTCAGAGAAGGAATGCTTTTCGGAGGAAGTGTAAGAAGCGTTTAGGATGTAAGATCCATTCACCAGCTAGTCTGTTTAAATTATTATTTTTAGGGGACATTTTCTCCAAGATCGAGATGTGCAGTGAGACAGAGCTTCTCAACGACTGGAACAAATTTCCAAAGGGGAAGTTGTGTGATTGTTCAGAAAGATTTCGCTTTTGGCCTGATTGCTTTTATGGCCGACAGCACACCAAATCCTGCCCATCCCTTTTCGTGTATTCTCCTAGACTGAAGAAGCTTGCTGTTAAAATGGATCCCGAAACTCTGGATTTCTTGAAAAACAAGTCCAAGCGGGAAACCATGAAGAAGCTTGATGATAAGGAGAAATGTAAGCGAGCCTAGAATTTACTAATCCTATAACATATTTTTAAGCGCCTAAGCACTGCGATGAGGCCATTGATCAGCCTGCTTGCTCTGACCAACATCTTGCCGAGCTCGACCCGAAGCAACAACAACTGCAAACGACAACAGAAGATCTGACAAGTGTCATGCAGGAATTGCGTCAACGATTCGACAATCGGACGACCGCGAAGGATGTGCCGACTCAATCTGTGCAGAAGGAGGAGCAGAAAGAACAGCTTAGCTTCTTTCAGAGGAGGGAGGCTTTTTGGAAGGAGTGCCTAAAGCGTTTAGGATGTAGGATCTATTCACTAACCAATTCTGTTTAAAACATTATTTTTAGGGGGTATTCTTGGTCGGGTCCATCTGCAGAGCGCGCCCGAACTTCGCAACGACAGGAAGAAATTTCCGAAGGAAGAGTGGTGTGATCGTCCAAGCTCGCAATATAATTGCTCTTTTGGCTGTCAGCATACAAAATCCTGCGAAGCTTTCTTTGAGTTTACTCCTGAGTATATGAAGCATATTGCCAAAGTCGAAGCCATAACTGGCCACAGAGGTCCAACCTTCTCGACTAAGAAGTCCAAGCAGGAAAACGTGGAGGAGTGTGATGCGGATGAAAAATGTAAGTTTTGGAACTCGACTTTTACATACAACTGATTTTTTACATTTTTAAGCGTTGGAGGGTGGCAATGATCGTCCTTCCTGCTCTAGCCGTCGGCTTATTGCCAGGTCCTACGACTACCTCACTCCTACTTCACTTGATGCTGTAGCAGCCAACTTTAGGAGCGACAGGGTTGCCAGCAATTTGACATCGTCTTCTGACGACTACTTTGGCCAGTCATCTGAAAACTTCAGTCTTGAGCCTCTTCTAGGTTCACTTGAGGGTAATTTTTTGTGGATTCCTTCCCTCTAATTTCCCTCAATTCTCAGATGTCAATCCTACAGAGACTTGCCTTCCGACTACCATGCATAAAAAGTTTTACTTCTTGGAAAAAGAGTGGTGTAGGAACACTGTGTCTGTTGCTGATGTTGTTGGGTCGTGGGAACGTGTCAATACAATGAATACCATGGAAGAGCTTGATCCGGAAAAATGTAAAAACTTTTAAAATCATTCAAAGACAAACCTTCAAAATTTTTCAGGGCAATTGTTGGAATACTCTGTTAGACCCTTTGCCTCGTTAGACGACTTCTTCACTATGTCATCGGCATCTTCCGGAAATGACAACTCTCTGGGCGCTCCAGTGTCAGTTCCAACAATAACTAGATCGGCGTCTACTGGAGACTTTGAAGGTGAACTTTTCAAAGATTTTCTTTCCAAAAATCTTCTTAATGAAATTTTCAGATATGGAATCTGTTCCCTCTTCTATTCAGTCTTCTGTCAGTTTTCTGTTTAGTCCTCCCGAAGCGAGAGAAACAGTGAGCCTTCAAACTACCATTCAAAAAGAGTCGTACTTCTTGGACGAGGACTGGGGTTTGGACTTTGTGTCTGTTGCTGATGTTGTTGGGTCGTGGGAACGTGTCAATACAATGCATACAATGGAAGAGCTTGCCTTCTTCACTGGATCGACATGTACTGACGATGTGGGAACAAGCACATCTGAAGGTGTGGATTTCCAAAATTTGTTTTCCAAAAATCTTTCCAATCTAATTTTCAGATATGAAGTCTGTTCCCTCTTCTATTCAATCTTCTGTCAGTCTGCTTAGTCCACTCGAAGCGCGAGAAAAAGTGAGGAAGTTGGCATTGCAAGCCAACAATGTGGATGACTTCTTCGAATTGATGTAAACACTAAATTTTCTGATTTTCCCCCAAATTTTCTTTCATTTTCCAGTCCAGACGATTTGCTCGACAACTTCTTCTCCGATTACAAAATGTTGGTGCGACATAAAATGTTGGAAGAGCAATGTGATAATATTAGGGAAGAACTGATGAAACAGCCCAAAAAAGCTGATGATTGAGGGAGAGGCAAGAAGAATGGATGTGAATTGATAACAATAAAATACAAAAATATTCTGTATAGGTTCAGGCTAAATAATGGCCTCTAAATTGGTGTTTTTACGGAAATTTTTTTTGAATTTTTTATAAATTCAAGGGTTTGGCGTTTCATTTTGGCGTTTCGTTTATTAAATGGAAAAATCAATTTTTTGGGGGAAAAACACCAATTTTTGACAAGTCTCATTCTTGATTTCCTCATAAATATTCCCTCAACTCATACCTTTTATTATAATAAAGCCATTAATGACGTCCCAACTTGTTAGGATTTGTATAAATATTTCCACATTTCGCTAATATAATTTTCGTTTGTTTATTGATTTGTGCGTTTCACTTGTATTTTTTATGAATATAAAATTTTAAAATTAATTTTTAGATTTTTTGTTAGGCTAATTCGAAGTTTTATTAATAAATTTATTTTTCTTCTTCAATGGCGGACACTATAGAATTTGCAAATGTTTTTCAAGAGGAGATGGGAGGCTTGGTATTTTTTAAAATTTATATATTTTTTCTGGATTTTTGTGTTTGAAATCTCGTTGGGTCGAATTGCGACGAAAAAGTATTTTTGATAAATTGGTATTTCTCCCTAATTTATTTAAAAACACTGGTCGGTTCGGGAGGGGTTTTTTTCATTTTTTGAAGTCAGGTCCTATTTTTCGGAATTTTTTTCCTTCGGAACTCAGCTTCATCGTGAGCTTTCAAGAATATTTTTGGTTCCGCAAAATTTTTAAAGGTGAGTTCCGAAAGAAAAAAATTCCGAAAAATAGGAACTGACTTCAAAAAATTGTCCGCAAAATTAAAAAGTTTGTCCACAAATTTTTTTTTAATTTTCAGAACGACGGATTTCTCAAGTTTTCTAAGCAAGGCGTCCAATTTAAAAGTAAAGCAACGGGAAAATTGATGACTATAAGCCCTCTAGAGATTGATCAATTTGCTTGGCAAAAATTGGGAAACAAGCCTGGAATTAAGGTTATAACGAATCAAGGAGTTCATCATCGTTTTGGAGGGTTGAAAGAAAGTGTAAGTAATTTTATAGAAAAATTTATTTAAGAAAAATATTTTAAGGATTTCGATAAAATTTCAAATTTTGTTTCTTCAAAGCTTGAATCTTCTTTGAAGAGGAATGACCTTTCATTGAAAGGGTGGAATTATGGAGAGACTGAATTTGAAGGTTAATTTAAATTTTTTGTTTGATTATGACAGGCTTGTTTCATCTCTCATTATTCTATTAGCTTGATTTGACTCTCTTATCGACCTGTTTTTGGGCCTCGAATCGATGTTAGGTTAAGGTTCTGCGGTAGACTGGTCTCCTCCTTCATACGCCATGTGGGTTCGAACCTCATCGGCCGCCGTCTTTTTTTCTTTTCTAATGTTTATTGATTAAGACAGGCCGATTCGCCCTATCGCAGCCCATTTGAGACATCGTATAAAGCGAATGTAGGCTTCTTTTGGTACCGAAATTGGTGTTACTACTGCTAGCAGTAGACAATCCCCCTCTCCCCTCCTCAAAGACTATGTTGGTTTGAACCTCATTGATTGCCTTGCTTTCTTATTTCATACAATTAACTGATATAATATTATTTAGGACAGAATTTAATTTTCAATATTGGCGAGAAAATAGCCTTTGAAGTTCCTCTGTCTAATGTAATGCGTTGTGTTGGAAGCAAGTCTGAGGCTATTGTTGAATTTATTGCAAATGAGGAATCTCCTGTTCAACTTACAGAAATGCGTTTTCACATTCCACAAGATCCAGAAAATGAGGATCAGGATATTGTTGAGGTTTATCATTTTTGTTAAAAATTATTTGTCCGCAAAAAATTTGCGGACAAAATTTTTTGTCCGCAAATTTAATCCGCAAAAATTAAAAAAAATTTTTTTTTAGGAATTCCGTAAAGAAGTAATGAGATTTGCCGAGGTCGAAAGTGAGAAAGACCAAGCAATTGTTACACTTCCAGATATTTTATTGGCAACACCTCGTGGACGTTATGAAATTAAAGTCTTTCCAAATCATCTTTCTTTCCACGGAAAGTCTTATGACTACAAAATACCTCTAAAAACAATTATGAGAATGTTTTTACTTTCACACAAGGATGGAAGGCATATGTATTTTGTTTTGCACATAAATCCGCCAATTCGACAGGGACAGACTAGATATCCTTTTCTTGTATTGGAATTTTCAAAAGAGGATCATATTGAACTTGATTTGTGTTTGACAGAGTTTGTTTATTTATATTTAAAAATTTAGTCTAATGGTAAGTATTCTGACAAGGGAACATATGTTACTGTGAGTACGAATTCGGTATTTTTCTTGGTACCATTCGATAGAGCACAGTCGATTTACTAATGTTATGTGCGGGTTTTCTTGCAAAATTAGTTTGGGCCGAGTTATGGCCGTACAAAGTTAGACCGCTAGAGTCTAGAATTATAGGGTAAGTAAACAATTTCTCTCTTATTTTTCATCCTCAAAATACCGACACGCCCATCTTCTCTTTATTTAAGTGTCTAACATTTTCCTCCTTTTTTTTCCTTCGCGCCTCTTGCGTTCTTTCTCATCGTTGCAAGTCAACATAAAAAAAGCAGAGAGAGTGAAAAGGGGAAATAGTTCGCTCATTTTCTCTCTTTTTCTTATTTTTCATCCTCAAAATACCGACACGCCCATCTTCTCTTTATTTAAGTGTCTAACATTTTCCTCCTTTTTTTTCCTTCGCGCCTCTTGCGTTCTTTCTCATCGTTGCAAGTCAACATAAAAAAAGCAGAGAGAGTGAAAAGGGGAAATAGTTCGCTCATTTTCTCTCTTTTTCTTATTTTTCATCCTCAAAGAACAAGCCACGCCTCTTCTCTTTGTTTATTGTGTCTGACATTTTCTCTCTTCTTTTTTCCTCACGACTCTTGCATTCTTTTTTCCTCTTTTAAAATAATGTGAAGAAAGCAGAGAATTGAAAAAAAAGTTATAGCGCGCTTATCTTCCCTCTTTTTTATACTCAACCATTCCCAAGGACTGAAACTTTGAACGGCCATAACTCGGCCCAAACTAATTTTGCAAGAAAACCCGCAAATAACATTAGTAAATCGATTGTGCTCTATCGAATGGTACCAAGAAAAATACCGAATTCGTACTCACAGTAACATATGTTCCCTTGTGAGTAGGGTTGAGGGTTTAGAATCGGGCTGACGTTCGAGTCGTTTTTCGGGCTTCATTTTTATTGGGCCTTCCCGACCGAGTCTTTTTCGGGCCAGAATTCAATGCCCGACTCGATCTTTTGGAGCAGATCGGGCCCCACTCTTAACTCTGATGTTTTTCATTTCTACTATCGAGTATGGAAATTATTTGTGAGACCTTGTAGAGTGGTTCAACAGCAAAATTCTTGGAGGATTATTCCCTGGGTGAAAGACTATTTTTCCCATATGCCGAGTACTATTTTTCCCATATGCTATTAAATAGAATCCCTGATATTTAATCGAAATTTTTTTTAATTTTTCACATTTTATCGGCCAATTTATAGGGCTTATTAAATTTTTTAAATGTACCATTTCAACAATTTTAATTTTTAAAAATTCTAATTTATTAAAATTTCTAGAGAACAACTTGCCCAGCAATACCAGAACAAATTGGATATGCATATGCGTGGTTATCTTTACGAAATAATTGCCAAATTATTTCGAGTTTTGGTTAATTCTCGAATTATTGTTCCTGGAAATTTTACAGGGTTTTCTTTAAATTAAAAAAATTTTCAAAAAAAAATTTTTCAGGGCCTCGGGCACTCCGGCAATTTCCTGTGCCGTTCGTCAATCTATGGGATTTTTGTATCCATTAGAAAAAGGATTTGTTTATGTCCACAAACCAGCATTATATATTCGGTTTGAAGAGGTTGATAATGTTCATTTTGCTCGTTCTGATGTTTCTACACGTTCTTTTGATTTTGAAATTGTTCAAAGAAGTGGAACATCTATTACTTTTAGTAATATTGGAAAGTTTGTTTTTTCTTATTCAGGTTTTGGAAGGGGTTCTCCATTTTATAAGGTTCTTTCCATTTTTTAAAATAAAAAATGTAAATAGGTGATTAAGACTAGGGAGATAATTTGCTACAAATTGAACCTTTTGGTCTAAATCCTTTTTTCCTGGTTTTAGTAATGAAGGGAGAAATCCAACTAGTTCATATTTAAAACGCTTACTAGGCGAAAGGTAGTAGAAAAAAAGAAAAGAAAGAGAGAAAGTAGTTCGCTCTGTCATTTGGTAGAAGACCTGTACATGGTGAGCGAGAGAGCCTATCAATAATTGCCGTTAGTCCTTGGATAATCCCCCCTCCCCTCGAAAAAATTCCTGGTTACGGGCATCCTTGGATTGATACCTGCCAGAGTCTGAACTTACCTCTCCCTTTATTGTTCTCTTTCATGGTCTTTTTCAATTAAATTTTTTAGAGAAGAATATAACAAATTGTTTGACTATGTCCAATCTAAAGGTTTAAAAATTCGAAATGCTCAACGTTTGGGTGAAAAATCTTATAAAGAAGACAAATTTGCTGCTTCAAGTGATGAAGAATTGGATCCCTATAAAGAAAAATTGAAGGATGATGCTAGGGAAAGAGCTGCAAATTCTGATTCAGATTCGGAAGATGGTAAGGAAAATAATTTTTTTGGATTTATTTTAACTTTAAAAAATCCCTAAGATTGGTTGGACTTGGGAGTAGAGTTGTTGGTTCTTGGAAAGTCTTCAGATTCCGAAACCGAGCAGAGTAACCAAACCGAAAAATTATCAGTTCTTCAGTCCGGTGGACCGACAACCCTACGTGGGAGTTTATATCTATTTTCTTTTTTGTGTCAGATTTTTGGTCTGTCTTTAGGACAAAACCTTTCTAAAATATAAAACCTAATTAAAAAATTCCCACTAGGGTTGCCGCCAGAAACCCGGCCTTTTTGTACCCGATACCCGAAAATAAAATTTTCCAACCGGAAACCCATACCTGATATTTTTGCCAACCCGAAATGAAAACGCTCCAACTCGAAACCCGTATCCGAAGATTTTTTGTACCCGCGGCAAACCTGATTCCCACATAAAACTTTTTTTAATTCCTCCATCAAATTTAAAATAAAATTTTTTTCTAACAGAGGATTATGATATGGAGAAAGATTTGAAAAAGCGTGAAAAAGAAAAGGAATCGTCTGAAGGTTCTGGATCTGAACCAGATGAGGAATATGATAGTAGTGCTGCTGCTTCTGTTTCTGATGATTTAATGGATGGAGGAGGGGAAACTGAAAAGACAACAAAAAAGAGTGAAAAGAAGAAAAAAGAGAAGAAAGAAAAAAAGGAGAAAGTATCTAAAAAAGGAGGTGGCGAAAAGAATGATAAGAAGGAAAAGAAGAAGAAGAAAGATCCGAATGCTCCAAAAAGAAATCAGGTACTAAATTTCAAAATGATTTGAGTTATAATTACCAGCCTGAATATGCCCGAGCAGATATGAACCTGTGACCCCACACACATACCTAGTTCTAAAAATTGCTCTGTGTCTTGTAACAGAAAATAATATTCAAAAAAAAGCAGAGACAAAATTGGCCGCATCTTTTCTTTCTTTTCCCCCTATTATTAGAGATCGGAACGGGATCGGGACCCGGTCCCGTTTCCCGGTTTCCCGGTCCTTTTTCCCGGCTTTTTTGAAGACGCCGGGATGAAACCGGGAACGGGAATTCCCGGTTTTCCCGGTCCGGGTCCCTCTCGGTCGACCTTCAGAACCCGTTTCCCGGTCCCGGTTTTTTTTAATTCCGATCTCTACCTATTATCTTTTCTGCCGCCAGACGCAAAGCTATTTCTAATTAATTCGTAGTATTTTCATAATTTATTCTCAAATAATAAACTTTTTTTTAGACAGCCTTCTTTTTATGGCAAACAGAAAATCGTTCAAAAATTAAAAAAGAGGGTGATACAATTGCTGAGACTGCTACTAGGGCTGGTCAAATGTGGAAGGAAATGAGTGCTGAAGATAAACAAGTGAGGAAGGAAGGGGAGGGGATTTAAAAAAATTCAAAAAAAAATTTCAAAAAAAATTTTTTTTCCCTCTTTAGCCTTATGAACAAAAAGCTAAGGAAGACAAGGAACGCTATGAGCGTGAAATGAAAATTTATAAAGACAAAAAACAAAAATCGGATGAAGAAAGTAATAATGAAGATGATGAACCTTCAACTAGTGCAAAGGCAACGAAGGCTTCTTCAAAACCGTCTTCAAAACCATCAACAACAAAATCATCAACAAAAAATTCTAGCCCAATTAAAAAGCCAATCTCAAAAGAATTTGTTGATGATTCGACTGATTCTTCTTCAATTTCTGATTGAATTAAAAATATTTTTTGCGTGCGTGAGTATGTGAACTCTCAATATTTGACTATATGAAAATTACTCTCCATTACTTTTATTTATTTTAATGGCAATATGACGAAAAAAAATATAAAATTTTCTTTTGGTTGAAGAATTTATGATTTCTTTAAATACTTTTTAGATAAGTAAAAATACACGGATTTTTAAGTTGGAAAACCCCAAAGGATCGAAACTATAGATATTGGGTGGATTTAAAACAAGGAATTTAATTTTAGGGAATAAATGGTAGAGCCTATTGGGGCAGTTTTTTGTGCCTATATAGGCGCCTAACTTTTTAGTGCCTAAAAAACCTAACTGATAATTATGTTTATAATAATCCCACACTTTGATTTTCGTGCTTAATTCAATAAGATTTGAGAATTATATTGAAAAAGAAGTCATTAAGCCCTTCTACTAGACATCAAAAAAATTTTTTCCCAATCCCTAGTTTTTAGACTTAATCTAACAAACCATTTTTCATACAAGTCGGTTGTGAGATTAATTACGTCATGAATAAATAAACCAACAAAATGATTCAGCTTTTTTTAATAAACTAAAATAACTTGTCAAAAGAATACTTTTTAAGAGACTACCCAAAAGATCACCACTCAAATTTTTTATTCTCCTCCGTTGATCTTTTGAGATCTCCAAATTTATAGGAATAAAATTCCATTAAAAAAATATAGCACAGCTGATCACTGAATGATTAGTGAGAGAGAGTGTTCCGCTTCAAATAACTTTTTGTGTGTTTATGTGAAAAATCACTTTTAAAATTTTTAAAATAAATTTCTATGATCACAAGAAATTTTTCCAATTTATTTTCTTATTTTTCCTACCTTTACGCCTGCAGGACTGTTAGAGTCGGTGAGCATTAGAATGAAAAATATGATGTGCACAAAGATGAGACTTTAAAGGTAAAGGGGGAAATTTAATTAGGTTCTCACAAAGGAGAGTGCCTGAGGTGTCCGTGGAACTTCGGGATGAACTTAGGTAGACAGGTAGATTATACCCTGCTTTAGTTATGAAATTTGCACCAATTTTACTGAATGGTACCGTGGACCGAGTTATAAGCCCACAAAGTTTTAAGATCCCCCAAAGTTTTCTTTTTTATATATCACTCTCCTTGTATCACACTCCTCAGGCTCTCCTTTGTTAGTGACATGCAGTTACCGGGAACGCATGGACGAGCAACCAAGAAATCAGAAGGACAGAAGAGTCTTAGGGCTTGTCTAGAAATTGACTACCTAGACGAGACTAATAAGTAAATATTTTTTTTAATGAAACCTTTAAAAAACAAATAAATAAATAAATAGAACGACTAAGAGTTGGACTGATAAATGATCAGATAAATAAGAGCAATCAATCTTGTAAGATAACCCAGACTCTAATGGGCCTATTAATATTATGGTCATTTCTTGAAGATATGCGAGACTCTAATGGACCTATTTTATATTATGGTCATTTTTATTTTATTTTTTTAATTTTATTATTTTTTTTCTTTCCATGAGTCATCCCCTAATTAATTAATTTAATTAAAATTCCAAAACAGTGTTAGTTAAACAATTTAAAAAATCAGTTAAAAAGCTCTCTATATTTATTTAATCAATCAATCCGCGTAAACCAATTTATTTACTTGCTTCTTCTTCAACACAACAAATATTAAACTAGTTTTTTCATCGTTTTTCACCTTTCTATTTTTTCTTTAAGCAAAAATCAATTTCTATTTAAAATTGATTTTTAATTAAAAAATTTTTTTCAATTGAAAAAATATTTTTCGTTAATTGGTCATTGTCCGCAAATTTAATCCGCAATTATTTTTTGGTCATTTAAAAAAATATTTTTTTGGACACTAATTTTAATTTTGAACCCTCTTAGAGTCTTTAATTTCCTTTACAATTTATTTCCTCTTTTTCTCCTGTTTCCAATGCTTTTCTTCTTGTAATTTATTTATTTGCGGAATTCTTCTATTATTGTCCGCAAATTTAATCCGCAATTATTTTTTGGTCATTTAAAAAAAATTTTTTGGCCACTAATTTGAATTTGAACCCTTTTTAGACCTATAAAAGATCATTCCCTCTTTCCTCCCGTTTCTCCCGTTTTTCCTGTTTTTCTTCTTGTAATTTATTTATTTGCGGACAATCCGCAAGTTTTATTCGGTAATTAACTAAATTAGCTAATTAAGCTTTTTATGAATAAAAACGGAATAATTCTGATTTAAATAACAAAAATCAGAATTTCTGTTAATATAAAAAATAGTTCAAATTAAATTATTCCCCAAAAAATTTTATTTTAAATATTTGCGGATTAAATTTGCGGACATTGAGCAAATAACGAAAAAAAATTTTTTTAAGAATTTGAATTATTTAAATATTAAAGAATATGTTTATCTATTTATTGTTTGTTTTGTTGATGGAAATTAGTAGAGTGTCAGCTGCGTCAAAATGTGTTTGGGTAGGTCCGAAAATTTCAAAAAAATTTTTTTGCGGACAATCCGCAAATTTATTTTTTTAATTTTTAAGGTTCGCGGAGCTATTTTATGCCATAAAGACCCTTCTAAACAATTTAATGTTGTGAGTGTCATTAAAGAGAATTATTTAAAAAAAATTTTTTAATTTTAAAGGAAGTTAGAGTCTATGATAGAGATGGTTTTGGTGTTCTTAAAGTAGTTGATCCCGATGATCTTATGGGGTAAAAAATATAATCTAACCTCGCTATAGGCTAGCTTGAAAGGGTTAAAAATTATCGGAGCTTATAATGAGGGTATACTAAATGGAGGTACCCCTCTTTATAATGGACGATATTTTAGTGTAATAATTAGGTGTACTTAAAATAGAGGGTATCGCTTAAATAGAAGTGTAGCTTAAATAGAGGTACCCCTCAATATAAGGCACTCTCATTATAAGAGACAATTTTATTGGACCTTATAATGAAGTATGGATTATAGGGTATCTAATCCACACGTACAGGCAGCTCCCCCCCAAGTGACCAACTAAATCTAAATAGCGTCTCTTAAATAGAGGGTGTATCTAATTCTGAGAATATCTTATAGTGAGGTTGACTATAATTTAAAGAAAAAATTTTAAAAAATTTTTTCCCAAAGAATTACTTTCACTGAACCAGACGGCACTTTTCAATTGGATGGGTGTGGGAAGGACTTTGATTGGATTCCTGGAGTGGTGGTAAATTTTTAAATATTTTAGAAAAATAAAAGGAGGAGGTTAGAGGCTATAAAAACAAATTTAAATAATTCTAAAAAACTGTGGGAGGCAAAGGGGTTCGAACCCACGACCCCCTTGGTTCCACAGGCAAGCACATTACGGCCCTATCCTAAAAAGAGGGCGCCTTGATTTTTTTTCCATCATTTTTTTCCAACCTTAATATATAAAAATGGTCAGTCTTTTCTTCCTCGTTCAATTCCACTCTTTTTACCTTTGGCATATTCAATTGAACAGAAAAGCACATACACTACAGACAAAACACGGACGGACAAACACAACCTTGTTTCGTCTGTCCGTGCTCGTCCGTGTTTGTCCGTGTTCGTCCGCGTTCGTCCGTGTTTTGTCTGTCCGTGCTCGTCCGTGTTATGTCTGTCTGTACTCGTCCGTGTTTTGTCTGTCCGTGTTTTGTCTGCGTGTTCGTCCGTGCTTTGTCTGTCCGTATTCATCCGTGCTCGTCCGTGTTTTGTCTGTCTGTATTCGTCCGTGTTTTGTATTCGTCCGTGTTTTGTCCACATTACCACTTAACCACAAGGGGATTTTTTCTCTGATTAAAGGATTTTAATTATTTTTTTATTTCCTTAGCCAAACAACCCTGATCCATACATTCAAATTCTTCATTATTGCAACACTCCAAAAGGCGAGACTTTGGAGCTACCTGAATTTGACACATTTGTTGTGAGTTAAAAAAAATTTTTTGAAAATTAAAAAATTTTTTTTCAGCCAAGAACCCACGATGTTGGTATAGTTATTTTGGATTCAAAGAAAACAACAAATGCCCCAGTTACTTTTCCGACTATAAACAAACCTAGACATAAATTGGCTGAATCGGAAGAGAAAGAAGGTGGACAGCTGGTAATAAATTTTAAAAATTTTTTCAGACTCTAATGTCCAATTTTAATTTTTAATTCAGTCTCTTCACCATTTGCTTACCAAAGAAGTCATTCCTCCCAAGGACTATAAAAATAGTTCTTCCGTTTTGTGGGACTCTTCAAGTATTGAATTGGACGATTCTGACTCTAAAGGTGCTTACTTTCTTTTATTTTTAAAATTAAAAATTCAGAAAACAAAACCTCAATTTTTGAGGAGCGACGCCCTAATTTGACAAAAACAAAATTTTATAATAACAACGTAACCGAGGAAATTTCTACGGAACTTAAACGTGACTGAAATTATTTTTAAATTTTGTTGTTTTTTGTGACAATGGCTAGGTCGTTGTAAATTTATGGGATTTTTGAAATGGTTAGATTTAAAAAAGGACAATTTACAGCAACGACCTAGTAATTACTAGAGGTCGGCACGGGACAGGACCCCGAACGGGATTTTACGGGATCTTTTCCCGAAATCCCGCGGGATCCCGGTAAATTTTTGAACGGGGTTATCGGGATTACTGTCCCGCAAAAATTTTTGAAAAAAATCCCGTTACGGTATCCCGTGAATGCGATTTTACCGACCTCTACTAATTACTGGAGCTGTCCGTGACTCTTGGTTTGAGTTTTGACTCACATCAGCCGTCTTGGAAAATTTCCGTCTTGGAAAATTTTCGGTCTCGGACAGCTCTAGTAATTACCTATTATTTTTCTCTGGGCATTCTATTTAAAAAACCTTTTTTCTTTGCATTTTACTTTAAAGAAAATTATTTTTCAATACAAAAATCTGTACCATAACATTTACTTAAATTTTAAGTATTTATTCATGTAAAAAAGAATTTTTTTTTTGAAAAGAGAATAAAAAAATTTTAAATATTTATGCATTTAATTATCCACAAAATTATTTGGAAGGATAATTTACACAAATCCTAACAAGGTTGCTCATTAATAGGACACTTTTATTACAATAAAAAATATGTGATAGAAGGATGAGTTGAGGGAATATTTACGAGGGAATCAAGACTAGGAGAGACTTGTCGAAAATTGGTGTTTTTCCCAAAAAATTGATTTTTCCAATTAATAAACGAACGCCAAAAATAGTTACCATTGAATTTTCAAAGAAATTTCTCTCAAAAAATTTTCCTCAAAAAAACACCAATTTAGAGACCACTATTTAGCCTGAGCCTATACAGAATATTTTTATATTTTATTATTATTATTCTCATCAATTTACATCAATTCTTATTGTCATCTCTCCCCTCAATCATCAGCTTTTTTGGGCTGTTTCGTCAGTCCTTCCCTAATATTATCACATTGCTCTTCCAACATTTTATGTCGCACCAACATTTTGTAGTCGGAGAAGAAGTTGTCGAGCAAATCGTCTGGACTGGAAAATGAAAGAAAAATTTGGGGGAAAATCAGAAAATTAAGTGTTTACATCAATTCGAAGAAGTCATCCACATTGTTGGCTTGCAATGCCAACTTCCTCACTTTTTCTCGCGCTTCGAGTGGACTAAGCAGACTGACAGAAGACTGAATAGAAGAGACGGTAGTGTATGCTGATCCAGTGGAGAAGTCGTCTAATGTGGCAAAGGACCTAACAGATGATTCCAACAAGCGCCCTGAAAAATTTTTGAGACTTGAATGTCTTTTTATAAGTTTTACATTCTTCCGGATCAAGCTCGTCCATGGTATTCAGGCTTACACATGACGAACCAACAGAGACAAAGTCCAAACTCCACTCCTCGTCCAAGAAGTACTTTCTCTGATGGGTAGCTGGAAGGCAGGTCTCTGTAGAATTGATATCTGAATGGGAGGGGTATTAGAGGGAAAGAAGCTTAGAAGAAATTACCCTCAACGGAACCTAGAAGAGGCTCAAGACTGAAGTTTTCAGATGATTGGCCAAAGTAGTCATCAGGAGATAATACCAATTTGCTTGCAGTCTTGGCGCTTCGACAATCTGCGGTTACAGCATCACGTGAAGGAGTGTCTAGTGGAAAGAGGTAGTCGTAGTGCCTGGCAAGTTGTAGGCTACAGCTGCAGAAAGGTCGATTACAATCACCAACAGAGTTCATTGACGCTTAAAAATGAAAAAATAATTTTGAGTGTAAAAGTCGAAATTTTTCAGCTTACATTGCTCCTCAACATCGCACTCCTCCGCGATTTCCATGGCCCTTTTTGTGGAGAAAGTAGGGTGTCTTTGGCCAGTTATATCCTCACAGTCGACAAGAAACTTCATCATCTCAGGCGGATACTCGATGAGACCTGGGCAGGATTTGGTATGACGACATCCGAAAAAGAAGTCATATTGCGGCCCTGCACGACGACAGGATTTACAAACTCTTTCTCGCGCTTGTAGTCGACTAAGCAAACAGGCAGAAGACAGGATAGAAGAGGGAACAGACTCCACATCAGAATGTGGAATTTCGAGCATCACGCTAGTAGAAGAGAACATAGGCTGTTGTTGAGCTTTGAAAGAACTGAAGTAGGGATCTGAAAAGTAAATTTAAAAAATTTTTGAAGTTTAGAATCTGTAAAAATCACACCTTCAAATGTCCTTGCTCCCAAATTGCCAGCAGACGCCGATCTTGTTATTGTTGGAATTGACACTGGAATGCTCGGGGAGTTGACATTTCCGGTAGACGCCGATCTAGTTAGTGCCTCATTCCACAAATCCGGAGCGGAATTGGTATCCTGACAGCCATGAGAGCACTCATATTGCGAGCTTGGACGATCACACCACTTCACCGGAATTTTCTTCCCGTCATTGAGAAGTTGAGGCGCGCTCCGTTGCTGCATCCGCACTAGAATTTTCTCTAAAAATAATAGGGATTTAGAGAGAACGGCTAGTATTTGAATCTTACTTCCTAAACGCTTCGAACACTCCCTGAAGAAAAGCAGTTCTTTCTGCTTCTTCTTCAGCACAGGCTGAACCGGCACATCGTTCTGGTTCGTCGGTTTGTCGAATCGTTGACTCAATTCCTGCATGACGCTCGCAAAAACTCTCATTGCCATTTGCATTTGTTCGTATGTTGGAGACGACATTGTAGTTTAGTCCTGTCGATGAGTGGCGTGGTTAGAGGCAAATGAAGATGGTGAATATTAGATTAAAACTGCTTTTATACCCCCTACTTTTCTTTGCTGGCTGGGGGCCAAGCTGATTTTTGAGGTATAAATATGCAAATGATGGCTCATTCGAAAGAGCTCGTTGAGCTAAGTCGTTTAAGTAAATGTCTGTGTAGTTTGTAGATGGTTTAGTAATAATGAATTTTCCTAGTCAAATAGAGGGTCATATACATTTTGGACTTGTGAGAGGGATTTGAAAACATCCTCAAGATGATCTACTCTCAAGAGGATCTCAGCATCACTCATTCAATCGCTCTTCCTTCAACTTTTCATTTGTAGACGTCTTTAAATATAAAAAATACACTTCGATTTATTCAGTCATTTACTAACTTCCAGAAAGTAAAGATGTGGGTATGACAACAAGAAACGTGTTTTCCTTATGTAAAAGATACACTTAGTCAAATATCACAATGAAAGTGCTCTTAACGATGCATTTTGAGATACACTCGGGTGCAAAAGTAATGATCCCTGGGTATGAAAATTTTTAAAAAGTGATTATTTTGAAATGGAAAGGGTAAATGATTTACCTTCTTTTTCATAATCAAAATTCACAATGTTAAGATACTTTCCAAGGAAAAAATTTTCCCCAAAATTCCAATCCCGTGAATTTCTCTCAACTCTAAATGGATACCTCTATTTTTAGGGTGGTCAAAAGTAATGATCCCTAGCGTGAACCAATAGTAAAAATATAGGTAAAAATTTGAAAAAATTCCAGTGAATACATTCATTGATATTAGTTACAAAAACCAAAAGATCGAGCACATTAACTATATACAACACAGTAATCTCGACAATCTAAAACACTTAAAAGTCAACGTATAATGGGATTAGAGTTGTTTGAAAAATATTTTCGTACCTCACATCAGTGATTAAAATTTTCTTTTATGCTTGCCTGAAAGCCAATAAAATTTGCTATAAAATACTTCCAATCAACTTTCCAGAAAAAAATTTATCTAACAAGTTGTGGAGCAACGAACATGCAAGGCGGCAAAAAAGCACCATTTATGGGGTAATATGAGAGATTTTTGCCGCCTTGTATGTTCTTCACTCCTCAACACGATAGATAAATTTTTTCAGAAAATTTGAAAGACTATATCTTGTAGCAAATTTTAATGGCTTTCAGGCAGGCATAAAAGTGTAACCAATTCCTATATCAAAAAGATAAAAATAATTTTTGAAATAAATTACCCCTATTTCTCGTTGAAATCGAGATGTCAATATCTCGAAGAAAAGAGTAGATATTGGACCAATCTTTTCATAGGTTAACTTCTTATTACTAGTCATCTTTACTAAAATTTTTGTGGATTTTTTTCTTAATGGTTAAACATATTTTTTAAAAAGGGATCATTACTTTTGACCACCCTAAAAATAGAGGTATCCATTTAGAGTTGAGAGAAATTCACGGGATTGGAATTTTGGGGAAAATTTTTTCCTTGGAAAGTATCTTAACATTGTGAATTTTGATTATGAAAAAGAAGGTAAATCATTTACCCTTTCCATTTCAAAATAATCACTTTTTAAAAATTTTCATACCCAGGGATCATTACTTTTGCACCCGAGTGTATAGAGCTCGAAATGGTCAAAAACCATGGGGGCCAAACTGGTTCCCCGTTCTCGGAACGACATCCCCCGCTGTTGAAACAACCGCCAGCATTATTGGAAAAACCTTGCTCAATACTTTGACTTGCACTTATCTATTTGTAAGGACAAATATTATAATCTCGACTCGATCTTTGGGACCCAGTCAATTTTGGTAACCCTAATTATGCGACTAAACAAGACAAACACCAAAAAAAAATTCTCTTACAAAACAGAAAAATAATTGGGGATAATTTACAAATAAATACAAATCCTGTCGCCTTTAATGGCATGTATATTTATATAATTAGAGGATACATTATAATATGGCCTATAGAATATTTTTATATTTTATTATTATTCTCATCAATTTACATCCATTCTTGTCCTCAATCATCAGCTTTTTTGGGCTGTTTCATCAGTTCTTCCCTAATATTATCACATTGCTCTTCCAACATTTTATGTCGCACCAACATTTTGTAGTCGGAGAAGAAGTTGTCGAGCAAATCGTCTGGACTGGAAAATGAAAGAAAAATTTGGGGGAAAATCAGAAAATTTAGTGTTTACATCAATTCGAAGAAGTCATCCACATTGTTGGCTTGCAATGCCAATTTCCTCACTTCTTTTCGCGCTTCGAGTGGACTAAGCAGACTGACAGAAGACTAAATAGAAGAGGGAACAGACTCCATATCCGAATTAGAACCTTGGAGAAGGGCTTTGAACACACTTGGAGAGGCGGGTTTACGTAGCTGTATACGTTTGGAAGGGAGGCAGTAGATGGACTCTAAAAATTAAAGGATTTTTTTTGAAAAAGAAAATCTTCTGAGAATCACACCTTGAGATATGCTTGTTCCCAAATCGCCAGTAGACGCCGATCCAATTAGTGCCCGATCGCAGTACACAGACACTTAAAAATATATTAGAGGATAGTTTTAAGTCTAAGTCGTAATTTCTTACACTTATCCACATCAAAAAACGCCTCCTCAGACGCCGATCTATTGAAAAAGTCGTAGAATGAGGGAGAGAACAAAACCGAGTAGTCATAGAATTGCCCTTAAAAATTTTTTAAGGGAGTTGAGTTTGAATTAAAAAAGACTTTTTTACCCTCTACCGGATCAAGCTCCTCTTTCATGGTGTGTATACTTTCCCACGAAATATATACACTTTCCGACGATACATTTTCCCAATACCAATCTATTTTCTCATTGGTAGTTTGAGAGCAAGTCTTTGTAGAATTGATATCTGAATTGGAGGGAAATTAGAGGAAGAAAAAATCTCGGAAGCAATTACCCTCAAGTGAACCCAGAAGAGGCTCAAGACCGAAGTTTTCAGATGACTGGCCAAAGTAGTCATCAGAAGATGTCAAATTGCTGGCTGCTGCCTTGTCGCTTCGACCATTTGCGGTTACGGCATCAAGTGAAGGAGTGTCTAGTGGAGTGAGGTAGTCGTTGGACCTGGCAGCAAGTCGGCGGCTAGAGAACGCAGGATGATTAATGTAGTATGTACATTGATCAATATGTTGATCAATATCAATGTAGTCGGAGTACACAGACACTTAAAAACATGTTTATAGGGTTAGTAAAAGTCGAAACTTTCTTACATCTATCCTCATCATCAAGCTTCTCCATCGCTTCCCGCTTGGACCTTTCTTTCAAAAAATCGGGAACAGAATCAAATTCAGCAGCAAACTTCATCTGTTCAGGAGTATACACGAATAGAGATTGGCAAGACTGTGTATGCTGACAACAACCACCATTAGCGCACTCATATTGCGAGCTTGGACGATCACACCACTCTTCTACCGGAAATTTCTCCCTGTCGTTGAAAAGGTCATGCGCGCTCATGGTCCAAAAATAGTAGCCATCTAAAAACATTTAAACAAAAAACTAAATTCGTTTAGTTAAACCCTTACATTTCTTTACGGAAGCATCCTTTCTCTGGCGGTAGTTGAGCTGTTCTTTCTGCTCCTCCTTCTGCACAGATTGAACCGGCACTTCCTTCGCGGTCGTACTGCTCAGAGAGTTGACCGGCACTGCTCAGAGAGTTGACATTTCCGGAAGACGCCGATCTAGTGAAGAAGTCATCTAACGAGGCAAAGGGTCTAGCAGAGTATTCCAACAATTGCCCTGAAAAATTTTGTAGGTGTTTAGAGGAGAATTTGTTTAGTTTTTACATCCTTCTGGATCAAGCTCTTCCATGGTATTCAGGCTTACACAAGACGAACCAACAGAGACAAAGTCCAAACTCCACTCCTCGTCCAAGAAGTAATTTCTCTGATTGGTAGCTTGAAGGCAAGTCTTTGTAGAATTGATATCTGAGAATCGGAGGGATTTGATGGAGGAAACTTAGCGGGAAAGAAGCTTTAAAGAAATTACCCTCAAAGGAACCTAGAAGAGGCTCAAGGCTGAAGTTTTCAGATGACTGGCCAAAGTAGTCATCAGAAGACGATGTCAAATTGCTGGCTTCTGCCTTGTCGCTTCTACCGTTAGCAGTCACAGCATCAAGTGAAGTAGGAGTGAGGTAGTCGTAGGACCTGGCAATGAGTCGGCGGGTAGACCAGGCAGGACGGCCAATGGCCTCGACAGAATACGATGACACTTAAAAATGTTTTAATTGAAGGTAGAAGTCGAAAAATTTGCAGTTTACGTTGTTCCTCTTCCTCATCACACTCCTCCACGGTCTCCAACTTGGGCTTTTTCATAGAGAAGGTTGTGTGTCTGTGGCGAGTTCTAGCTTCGCAGTCGGCAATAAACTTCATCACCTCAGGAGGATACTCGAAGAGACCTGGGCAGGATTTGGTGTGATGACATCCTGAAAAGCAGTCATATTGCGGCCCTACACGACGACAGGATCTACGCGATGGAGGTTTCTTCCTGTCGCTGAGAAGGTGGTGCGCGCTCTGGGCCCAGAATACGTGGCCATCTAAAAAATCAGATGAATAAGCGAACTTCCTCAGTTAAACCCTTACGTTTCTTCAGGAAAGCAAACTTCCTCTGGCGATAGTTGAGCTGTTCTTTCTGCTCCTCCTTCTGTACAGATTGAGCCGGCACAGGGTTCTGGTTCGCCCGATTGTCGAATCGTTGACGCAATTCTTGCATGACACTCGTCAGATCTTCTGTTGTCGTCTGCAGTTTTTGCTTTGGGTCAAGCTCGGCAAGATATTTCTCAGAGCAAGCAGGCTTATCAATGGCCTCATCGCAGTACTCAGACGCTTAAAGATATATCATAAGATTATTTTGAATGTGTCAGAATTTGCTTACATTTCTCCTCATCATCAGGTTTCTCCAAGGTTTCCAGCTTGGACTTTTTTGTCAAGAAATCCGGAGTTTCGGGAGCAAATCTGGCAGCAAGCTCCATCTGCTCAGGAGTATACGCGAATAGAGCTTCGCAGGATTTGGTATGCTGACAGCCATAATCGCAATTGTATTGCGAACTTGGACGATCACAATACTCCTCCACCGGAAACAGTTTCCTGTCGTTGAGAAGTTCGGCTGCACTCCGGACCACGATCGGAACGAAAATACGCCCTAAAAATAATAGAGATTTAAACAGAATGGCCAATTAATGTATCCTACTTGCGAAACGCTTTTGACACTCCTTCATGAAGGCATCCTTCCTCTGGAAAAAGCTAAGCCGTTCTTTCTGCTTCTCCTTCTGCACAGGCTGAACTGGCACATCGTTCGGGTGCGACGGTTTGTTGAATCGTTGACGCAATTCCTGCATGACGCTTGCCAGTTCCCCTGCTGTTGTTTGCGGTTGTTGTTGCTTCGGAAGGCAGCAGTTGTGTGTTGGAGACGACATTGTAGTTTAGTCCTGTCGATGACTGGCGTGGTTAGAGGCGGATGATATTGAACATTTCATTAAAACTGCTTTTATAACCTTCTCGTCTCTTAGTTGGCAATCTCGGTCTTCCTTCGCGAGAATATACTATAAAAGCCCCCGCATTTCATTCATTTGCCACCAGCTCTACAAAACATTCATCGCAACTCATTGAACGTCTACATCGTCTACTGCATCTCTACATACTCATTCGCTGCCTTCTTCCAATGGACCTCGACACCGGACCTTTGGCCAGAAAGTCGTCAACGCTGTGCTCTCTGCTGCTGCTGCTCACCATCGCCGCACTTGCAGTTCCCGGACAGGTCAACAGCGAAGAAGTCGGATTCGGCAAGCACACAAAGAAAAACGACACAGTGACGCTCACCGACAGAACCATAATTGCCACCAAGACGAACTTCGACCTTGCTGATTGTAACTTCAAGAAGCGGTATCCGGACGCCTGCGATGTTACAATCGAGGACGACTACATGTGAGGACTTTTTTTATTCTTTTTTAAGACTAACCGTAACTAACATTTTCTTTTGTTTCAGCGAGCTTCGGTACAACAACGGCAGCAAAGGATGCACTGTGGATCTTCTTAGCAAAGACGCGTCGAACAACAGCACGATCAAGTTCGCGACCGGAGTGCGAAACATAAAAGGAGGACTCCACAAATGCCTTGACGATGGTCATAACCTCGACGGAAGCTATAACAACACGTGAGTTTTTACTGTCTAATTCTACTATTTGGCAGTTAATTTATCCTAATCTTTATAGCCTGCCTTTCGTCTACAGCGTCAACAACACGGTCATTGAAGAGCTCAACAACCGGCGGTTCAAAGATGAGGTTGAAGGGTGTGACAAAGGTGTTTGCGAAGGCATTCGTGGAAACTGCATGCCGAATACATCACTTCAAGTCTCATGGAGCAGATCGCGTGGAAAGGTCTATGCTCACACATATCTAAGTAAGAGGCCTGTTTGTGTTTTTATTTTTTCTTAAATAATTTTAGTTGGTGACGATAAGGGACAAGCCAGGAGTCGGTCCAAGGCGCCTGTGAGTGAGAATATGACCCTTGACTTGATGATAAATACTGCGAGCGGATTCACAGTTGAGTATGCGGTGGCGGAGCCATTCTTCAATGCCTCGGGTGGAGCTGTTTGCGTTCCAGAGTCAAATCCTCTCTTTGAACCCAAAGCATGGACCATCACGAATGAGGATTACAAGGACAAACAACTGCTCGTCTTCAGCCTGCTTCGACAGTATGCTGCTTATACGTACAAAGTAAACGACTTGGCAGAGCCTCCAAACGGACCGCATTGTGAGCTCTTCGTCCGCTTTGTGAGTTTTAATTTTTGTATAACCTTCATAATATATTTTTTGTAACCTTTTCCAGAGTACATCCGACTACAGCCTTCTCTTTGTCGACAACTCTCCGACAACGACGCAGCCGACTACGACTACTGTAACGACTACAGCAGCGATAACATCAGAGACGTCTGGAACGACAACATCTTCAGCGACAACTCCGCATACCACCGCCAGCAACTTCACTTCCATCAGAACGACATCTCAAGCAGCGACAAAGTGCCCGGAACAGCGGGAGGAGGGTGGCGGAGCTCCCTACCTTGCGATTGGCATTGCTGTTGGCCTCATTGTCGGGATCGTCATTGCAGTTTTGGTCTGGCTCTGGATGAAGAACAAGGCAGGAAAGGATACGAAAAAGGGAGGGAAGCAGGACGCCGAACGCGCAGAAGAAGATCGTCTGCTTGCGCTGTACAAGGCTGAGGAGAAGACCAAAGGCGAAAAGGCTGTCGGGACATTTTCTGCATGGAAAAAGAATGTGAGTTTAAAAATCTGAGAAAATATGTACATTTAATCAACCTCTTTTCCCACTTTTCAGAGAAAGGAGAGCGAAACGAAAACTGCGGTGGAGCTGTCTTCAGTCGACGACCTGATCGCTGCAATCTGGAAGAGAGTGGAGAAGAAAAAGGCCATGGACAAGCTGCAGTACCTTGTGGATCAGTTCGAGAAGCAGAAGGACAACGAACTCTTCGAGCGGGAATACACGCCGGAACTGAAAAAGAAGGGACTTGCAGCTGTTGGGTCTTTCGAGGAGTGGAAAAAGGTGAAATTTTAAACATTTTTTTCTCTCTGATTCTCAGTTAATCCTTCCAATTTTTATTTTTCAGAACAAGAACATTGCGGCGACGTTCACCTTGAACGACGGGACAAGGACGGCGATTGAAACCGAGCAGCCAAAGGTCATCGAGAAGATCGTCGAGAAGGCTGAGAAGTGGACAATCGAGGAGGGGCCGACAATTGAGGAGAAGGAGATAAAGGAGGCGAATAGAGGCGCTGTGGACGGTGTTGATGTTCCAAAGACTGAGGAGGAGGAGGAGGTTGATGATGGGTGGATTCCGCCGTCGGAACCGAATAATAACCCGAGAGAAGAGATATAGTTGTGATAAATTTGTGTCACCATATATTGCTCTCATTGTATGTATTGTATATTTCTTGTTGTTTGTATTGTATTTGAATTGTTGTATTCAATTGTATTTTTGTGTGTAAATAAATTGTTGTATTTGTATTCTTTATTCGATTCGATAAATTAAGGAAAAGATTTGATCCAGGAAAGATAACCTCTAAGAAAAATAACCAAAATTTCAGCCTTTTTTGTAATAATTAAACCTTTTCGCAGAAAATTCTCTCGATGCCTTCTCTTGCTCCTTTACAAATCCTTACATCCTCTTTTACACCCGCCCCATATTCATACAAATATGAATTCTGTAGAGGAACACTTTAAAAATTTTGCAAGACGTGCCCAATTTATTTTCCATGTTCTGAAGCCACAGTCAGGCTTTAAGGCACTTCATGATTGAGTCTGCACGACTTCCCCTTGAACTCCTGACACGATGAAATCATTCGGGAATGGGGAATTACTCGAGGGTGGGGAATTAATCGAAAAAATTTTAAAGCTCTTAATCCTCTATATCCCCTTAATCCGCTGATATAACTATTAATCCCTCAATCCTACCAAATCATCCGATAGATCCTAAGTCCCTAGATCACACATTGATATGAGGTAAAACGCCCCTCGAGACCAAGTGTGTATTCGAGTTATCGAGGCGTAATCGTGACGTAATATCGAGTTTCGACTGTATCGATTTCTCTCTAACTAACACTATTTCTCTTTCTCAATTAAAATCAACCCAAAAATTTTCTCTGGGCTTTTTATTCAAAATTTTTTAAACTGCCAAATGAGTACATATACAAAAGAGTAATTATAAGAAATGTAAGCTTAAATTATGAGGAGAAGAAAAAAATTTCTAAAAAAGGATGTATTTTTAAAAAAAGGAGTAGAGTTGAATTTACAAAAAAATAAAAAACAATATTTAGCTCTTAAATATTAAAAAATTAAAAAAAATTTAAAAAGGCACAACAATATATGTATATGGGTGGAAATAGGTCGTACATATTAAATTAAAAATTAAAATATTTTGCATTATTCTAAAAGAGCTGTAGGCAGAATTAGGAGTTGGGGGCCCCAGTCCGGTCCGAAGGATCAAGTCAGGCAGAATTCTTGCCCGAAAAGAACTCGGTCGAGCCTGTCCAATAAAAATGAAGCCCAAAAATGACAAACAACGGCCCGACTCGAAAACCTTCCCCACCCCTAGTTAAAATACTTTTGCAGCGACTTAAAATTTAGGTTTTTTGGTTGTCTAGTTTTGTGTGTAAGTGAAATTTTTTTTAGAAATTGAACTTGCGTGTGTCTCTTAAAAAAGTTGTTCTCTGAAACAATCTTCTTAAACAACACAAGTCCTATTTCTAAAAAAAAATAAAGAAAAGTGAATATCTTTTAAAAAAGGAAGGAAATTAAATTTCTGGAATAATTAAATGTATAAATATTTAGAAAAAAAATTTTTGTCAATTAGAAGAATTAATTGTTTCCAATTTTTGTTGTTGAATTAATTGTGCTTCTGTACAAAATATTTGTTGTTGTTGTTGGGGAATCATTGAAGGTGGTAAACGATTAAATTGTTGTTGTTGTTGAATGTTGTTATTTATTGTTGACATTGGAGGCATTAACATTGGATTAAAATGTTGAGGAGGGCTGTAGAAGGAAAATATTTTAAAGAACAATAAAAAGAATTATTTTCGAATTAATTGGGGTTTTTTAAAATTTAAAGAGCTAAAATAGTAGAGACGCATAAAATAAGGTCAAAAATATTCCTCAATAGTTGATAAGCCAAAACAAAATCAGAAGGAAATATGTGGTAATTCCTAGCCTGGTCCCCCCTGTTTCTCTGCGTTTTTCCTTCTTAAGGAGCTTCACATATTGCCTTTTATTTGTTGAATGGATAGTTCAATGGATTCTCTCTCACAAAAAAATTTGAATTTGAGCTCGAATTTGAGCCTCCCCCATAAATAGCTCCATTTATTGAATGTTCAAAAAAAAATAAAAATAGCTGAAAAATAGAGTAACCTATGGGGCTCTATCCCAGAAATTACAATAATTAAAATTATAAAAATATTAAAAAAAAACCAACATCATATTAGGAAAGAAAGGAGGTCTATTATTAAATTGTTGTTGTTGTTGTCCACCTCCCCCACCCATTTCTATATTATCCATCGGAGGAAATTGTTGTTGTGGAGGATGAGGGAAATTATTATTTAAAAGTCCATTTTGTTGTTGAGAAATAAAATTTTGTTGTTGTTGCATTTGAATAAGTTGTTGTTGTTGAATTAAAGAATTTGGTGGTGGTGGTTGGGGTAACATATTGTTGTTGTTATTATTTTCAGAAGATGAAAATTGACACAAAACACTTTCCATTTCAATCAATTTACGAAGTTTTTCTTGCCTAGTAAAAAGAAAAAAATTTTTAAGCTAAAAAATTTTTTAGGAAGACTAGGAAAAATTTTTAGAAGAAAAAGGATCAAAAGAAAAATGTTTCCAACAGCCGGGATTCGAACCTTCATCCTTAAAGGTGAGAAGACTAGGATGCTACCCACCGCTCCACGTATGTCTATATTGAGGAATAATAATTTTTTAGTTAATTACAATGTAAAATAAAGACATCCTTTTTCAATAAACCATAAAAAGAATTTTGAAAATTAAAATAATTTTTAAAAAAAAATTTAAAGAAAACATACTTTGCAGCATCTCCACAATTTTGTTGTTGTTGTAAATTATTATTTAATTTATTAAAATTATTAGCATTTCCATCTTCTTCCTCTCCTCCTCCCAATTTAATCATTTTATTTACTGGTTGTTCATTTAATGTTTTACTTGCCATTATTTCCATTTTTCTTTAAAAAAATTTTTTTCTCAATTTTTTTTTATTTAAAAATTAAAAACTTTAAAGGATTTTCATCATCTAAACGTCCAACATTTCCATTAATATTTCCAGAATTTATACAAAAATAATTTTGTTGTTGTTGTTGTTGGATTGTTGGTGTATTATTAGAATTATCACCAGAAATAGCATCAGGACGTTTAAACATATTGTTAATATCAGCACTTTAAAAAAATTTTCTTTTAATAAAATTAAAAATTTTTAATGAAGTTGGATCCAATATTTATAGAAAAGATGACATTTTGTCCCAAAAATATTTTTTTCAAAGCTACCCATAATCCCAGACCAAGAATTGGCTTGTTCCCTCTCCCAGATAGCTATTTAAAAAGAAAGCCTTATTTAAATTGGAGAATTTAACGTCCACACGTGGGGGACCAACTCAATCAGGTTCAGCTTAATAGAAACCCTACAAGCCTCGAAGAGAATAGAAAAAATTTTCGAATAAATCTTTTTATAAAAATAAAAAAAAAAGAAACTAACCCATTACTAGAAGAATCACAAACATCTTTACTATTATTAGAACCAAAACGTTGTTGTTGTTGTAAAACCATGTTATTATGAATATTTGGATTGTTGTTGTTAATTATAGAACCTTGTGGAAGTACAAAATTATTATTATTGGGAATTTGTAAAGGACTACACAAAGAATTTTGTTGTTCTTGGACCTTTTAAAAATAAACAAATTTTAATTTGAAAAAATTTTTCAAAGAAACCGTTGATTGCGAAGCTTTTCGTTTATTAGAACGTGATGTTGATGGAGTTGATGACGGATGTGGAGATTTACCATTCATTCGTATTGGTAAATTTATTGGATTCATAGATTGTTGAGGACCATAAAATGCTTAAATTTGGAAAATTTTAGAAAAATTTTTAAAAATTTTGGATAATGCGGACATCAGCAAATTTAATAACAAATTCCCGAAAAAATAATCTTCCATCTATTAAAAACAAGAATTCCGATAAGTATTTGGTTTCTATACCTTCCAGATTTAAGAGTAAGAAACAAAGACTAGGCAGGCCGTTTATACACCGTTTATTCCTCCGTTTTATCCATAAAATTTAAGAGAAATTTAAAATTTTTTTTTTGAATTTTGCAGCTGTCCGCAAATTTAATAACAATTTCTCAAAAAAATAATCTCACATCTATTAAAGACAAGAATTCTGTTGAGTTATGGTTTCTATACCTTACAGAGTTAAGAGTAAGAAGCTAAGACTAGACAGGTTTACATTGATCGGTCAATCAAGGACACAATTTATTTTCCCCTATTATCCATTAAATTTTATCTAAAATAAAATAGTGAAAAAACCTTTGGAAGTTGATGGATTAGAAAGATGCCAATCAGCAAAAGTATGAGCATGCCAAATAGCAAGATCAGGGACTTGACGCTGTTTAACACACTGAGCTGCTTTGTTTGCTAAATCGGATGTAAAAAGAAAGGAGAAACGGCCAAATGGATTGGTTGCCCCTCCATTGTTTGGTATCATTTGAAAGGGCGGAGCCTGAAAATTAAAAAGATACTGACTCCAAAACTAAAAAAACACAGTTTAGGGACACAAAAAAAATAAAAGGGCAAATAATAAAAGGTGACATTTGATCCCAAATTTAAAAATTTTCATAATTTCCTCGCAAAATTCAAAGCAATTTAAAGCCAAAAAATTAAAAAAAAACCTCAAATTCACTTAAATTATTCAAAACAATTTGTTGTTGACCAGCAGGTGGAAATGACATTCTCATATTTGGAGGCATTCCTTGCCAAAGTAAAGGATTTTGTTGTTGTTGTTGTTGAGGTATAATCATTTGTGGATGTTGTTGTTGGCCAATTAGAGGTGACGAAATTGATTGTTGCCCTTAAAAATTTAAAAAAGTTAGAGGGCCTAGAAGGAAACAAAAAAGATTTTTGAAGGGATTCTTCGAATTTCTTGTTCAAAACCAAAATAAAAATTTGATATTTTAAACTAGGATTATCATTAGATGGATTGACAAAATTTTGGACTGCCTTACAAGGCGTAGCCAGAGGGCTGAAAGGGGACGCACATCTAAATTTAGCCCAAATGAAATCCGACCCAGACTACGCCCTTGGTGCCTTATACATTTAGGATGGATTCAAATAAATTTTCTCGAGTCACGATCGAGTCGGAAACACTAGAGAAAGGGATCCCCGTTCTGGACTGAAACAAATTTCTGGCTACATTCCCAAAAATCTCTAAAAAAAATTTCAAAAAATAAAACCGTTATTATTCATTTGTATAGACTGTCTAAACATTGGAGAATTACAGTTTCCATTCATATTAAAATTTGTTGGATTGTTAACATCCAATATTCCTCCATTATTATTGTTGTTAGGATCAAACATTCCATTTTGAGGCAATTGGAAATGAGGTGGAAAGCCTTGCTGAAATTTTTTAAAAAATAAAAAAAAAATTTTTTTAAAGTTTATAGAGACAAGAAAGTTTAAAAAAGACAGATAAAATCTGTTCGCTAAGCATTTTTTAAAAAAGAAATCCTCAATGGGTATCGAACCCTAGTCCATTCCTTAAGTAACTAACTTCCACACAACACTTTCCCACTACACCAAAATACCAAATACGGTCTAATCACAATTTAAGACTATTACCCCACCATAAATTACTTAAAATGCTTTAAAAAATATCCACGTGAAGAAATCCTCATATTTTAATAAAAATAAAAACCTGAATATTTCCTTGTTGTCCCCCATTACCTCCAACTCCATTTGGCACTAATAAATCAGCAGTAGAAGTAACAGAAGGAGAGCTTATTTGTTGCTGAATTTTTTGTTGATCAACAAATTGGGGTTGTCCAGAAGAGGAAAAATTGCTTGTTGGACGTTGAAATTCTTGTTGCTGTTGTTGATATATATTATTTCCCCCTCCTACACTTTTTCTTTGCGAATCTTGAAATTGTTTTAATTGTTGCTGTGAAATATTATTGAAGTAAGGAGAAGATATATTTGGAGAAGGTCCTTCTGGGGTGAATTGAGGAAGTTGTTGTTGTTGAATAATATCTTTTTTAGAAAAATTTTTAAAAAATTTTTTAGAAAAATAATTCAATACAGAAACATTTAGATCCTAAAATCCTTAAATAAACGACCAATTACCAATTTTATTCCTTCTGGACATTTTGTCACAAAACCCCTCACTAATGACTTTATGAAGTAAATAAAAACTTTTTATCGACAGGGAAATTAAGTAGAGACCACAATTTTGGAAAAACCCGGAGCGGGAAAGTGTAGCAGAGAAACCCGGCCGATACCCGGAACCGGGAAAATGGGATTTCCCGATCCCGGTTTCATCCCGACATCATCAAAAAAAGCCGGAAAGGACCGGTACGCGATACCGTTCCGGTCTCTAAAATTGAGTCGAGCCATCTTATAAAAATTTCAACACTTAATTTGAAATTTCCCGTTATTTCCGAATTGACCATTTTACAATTTGGACATTTTTAAAAAATTACCAAAATTTCCATTTTGCGAAGTTGTAGGAGTATCAAAAAGTAAATTATTTCTTTGAATATTAGCACCATTATTATTGTTAAATGCAATCTGTTGTTGTTGTTGGGGATTCCAAAATGCCGGATTTGTTGACATTTGTTGTCTATCATATGAAGGAGGTAAAGAAATGCAGTCACCATTGGTTAGCGATGCTTGTAGACCAGCACAATCATTCATTTGGTGTTTTTTTGGCTGTTTTTTTGGTGTTTTTGGTAGAAAAAAATTAAATTGTTTTTAAATAAACATACAAAAATAGTCAATAAGACAGCAAAATAACTGAAAAAAAAATAAAAAAAAAGTTGCAATCACACCTACCCAAAAGATACAAAATTAAAAAAGATCAACTCACACTCGCTTGCTTCTATTTTTATAACGGCGGGGAAAATTTAGAAAAGAGAGGGAAAGGAAAAAATTTAAAAAATATAGGTTATTGATATTGTGGACACTCAAGAAAGACATTAAATTTGAAAATAAATAAAAGTAAAATCGAGAAAAATCAAAATAAAATCGATAAAATCAAAAAATTAAATAACGCAGACAATTAAAAGTCGATTAAAACAAAAGAGAAATATAACAGAATTAAAAGAGATGAACAGAGAAATAGAGAAGATAGCACACCAATATTCTGCCAAAACGACATTTTGCCAAAACCACATTTTGCCAATTAGGGTAAAAACGCACATTTTGTCAACACGGCAGTGTTGACAAAACGTAAAGTTTTAGGCCTATTGGCAAAATGTGGGTTTGGCAAAATATGGCAAACTGTTAAAACAAGCACTTTTCTTTAAAAAATATAACGCCAAAAAGAAAATTAATTTTTAACGCCAAAAAAGACATTTAATTTAAATCAAGAAGAAACTTGGATTTATTTTTAGGGGTTTGGGTGTTCTTTTTTAGGCTTTTCGAGTAACTACATTTGTTTAAATAATTTTAAAAAAAATAAAGGTAAAAATTGTGAACGATTTTATAGCTACAATTAAAATTAAAAATTAATAAAAAAGAGGATTTAAAAAAAGTTTCAGAAAAAAATATAATGACTGGCCAAAAAGCCCAAATAATATTTACTGAATTTGTATTTTTTCCTAAAAAATAATAAAAAAGACGAGTTGGCATCATTTATACAAGTGAAAAAAAGGAAAAAAAGAAAAACTGCTTTTTTCATAGAAGAAAAAAGGACGTTCTCTCCTCTTCTCTCCTCAACCCGGGCGACGACAACGACCAAGCATATAAGAGGCGCTATAAGGATTGGGGAGAGAAGGGTTGGTTAGTGTACTTATTATTTAAAGGGAGAAAACTCTTTTAAAAAAAGAATATTTTTCTTCGTCGCCACATTTTGCCAATTCCACATTTTGCCAATAAAAAAGCTAGAATCCCACATTTTGCCAAAAATCCTATTGGCAAAACGTGGCTTTTTACCCTTATTGGCAAAATGTCTCTTGGCAAAATGTTCTTCTAACGCTTCTCTCTATTACTCTATATCAATATATTTTTTAACTATTAAAAATGAGAGAAAAATAAATGAATGAAGAGAGTAGCACATTTAAAAAAAAATTTTTTTTGGGGAAAAATTTTGAGAGAGAATGAAAAGTTATATTTTATTTAAAGAGATATATAAGAGAAAAGTAAATATATTTTATTGTATAGTTAGGTCAGAAAATTATGCTGCTACTAAAACAAGAAAAGGAGGAGGAGGACCTATCTCTTTTTTAGTATTGGGTATTTAAATTGAGGGAAGAAAAATGTGGTGAAAATGATGCAGACAAGTGGGGAACAAACTATATGAGCAACATGTCGATTTGAGTCGAAGAGCTGACGCAAAAGGTGTCAGACTCTAATGGGTAGAATTCTAATCATGACTCAAATGGTTTGTATAAAGGTCAGACTCAAGTATCCTCATAGGTCAGTCTCTAATTGACTCTAATAAATGTCCAGACTCAAGCGGACAATAAATTTGGTCATTTGTTACCAGACGGGGGTGCGCCAAAATTTTAAAGTTGAACGCAAACGCCAATTTTTCAAATTTTAAAAACACGCCAAACGCAAAACGCCAAAAATCGGGCAAAAATGAACGCCATAACGCTCAGACCTGGTACCAGACTTTAAAAGACACGTATCGAATTTCAACGCGACTCTATTGTCCCTTTTCGGTGATCTTCCGGATACTTGACCTTTAAAAAGAGTAAAAAGTCGCCAATTTTCTGTTGTGCTCTCAATTTACCATTGTTATTGAAGCTATAACTATTTAGTGTAAAATATATAAATATTTTCTTCTCCAACAACCACCACATGTAATTTGGTCAAAGACACATTGTCTCCTTCTCCTACTATTTAATTTTTCTATTTTGTTTTTAAATAGTCATTTTCTTCTTCGATTTTCGGCTAGCAAGTGTGTGTATTTGTTTGTTTTCTCTTTTCTTCTCTTTCATGCTTGTTTGGAGGCGAACCCATAAGATCAAAAAATACGAATATTAACTTGGCCTCTTTTTAAAACAATCAAAGTTTTAACCTTTAAAAAGAAGAGAGGGATTGAATTTTTGGAAGGGAATGGACAATAGAGTCTCAACTTTAATTTGCAGTTAAACAAGGAAAAATGACTGTGAGGAAAGAAGAAAAAAATTGTTCGGGTTGTCAGTTGAACGGATAACCGGGATATCAGAAGGTTGGACGGATATTGGAAGATACGAGGATTTGAAGGGATATCAGGGGATTTGAAGGGATATCAGGGGGATTTGGCGAATGTCGGAGGATCAAGGGAAAATTTGCAGTTTAATAAAGAATAGGCAATCCAGGAGAATTGGGGTTTCTTCGAATAAAAAATTTAAAAATAAGAAAAAGGGGTTTTCTAGGGTAAAAAAATATGCTGATTACGAATCTGAACTCAGATTTTGAAAAAGTCGAATCCCGGACCCGAATTCGGAATTTGACCCCGAACATTTTCGGACATTGTACAAAATGGTCAATCTTTCATAAGCAGGTAGAACTCATCGAGCTGCATCGAATGACACCAAAATCGATGAAATCCGACGTGGTTAGACCTAGATACAGACCCCGGAATATTGAAAAACCATAGGGGTGATTTTTTGGAGTAAAAAAAGTTTATGCATATGATATCTCATTCGAAAGAGCCCGTCGAGCTGAGTCGAATGACAGCAAAATTACAGTGATTCATCAAGTTTTGACAAAGTTGTGACATAAGTCGCCGACTCCTACAGTACTCACATAGGTATACTTTATGTCATAACTTTGTCAAAACAGGTCCAATCACGTTGATTTTGGTGTCATTCGATGCAGTTCGACGAGCTCTTTCAAACGAGATATTATTTGCTTATTCGAAATCCGGGTTCAGGGTTCGAAATTTGGTTCGGGTTCGTGATTCGACTTTTTCAAAATCTGAGTTCAGATTCGTAATCAGCATATTTTTTTACCCTAGAAAACCCCTTTTTCTTATTTTTAAACTTTTTATTCGAAGAAACCCCAATTCTCCTGGATTGCCAAAGAATAGATGGAAGGAAGGAAAAGGATAGTTCAGGATATTAGTTGAACTGATACGGGATATCAGAGGTTTGGGCGGATACTGGAGGATACCAGAGGATTTGAAGGGATGTCAGGGGATTTGGGTAATATCGGAGGATCCAAGGAATCTAAGAGGATTTTGAGGGATTATTAAGAAGACGAATTTTGGGGTTGAACTCCTTTCCATCGGCTCCCTTAAATGAATTGGACAATACATCCCAATACACCAAAGTGGCAATACCAAAGGATGGATTGATGAAAAGAGAATATTTTTTTACCACTTTAAAAGTTAACAAAAATTAAATAATTTTGAATAAATGTTAAACCCCCAATATTTTCATAGAAAAATTGAACATAATTTTCAGACTTGATAAATTAAAGAAAAAAAAATTCTTTTTATTTTTAAGGCTTTTCTAAAGGCCCCTTCTTTTGTACGTTTGCATCACCTGAAAAATAAAAAATTAAAAATAATTTGTTTTTAAATAAAATTTGGCTTTAGTGTTGTTTACCCCCCTTTTTGGTTAGTTCCAGCGATTTTCTGAACTGGAAAGCAAACAAGTCCAAGACCCAAATGTCTATACAAGTACGGTCTTTAGTTCAGACCCGAGTTAAAGAACCGAGGATTTTTCGGTTCGATTCCGAATATCCAAAAATTTTTCAATAACTTACACGCCACAAATTTGACTCTATCAATACTTCCTTCAATAGGCCTCTGAGCATCACGAAATTCGACATTTTCCATCATAAAAGTCCATACATTGTCACAGAAACGATATGCTCGTAGTTTTTCTGCCTTTAAAAAATTTTTTTTCTAAAAATCTTTTTTTAATAACCCCAAGTCCGGTGATTTTTCACCCCAAGCCGAACGGAATTTAAAAATATATTTACTACCCTCCCTCACGCCAGGAATGGGTTGGAGGTTATGAAAGTTGAGGATAGGGAAAAAAGGTTGAGGGTTTCGAGTGAAGTCTGCCAACACCCCCCCCCCCCCAGTCTTGGATCCGGAGTCTTGTCAACACCCCCACAAACTACTCCGGCCTTAACGAATTTTATGGGGACCAAATGTCACTCCATCAAAATTCTTTCCTTTTTTCTCACCTTAAAATTAACTTTATTTCTTGCCCTTTCAGACAACGCCTTATTAATGCATTTATCAAAGGTTGTCATAACAGTGCCAGCTAATTGTTGAGAAATTAACCCTTCAGTAATTAAATCATCTAGGGAGGCTTTAAAAAACAAAAAAAATTTTTTCAAAATTTCAAAAAAAATTTTTACGCACTTTGCAATGCAACACCAATAGTTGTTGAACGATACATTTGATAGGTCATTTTTAATTCTTGGAAAAATTATTTTTTTTTGATGACTAGAAAAAATTTTTTTAATTAAAGAAAAAAATATTAATAAGATATCAAATGAAAAAATCATTAAAAAATTTTTAAAAATTATAAAAATAAAAATTTTTATTTTTAAATATATTTAGCTAGATAACAAAAATATAAACAAATTTTTTTAATATTAAAAAAATTTTTTTATGGGACAAAATGTCATCCGTCTTAAAATATTCAAAAAAAATTTTTTTAATTTGTCACCACTAACAAATAAGGTTGGCGGATCCTGATCCGAAGAAAAAGACCGTATAAATATATCCGCAAATTTTCGTTTCGGATATCACTTTATTTCTCAGGATCCGCCAACCTTACTCACCACAACTATCTATTTTCTTCAAAAAAAATTTTTTTTTAATTTTTCCCTAATTTTTTATTATTAAAAGCTGATAACATCTTATCCCAAAAAATTTTTTTCTAATATTAAAATCAACAAAAATATTTTTAAATTCTTTTAAAAAGAAAGTTCAAATATTCTAATTAACCCCCCTTCACATCCCGTTAATATTCTTTCAATTCCATCATCAACATTATTTTTTAATTTTATAGCAGAATAAATTTGATCACCTCCCCCATCTATTTTCTTTAATAAAAAAATTTTTTTAATTAAAAAAAATTTTTTTTCCTCCCCCTTACCCCAATTAAATGCCCATTTTTAGCATCCCAACATCGAATAGTTCCATCAACACAAATTGAACTTAAACTAATTGAAGAAGCATTTACACCATTAATATTCCAAAAACAATCAATTACTGCCTCATCTGTAAAAAAATTAAAATAGAAAAAAACCAAAAAAATACAAATGTAATTTTGAGAATCTATTGGTAAATTTTTAAAAAAATTTTTTTAAATTTCAGTTCAATCAACAGAAATTAGTTCCATCAACTGGGGGAGGGGGGAGGCGTCAAGCTGATTTTTAAGGCAAGAAATTAAAAAAAATTTCAAATTTTTTTAAAAATTAAGAAGACTCATAAACCTATACAAAGCCTCACCGTATTAACGATAGAGAACATAAACTAGGTGAGATTGAAATATTATATGTATGTTGGACAATAACTGCTGCAAGAAGTCGCAGGGTCATTTCCGTTTTCATATATTAAGATTAATTAGAACATTGAAAAAGCTCTACGAGCCAAGTCGCATGACGCAAAAATCAACGTGATTTAATATGTTTTGACAAAGCTATGACGAAAAAATATATTTTGATGGTTTTGCAGCACGCGTCTCGCAAAGTATTTTTCCAAAAATTTTTTTTAACAGAATGGGTAGTGAATGCATCCTACTTCCAGAACGTGTGTTAAACTACTTGCTGAAAGCCTCCACCCTCTGGCGATAGATGAGCTGTTCTTTCTGCTCCGCCTTATGCAAGCCTGAACCGCACAACGTTCTGGTTCGTCGGGTTGTGGAATCGTTGACGCAATTGCTGCATGACATTCTCCAGTTCCCCTTCTGTCATTTGCAGTTGTTGCTTCGGGTAGCAGCAGTTGTGTGTTGGAGACGACATTGTTGGAGACGACATTAGTCCTGTCGATGACTGGCGTGATAAGAGGCAAGGAGAGATATTGAACATATCGATAAAACTGCTTTTATAACCTCCAAGTTCTTAGCTGGCAATTTCGGTCTTCCTTCATGATAATATACTATAAAAGCACCCACATTTCATTCATTTCCCACCAGCTTTACAAAACATTCATCGCAACTCATTGAACGTCGACATCGTCTACTGCAACTCTACATGCTCATCCGTTGCCTTCTTCCAATGGACCTCAACACCGGACCCTTGGCCAAAAAGTCGTCAACGCTGTGCTCTCTGCTGCTGCTGCTCACCATCGCACTTGCAGTTCTCGGACAGGTCAACAGCGAAAAAGTCGGATTCGGCAAGCACACAAAGATAAACAACGACACAGTGACGCTCACCGACAAGACCATAATTGCCAACAATACGTACTTCAACTTTACTAGTTGTCGCTTCAAGGAGCTGTATCCGGACGCCTGCGATGTTTCAATCAAAGACGGCTACATGTGAGGAATTTTTTATTCTTTTAAAGACTAATCGTAACTAACATTCTATTTTATTTCAGCGAGCTTCGGTACAACTACGGCAGCAAAGGATGCACTGTGGACCTGCTCAGCACTAACGCGGCAAACATCAACGCGATCAAGTTCAAAGCCGGAGTGCGAGGAGACGCAAAAGGAGGACTCAGCAAATGCCTTGATGAAACTACCCGCTTCAGGGACAGCTATAACAACACGTGAGTTTTTTTGGGTTGATCGATTTGGATTTTACCTAATAGCACTTAAACTTTTCAAAAAATATTTAGCCTGCCTTTCGTCTACAGCGCGAGCAGCGCTTTCATAGAAGAGCTCAACAATCGTAAACATAGGAATTCTGAGGGTGACTGCAGCAATGATTGTAAAGCATTCGATGGGATTTGCATGAATCGAACATCTCTTCAAGTCTCATGGAGCAAGTCTGGGAATATGGTCTATGGTTACACACATTTAAGTAAGTTTACACCATTTAGGTAAGTTAAATATAAATTAAAATATTTTAGTTGGAGAAGATCAAACCCTTGGTCTTAAGCGGAACAGAACGAGCGTGAATGACAGTGCGACCTTCGATCTGGAGATAAATAGCGGCGGCTTCATTTTTGGCGGAGAGCACTCCAATCCTTCGACGGCGGCCGTCTGCGTATCGAGGGAAAATCCCATTGGCGAACCCAAAGCATGGACTATAAAGGATGGAAAGCACAGGGACAAACACTTGCTCGTCTTCAGCCTGCTCCGACAAACCTCTTCTCTCATCTACAAGGGCCCTTTTCTCACAAAGGATCATCCGAACGGACCGCATTGTGAACTCTTCATTCGATTTGTGAGTTTTTTTTTCATTTTTTCCTTTCTGTAGCTATTTTTACATAGCTTTCTAATAATTTCGTTTTTCATAGGATACAAACGACTACAGCCTGTTGATTGTCGACAACCTTGGAACAACAACGCCCCCGACTACGACTGCAACGACCACTGCAGCGGGAACATCAGATCCGCCTGAAACGACAAAAGATCCCTCTGGTTCTTCATCGACAACTCCGCCTGTGACCACCAACAGCTTCTCTTCCATCAGAACGACCACTCAAACAACGACAAAGTGCTCGGAACAAAAGGAGTGTGGCGGAGGTCTCCTTGCAATTGGCACTGCTGCTGCTGGCCTCTTTGTGGGGATCATCATTGCAGTTTTGGTCTGGTTCTGGATGAAGGACAAGGCAAAAAAGGACGCTGAACGTGCAGAAGAAAAACGTCTGCTTGCGTTGTACAAGGCTGAAGTGAAGATCAGAGGCAAAAAGGCCCTCGGGACATTTGATGTGTGGAAAAAGAATGTGAGTTTAAAAATTTGAGAAAATACCTCATTTAATCAACCTTCTTTTCCCATTTTTCAGAGAAAGGAGAGTGATGAAACGACTGCGTTTGAGATGGGTTCAGTCGACGACATGATCGCTGTAATCTGGAAGAGAGTGGAGAAAGAGCACGCCAAAGCCAAGATGCAGTTCCTTGTAGACCAGTTCGAGAAGCACAGGGACAAAGAGGTCTACGCCTGCGAATATGAACCGGAAAAGGCTAAAAAGGGATATGATGCCGTTGGGAACTTCCTGTATTGGAAAAGGGTGAGAAAAATATTTTTTTTAAATGTAACTTGGTCATTTTTATATTTTTCAGATGAAGAAAATCTATCCGTTCGAAGTGATCGATGGAACATCAACTGCGCTTGAATATGGGGCGGGAAAGAAGCCATATGATAAGCCGTATCTTCCCGGGGCCGTTGATGAGTCGATTCCAGAAACTGAATAGGGAGGAGGAGTTTGGCCCGGAAGTTGTGTGAAGGTGACGCTTGAGATATAAAAATGTGTGATTATCTATATATTGTTCCTTTGCTATGTCCCCCATATATTGTTCACATTGTTCCCCCCAATATATTATACTCATTGTGTGTATTGTATATTTCTTGTTGTTTGTATTGTATTTGAATTGTTGTATTCAATTGTATTTTTGTATGTGTGTAAATAAATTGTTGTTTGTATCGTTTATTTGATTCGATAAATTAGGAAAAGTTTAACTACCCAAAACTTAGAAAATTTCTCCAGAATTATACAATCCCTAATGTAAATGAATTAAGTTTCAAAGCAGCTTAAACAATTTTTTCCTTTGCAATATTTTTTGCTCTCAACAGGTCAGATATGATCCCTTTCGCAGAAAATTCTCTTGACGCCTTCTTTTACTTTTTAAAATTTAGACTTAATTTTTTTTTGATGGATTTACTACACCCTCCTTTGCACTACCACTCCAAATTCAAACAAATATTCATCAAAAAAATTAAAGAAAAATTTTTTTGGGTGCACCCCGAAGTACCGCGAGACCAAGGCAAAGCCTAACTACAACTTCGTTCACTGAATAGGGAGAAGGAGGAAGCAAAACAGACACCCTTGTATGTCGAATCCGTGACGCCCCATATCGGAGGTCCCGGATTTGATAATACTGAACTAAGTTATTTGGTCTCCCGATACCTAGCCTGCATCCATTTTTAATAGAAAAAAAAATATAAAATCTCCTTACCTTCATTAAAAAATTCATAACGTCCAGTTAAATGTTCCCAATTAAAAATAATTAATTTTCCATTAGCCATACCACAAGCTAGCCAAGGAAAATTTTCAGGAAAAAATTTTATACATTCAACGCTGCAATTTTTGTTGTTTTCTTCCTCCTCATTTTCTTCGTCCTTTTTATTTGAATTAATAAATACATGAATTAATTTAAGTTTTTGATCAATCAAATTAATTGTAACTAAAGCTATTTGACCATTTGAACAACCTAAAAAATTAAAAAAAAAATAAAAATTTTTTTCCTTTCGGCAAAAAAAATTTTTTGGGGACTCGATTGGGATGTATATATTTAAAAAATTTCAAGACTCGTAAACAGGGATGCAAAAATTTTTTTTTCTGAAACCGCAATTATAATTTTTAAATCCACAAAAGCAATCCGCAAGTAAAAAAAAGAACGCCATGCTCGTTAAACATAAGGCAGAGAGCCTTATCGTGTCTTAAGTGAAGCTCTCACACTCGATAAGATTTCCGAATTTAACCAAATTTGGTATTAAACAATTCCTCTCGTCGAGCTAAAAAGATTGGAACTAAAATTGACAAGGGTCAGAAATTTTTCAGCTAGTCATGGCTTTGCGTTGTTATGGTCGCACGCTATTTTGGGCGTGTTCCGCCCTACTGGTCTTAAACATTATTTTTTTAATTCTGAAAAAAATCCCTGTTAGAAATCTACATAAATCAGATAAAAATTTTCCAAAAACAAACAAACCAAAAGCTGCCATATTCCCAGACAAATGTAAATCTATTGCACCAGTACAAGACCCAGGCAAATTAACTTCACTTGTACAAACAGCATTTTTTAAATCCCAAATTTTTGCTACACCTTCTTCATAAACTGATAAAAAATGTTTTGCACCTTCGAGGAATTTGCCGGCCACACAAGGAGAATTTGAAGAATTTGGGAAGATCCAAAAATTAAAAAAAAAAGATTTTTTAAGAACTAATCGAAACTTTAAGATACACTCGATACTAGATAAACCTCTATTTAATAGACGTCTTTTAAATTTTGGTTGGGTCCGAAATCGGGAGAAATGGGCCGGGGTTGAGAAAAGAAGTCGGGTCGAGTTTCTGGATTGGATCGAGTTTTCAAAATCTTTTCGGATTCTATTAGGTGCACCTATGCAGGTTGGCAGATAGTTGGAAATCTTTGGGTATCCGGATCCGTTATCCAAGCCGAAAATTTTTTCCGGATATCTGGCCTTTTTTTAAATCCGTATATCCGTCAACCTTACTAATACAAGCCCCTCTCTTAGTGCATGAGCTACCCAAGCTATATCCTAAAGATGCCCTTCATTAAAAAAAAAGATTTTCCAGTCCCAAGGGTTTATCTTATATCGAGTTTCGATTGAATAATTAAAAAAACCTTAAATTGTTGAACATTCAAAGAATTAGCTTCATTCAAAATTACAAGCCACATCCAAATAGAACCATCATCTGAACCAGCAAAAAGAATTCCATTAGCTGAAGGATGCCATAAAAGCCATCTAATATGTTCAAAACTGTTTTCCTGTTCTTCCTCTTCTTGATTGTCAGACATTTGTTGTTGTTGTTGTTGTTCAGATGTTGATTGGCAATCTTCAATCTAAAAGGAAAATTTTTTTTGAAAATTTTTAAAAATTGGTAAGGACCAGAAAGTCATTGCAACGTTATAATAAAAAAATACATTCTCTAACATAAGGGGCAGAAGACTCGGAAAAACTTCAAGACCTAGTAGGACTCCTACTGACATGACTTTAAACACCATTACTAACATGAATTTAACAAAGGAAGAAACCTTTTATTTAGTATAGTTAATGAGAGACTCACAGAAAACCTCCGGCAGTTATTGCTAGGCGGTATCGTTTGTACGGGTGCTCCACTAAAAGGTGATCTGCCGATTGATGCAAGCTATCCCCACCTAATCTTAAACCCTCCAACTTATAAATGTTTTAGACGCTAGCTGGATCTCCTACTATAAACTAATTTAAAAAAAAAATACAAAACTATTAAAGTAGATGGTTCAGTCTCAATAGAATCCTTCACAAGAGTGCAGACAATTCTCCCTGACATATCTCCACTTGCTTAATTAAAAAAATTTTTTTTTAAATTTTAATAATAAAAAACCAAGTAAATCACTGCTGCAATTCCACGCTAGGCAATGAACAGAATCAACATGTTTTCCAACAATATGTAAATGTTGACGTATTGCTTTAAAAATAAAAAGAGAATAAGTTTAGTTGTTTTTCATAAAATTTGATTGTTCAATTGTTAAGTTAAGCTATTCGATTCAAATTAAAATTGGGCTAATTTAACTTATTACTAGTTTAAATCAGCTAAAATGTTTGGAAGTATAGTTGTCATAACCACACAGAAAAATCGAAAGCAAACTTGGTAATGGTACGCATCTGGACTGCGAACATCGCCTGCATCCGCCGTAAATATCCGAATAACAAATCCTTAGTTCATTCACCTATGCTACGAACTGACAACTCTAAATATTTTTGTAAATATTGGACCGACTCAATACTTTTACAGACACTCTCACGTTATCTCAATATGTTAAAATATCTGTTAGCTACTTGGTGGAGCTGCTTAAGCGACACCTAAAAATCATATCCTTTTAATTTCAAATTTTAAGAATTTTTTGACTACCTATAAAACTCCCTAACAAAACAAATAAAATTATACCAACGTTTTTGAGTTGTATCCCAAACTGCAGCTGTATCATCCTTTAAAAAATTTAATTATAAATTCAAATTTTCCCAAAAAAAGAATAAAAACCTCAGAACCAGTAGCTAACCATCTCTCATTTTTTGACAAAGACAAACAAAAAACATCTTTTTTATGCGCTTCTATCCTCTCTATTGAATTGTCAACAATTAAAGATTGCTCTTCTTCTCCTCCAATTCCTTCTTCTTCCGATACTTGATCATTTAAAGATGACGTCCAATTTTCTTCTTCATCTAAAAACTAGCGTTTGACCCCGAATCCTGAAGGCACGTTTTTCTGAGTGCGTTGGAGGAAGACTGACAGAATACTCACATTTATTGTCAGTCATACTCCAACGCACCCAAAAAACGTGCCCTCAGGATTCGAGGTTCTTCAGATTGATATTTTGAAAAACAAACCTTCAAGTTGACATTTCTGTTCATATTCATCTTCTAAAAATAAAACTTCGGGTTGTTGGTGTTCTTGTCCGTTGTCCTCTTGAAACAAAAGTTGTTCGTGCTGTTGTTCATCTTCATCCATTCCTCCTTCTCCATTGTTTTCACCATTCATTTTTATTAACAAAAAATTTTTCCTAAAAAATTTTTTTTTTCTAAATATATATTTTTTTAAATTTAATCAAAAGATATACAAAAATGCAAAAAAAACATTTTTAAAAACAAAAAAAATTTTTTAAGAGGTCAAAAAAATTTTATTCTCATTTTTCCAACATTTAAAAACAACAATAAAAAAAAGCTTAAAAATTAACAAATGTCTCTTGAATTTTTTTTTAAAATTGAAAGAAGACTACAACCAGACTTTACTTATAAGATACCCCCAAAAACAAGATAAACCTGCAATGTGGTTAGCCACTAATATGAGCTGACATAAGCGAATACTTCTTTAAGAATATCACTCTTTAAAGGGACTAAATTGAGCTAACATGTGAAAAAGATATATAAAGGAAAGTCAAATCACACATCCCTTGAAAACAGGACTGTTCGAAAATGAGGATTGTTTTTTAAATTTTATGGTTTTTTGGACTTGTGGACTGCGGCTACAGAATTTTTTTTTGAATTGCGGACAGCCCTGATTTGAACCCCAAACTGAGCTGACGTAAAGAAAAATGCAGATGAAGTATGAAAGGAAATGACAAGAGATTCAAGATATACCTTAATATAAACTATACAGGTTTTATCAGCAAGTGGGCATCTTTATAGTAAAATTAAATTGTAGTATAGTTTACACAAACACGTGCTTTTTTAACCTTTAAAAATCATTTAACAGCACGCTAAAAAAGGATATATATTAAATTGTAGTATTAAAAATACCCGTCAACAGTCTTTAGAAAATTGTTTTTATTTTACAAATGAAAGATAAAATATATTTAATAAATGTCAATTAAAACCAGTAAACATTTTTGAATTGCCAATAAGAAGGAAAAAAAATTTTTTTTGACAAAATTAAATTTTGTTTGTTTGAATAAATGGATGAGAAAAGAAACACCCCAAAACCAGAAAAATATTTTCCTAAATAAGCTCGTTTTTTTAATAAGAAAAACGGAGCAATCCTCTCTTAAATTAAAATTACCTATACATAAATTAATAGAGAAAAGTTGAAAAACAAATCCAGGGCTTCGATTTCTGCGGATTTTTCCTCATTTTGTGGTTTTTTGATAGGGCGATAGGATTATTTTAAAAAATGCGGATTTGCGGATTTTTGTGGTCTTTTGAAGAATATGAGGATTTTTTATATTTTATTGTGGTTTTTAGGATAAAATGTCATTATTTTTCTGCTAAGACCTTGTAAAATCCTCAAAATTTTTGCCTGCGGCGCTTAAAATGTAATATTTTTGGCTTAAGGATCTTCCAAAATTCAAAAAATTTTCGCCTGCGGCGCTGATAAAGAAAGAAATAAAAATTTTTGGTGTCTTCGACGACAAAAATTCAAGTGTAATTGTCCAGATAATTGTTCGGTCTGAAAATGGAAGAAATCTGTCTTCTGGCCTTCAAAAATCTTGAGGATTTTACAAGGAGGATTTTCAATGTTGAGGATTTTCTTATCAGAAAAATAATGTCATTTTATCCTAAAAACTACAAGAAAATATAAAAAATCCTCATAAAAAAATAAAAAATCATCCAAAAAAACTAACACTGTTTTTTTAATAAAAAATTGCATAATTCGATTGTTGGAGTCAAAAAATATAACGCATAAAGCGATTTTAAGTCAATCTTTGTGTTTGATAATTTTTTGCGGATTTTTCATATCAAATGCGGATTTTTTCGATCAAAATTGCGGATTTTTAAAAATTCGAGATCGAAGCCCTGAACAAATCAGAGCAAAACTTTGACCAGGTTTTCATAGAGCTCTAATTTTCTGAGATATATTTTTGATAAAAAGAGGAGAGAGTTTAATCTTGAAAACCCGGTCTCATGATCAGCTTACAACAACAACAACACCAACAAAAAATCCCTAGAAAATAGAAATTTGAAAAAAAATTTCGAACAAAAGATAGAGAAAGTTCACAGGCAAGTCTACTTACTTTTTAGGGCAGTTTTAATTTTTAACCCAAAAATTAAAAATCATTTTAAAAATAAAATAAAAAATTTACCTACATACATATTCCTTCATTTACTCCTTGAATTAAAAAAATTTTTTTATTTTTAAAATTAAAAAAAAATATTCACAAACCTTTTTTCCACCTCTCGAACCTTCTCTATTGTGATGAAGGAATATTATTTACAATTTCACGCAAATCCAAATCTGAAGCTGAACTTGAACGTGTTCCAGCATCTTCCTCATTATTTGAATTTTTATTTGGTGTTGCAAGATTCGTCGTAGTAGAAGATATATTACCTTCATTTGAACAAACAACACCCAATTGTTGTCGATTATAAATAGGAGGTATAGAAGTAGAAGAAGTAGAAATTGTTTCCATAACAGATAATCTTCCTTCTGCTTCCAAAATTGGTGGAGGATCAATTGCTTGAAAAATATAAAATTTTAATAGGTTAAAAATAATAAAAAAGAAAAGGAGATAAAAAAAGATCGAACAAAAGTGACGGAGTTTCTATTATAGTAGAAAAAAAAAAGGGGGAAGGGGGACAATCTATGGCAGTTATTGCTAGGCGGTATCGTTCATACAGTAAATGTCGTTCTCGTTTTCTACTCAGTGACCACAAAAACTAATCAAAAAAAAACATAGGGAAATAGTAGAGGGGTGGTAGGTCTAATGATTCTACAAAAAGTTGACACAAAATCTCTGTAAGTATAAAATCGTTAAACGTGCCGCCATAAAAATTAAATTCTTGATTTGCAGAAATCAGGACGGCAAGCTTTCTTATTTGTAGCAATGACCAGAAACGCAATAAAACGAATCACTCCATAAATAAATAAATTAAAAAGGCGTTCCAGTTTCCTACTCAGTGACGACAAAACCTTATATCAACAAAATTTCCAAAAAAAAACAAACCATGCGTATCAATAGGTTCCAACCCTGGCCTATATTCTGTCATTGTTGTTGCTCTTTGATGATAATTTAATTGAGCATGTTGTTGGATATTATTATAATCCATTGGAATATTTGTTTGTTGCTGTAAAAATACAGGAATATTGTTATTATGAGCAATATTTGTTGAAGATGTAAAACGATTTGAAGAAGAAGAAGGAAGAATAAAATGCTGCTGTTGATGATGCTGTGAATGACTGTTAAGTTGCATTTGTTGCTGTTGAGGATTTATTACTGGCAGTCTTCGAATTGTTGTTGGTGTAGAGGTAGGTGTTGTTGAATAAGAATAAGGTGACGGTAATAATTGTTGTTGGTCTGCTCGACGCATTATATTCATTCCTGATGGATTAGCTTAACAAAAATGTTTAAGGGCAACATTTTCAGGATTTTTTAAAGAAATTTTTGAAAAATCCAAAAAGTGCAGGAATGAGATTCCACAAAAATGCAGCCGCGGAATCCCATCTTCAAAAAAATGAAGAGACATTGGAATAATGACCGAGGCTATTTCAAAATTTCGATTTGAACTTTTGAGGTTTTTCTAATGTCTCACAAAAAAATTTTATAACAAGGAATCCCCTTAAATTAAATTCAAAAAACAAACTTTGTTCATATAAACCAGATGTTCCTATTCGTTCAGGAAAATGTTGTTGCTGTTCAGAAGGAGGAGGTGAACCAATAATATATTCATTAAATGGAGGATCTTCAGTTGGAGAATTAATATTAAATTGATGTCTTTGTGAATAATGTTGTTGTTGATGTTCTAATGCAAATTCACCAGAAAGTGAAGATAAAGATTTTGGGAAATATGTTGAAGTGCTGAAAAGATGTGGATAAAAAAATTACTAAAATGAATTTTTAACAAAATATCCACATAATTTATGGCCTGGACTTGTTTCATAGCAGAAATGAACTGTCTCAACTTCCTTCATAATTCCGCCCTTTTTTACCATCCGCTTCCGCAATTTAGTCTTCCGTTTTTTAAAATAAAGAAGGCCTTATCTCAGATCCATGGCATGAAGTTCAACCAAAATCCCCAGGTAAAATCTGTGGCGGCTCAAAAGATACACAGTTCTAAGCCCCATGTAAAGCCAACACCTGACCTTCCTTCTGCCCTAACTCATACCTCCCTTCTTATATCATAAAACCCCTCTAACAATTTATAAATAAAAAATACTTTATTCCTCTATTTAATTGTGTACGCAAATTGTGTTGTTGTTGTCTCAAATAATGATGCTGTTGTTGTTGACGTTGTATTGTTGATGTAAATGCTTGTCTAAATGGTTGTGAAGGAGGATGTTGCTGTCCAAGAGTATTTGATTGACTAAAATGCTGTTGAGATGAAGAAGGATGAATTCTTTGATTAACAATTTGGTTTTGATAAGAAATTTGATAACATGTTGGTTGTTGAATATCAACCATTGACGTAGATGTTCTAGGTATTGGCGAAGCACTTTGAAGAATATTTTTATTTGAAAAAATAAATTTAAAAAAATAAACCTGATAGCAGAATGCTGCTGTTTTTGCGGATACAAAGTTCGTACTCGTGGTGGTTGAAGGATTGAAGTATCAGATGGAAATGAATCAATACAAGCTAAAAATTATTGAAAAAAAATATGAGTATAAAAAATTAAAAAATTTTTGTGAGAAATATTCGTGTATAAAGTGGGTAAATGTGACTAAATGGTTTGCGACAAAATGCCACAACGAGCAAACAATTCGCTATTTTAAAGTAGAGGTCGGCTAAATCGTGTTTGCGGGATCCCGCGGGATAAATCCCGAAAATCCCGCAAATCGAAAAAAGTGCAGGATTGCGGGACATTATAGACCCCCGACCTCTAGTCTAGGGTCTATAAAATACTAGCACCAACGTACATGCGCTAAAGAGAAACTCCGAACTCAATCTGTAATAAAAATTTCCTCTTGTCATTATGTCACATTTCAAAAATTTATAGATAAAAATTTCCCTCTTCCCTTACCATATTGTTGATGATCACCTTCTTGAGACGACATAACTGGCCTAAATCGTTTAATATTACTATGAGTAATAGACGATGTTGGTGTTCGTTGTTGTTGTTGTTGATAACGATTTGGAGTAGAAGTCATTAATGCTTGTGGAGTCATTTCTTCTACAATTTGTCTCTTACGGAAAAAATTAGAATTTGTTTGGTTAGTAGAAGGAAAATGTTGTTGGGGTTGTTGTCGTCTATTAGCTGTTGTTGTTGTTATTGTTGATGATGAAATTATATTATTTATAGTTTTTGGAGTAGAAGACATAAATTGATGTTGTTGTTCATAATCAACACCTAAAAAATTAAAAAAAATTTTTAACCCAAAAAATTTTCTCCTACCAAAAATATTTTGATTAGTCTCTCCTCTCGGTGTCCTAATATCAACATTCGGATTTATTATTTCACATCGTGGTGGGGAATTTATATCTACAAAAAAATAAAAAAATTAAATGAGAAAAATACAAGAAAAATTTTTGTGGTTAAGTGGGTTACTTACGTAATAGCAGGGTATAAGGTTCGAACCTATCCATGTAAAATATTTTTATAATTCATTTTAATATTATCGAAAACATCTTTACCCAGAAAATACCTCAAAAACCTCCAAAAAATTTTTTAGTTTCTGTGGTTAAGTGGGTTACTTCCGGAATAGTAGGGTATAGGGTTCGAACTCACCTACGTAAAATATTTTTATAAATCATTTTAAATATTATCGAAAACATCTTTACCCAGAAAATACTCAAAAAATTCGCCAAAAATTTTTTGAACCAAATAACAAAAGAATGACATTTGATCCCACCCTATAAAAAATCAAAAAACTAACAAGATGCTGGACTAGGAGTTGAAGGAATAGCTGCTATAGGAGAATTTGATTTTGAACTAGTAATAGAATTTGATGCAGAATTTTTTTGCATAGAAACAAGTCCACGTGGATCAACAGGAACAAAACGAGTTCCACTTGGAGAAATATAATGACTTCGTCCAGAGAAGGAAGCAGAAGAAATTTTGCGTTGTTGAGGGGTTGAAAGGGGTGAATTTGAAGAATTCTAAAAATTTTTTTAAAAATAATTAACCTCTTAAAAAAGAAAACCGAATCTGTTCCTTTCCATTGTGCATTATTATTTGGACTATTTTTAACAATTATTGTTGTTGTTTTATTTTCAGTGCTGCCAGTAGTTGGAGTTCGTCCAAGTAAACGAAACATAGTGGGAGGCTTTTGTGAGTTAGAAATTGCTTCATGAATAAATTGAGTTGAACGAGAAAACTTAAAAAAAAATTTTTTTTGAAAAATTATTGTAAATAAAAAATTAAAAGACTCAATGCACTAGTCTGGGGATGTTTTACGGTTCCAAAATGTTCCCACGGTTCCAAAAAATCGAAATGTCCCCCGGTTCAAGTTTTTGACGATTCTTATAAAATTTCGACAGTTCCACAAATTTTGTTATGGCGTGTTTCATGAATGGGTTCGAACTCTGTCACTAATATTCCGTAAATTAACCACAAATTTAAAAATTTCACATTTTCAATTAAACCAAACTAGGAGTGTCGTCGGGAATCGAGATCTCGTCTCGGTCCGGTCTCTATTTTCAAGGTAGAAATTCCCAGGGAGGAGAACTCTTCAGGAACACTACGAAAAATTGTAAACCAAACCTCATTTGACTGAACAACATTATTAGGCAATTTATTTACAAAATTAGAATGACAAGTTGAATCATTTGTTGACTTTGTCAAGGTTGTATTTTCTTGTGAATCCATATAAATATTTGAAGTAGATGAAGATGTGTCAGAAGAGGGTGAATGACGACTATCAGGACGGTCAACTTCTTCAGGAGTAGTTTTTCTAGTACTTTTAGGGCTTATAGCATCAAAATCTTAAAGAAAAAATAAATTTACAAAAATTAGAATGCAAAAAAGAAATAAAAAAAATAATCAGAATGCTAAGATAACTTGAAGAAATTAATATAAAAATTATTTCCCCGAGAGGGTTCGAACCTACGACCTAAAAATTCAAAATTATCCCACTAAACCAAAATAACAATTTTATTTCTATAGACAGGAGGATGAGAAAAACATGTTTATATGCGATAATCCGACTAAAATAAAAATAAAAAAACGCTTAGCACAACGCTAAAAAAGCCTCAAACCATTAACCAAAATTCAAAATTATCCCACTAAACCAAACAGATACAAAAAGTCAAACAAAAAACCTCTAGTAAGTCCTCTCTGTTTTTGTATTTGTTGTTGCATTTTAGAAAATTGATTTTGTAAATTCAAATTTTGTGGTTGTTCTTGTGGTTGTTCGGAATTTTTATAATTAATACCAGAATATTTATTATAAATTTGTTGAACACTTCCAATACTTTTTTCTTCATTTTTATGAATATTTTGTTGATGATGATATTGAGGAGGTGAAGTTAACTGACCGGGGCGTTTAAGAACTGAAAAAATGATTAATAAATTTTTGAAAAAAAAGTCGATAAAAACAAAAATGTTTTGCCCCAAAAGGGTTCGAACCTTCAACTCAAAAATTACAAAATTATCCCACTAAACCATAAAGGCAAATTTTATTCAAAATCCTAAAAGCAGTCTAAAAAATTTGGAAAAAAGAAAAATTGGCCTAAGTACACTTTACCGGGCGATTTTAGATTTTTATGATTTATATGTCAATCGAAAGAGCTCGGCGAGCTGAGTCGAATGACACCAAAATTAGCCCGCGGACTCAACTATGGACCGAGATATGGGTCCCCAAAAATCGAAAAACCATAGGGGGGACCAAGCACTTTTTTGGGGGTAAAAAGTTCGAATATGCAAATTATACCTCATTCGAAAGAGCTCGTCGAGCTGAGTCGAATGACACCAAAATCATCGTGATTGGACAAGTTTGGACAAAGTTACGATAGAAAAACTAAAACCTAAACCTATGGAGCGTCGGCGAGGCGCTTGTGCAAAACCCCGCGCTTCGCGCGGGGTTTTGCGGCACGCGCCTCGCGGGGAGTCTACGGGCGCTGGGTCTGGGCTCGTAACATAAACCTATTCCTATCTTCCTTGCTCTGGACGTATTTGGGGCCTCCGTAGCATCGAAAATCTCCACAGATGCCATAGGTAAGGAGCTAAAATAAAAGATCATAACTTTGTCAAATCAAATCGGATTTCGTTGATTTTGGTGTCATTCGACTCAGCTCGACGAGCTCTTTCGAATGAGGTATAATTTGCATATTCGAACTTTTTACCCCCAAAAAAGTGCTTGGTCCCCCCTATGGTTTTTCGATTTTTGGGGACCCATATCTCGGTCCATAGTTGAGTCCGCGGGCTAATTTTGGTGTCATTCGACTCAGCTCGCCGAGCTCTTTCGATTGACATATAAATCATAAAAATCTAAAATCGCCCGGTAAAGTGTACTTTAGCCGAAAAATTTTTGAAGAAAAGTAAAAAATAAAAATGCTTTGCCCCAAAAGGGTTCGAACCTTACCCCAAAAATATAAAATTATCCCACTAAACCACAAGGGCAATTTTATACCAAATCGTTTAAATTTTTTCTTACTTGACGGCCCAGCAATTTTATCCAAATTTGTGTCTCTCTTATTACTTTCCATATTTGTTTGAATTAAATTTGCAGAAGTAAACGAAGTTGCCTGTTGAAATTGTTTAACAGACAAATTTAAAGTTGTTTTTCTTATAGGAGCAGAATGTGACGAAGTTAATTTACTGCTTAATGGAGTCTTTTTAAACGTTCCTTTAACAACATCTGGACGTCCAGCAGCCTCTCTTGGATCCCAAAAATTTGTTGCCGTTGAAGGTGTTAGTTGGGTTGGAATGGTGACAAAGGAATCGTCATTTGAGGGAGTGGTTAATTGTGTTGGAATTGTTACAAATGAGTCGTCATGTTCGGCATCGTCAGTAAAAGTATCACATTCTTGGAGATCATTATTGGAAGGCTTTAAAAGTATTTTTTAATTGAAAGAAAATTTTTTAGAAGGAATTAAATCTAAAGAAAGAAGCGTTTAAACCTCCAAGTAACGCCAACAATTCCTGAGTCAGGTTAAATCCTCCAAATTTTGAAAAAGAAACTCCCGACAGGTCTTTATCCCCTAGTCCTTAAGACGATTACCTAGAAATATTTGCGATCTCAAAAAAAATTCCTTCCAACTTTCCGGTCCCAAAATGGAACGGAAGATTCTGGGAGGGAGAAAGCTTAAACTCCTAGGTGCTCAAAAACTTTCCTAGTGCTCAAAAACTCTTTGCTACGTTTCATTTACTCAAATTACTTTTGAAAAAACTAACTTGATAAACTTTTCCTGCAGATTGGGGAGATTCATCTTCAACATTAACCACTTCCTCATCTTCGTCTGATTCTTTTGTTCGTTTATTCGTCTTTTTCTTCCGTTTCCTTTTTGACCCAATAGCTCTAGATGGTGGAGGTTTTCGCAATTTTTTGGTGGAAACATCTTCGACATTTTCTCGTTCAACAACATTTTTAATTGAATTATGCTGGTGATTTGCCTCTGCGTTTTGTGAAGCTGCCTAAAAAGTTTTTAGAGAACCTTTAAAATACCCAAATAAATTTTATTCTGCTGCCTAGACAGTTAAAGAATTTCATAATTTATTATAAATAAGCCCTAAAAATAATTGCACCCCGGACGGACTCGAACCCACGACCCCATGCCTACACACCAAAAACTATCCCACTAAACTAAAAGCCACTAATGTTACTTTTTCTGGAGTTCTCTTCAAAACAAGACGGAGATCATTCCATTTTTCAACCCCATACAATCGAGGAGGTTCGTTTGTTTTTGAAGGTTGTTGTTGTTGCTTGTTTGGTCCTGTTTGCTTTAAAGACGAACTAGAAGCTTTTGAGCTGAAAGATAAAATAATTTTTAAAAAATTCTGAAACATGCACACCCAAGTATTTTACCAAAAGAGTAGACTATGGAATATAAAACGGAGAATACACAAAATTATCTTCCCACATAAGAGAATCGGCATTTCGTGAAGTTACGGAATTTCTAATGATTCGCGAAATACAAGAACCCGTAAAACTAGGGAATGCTCCACAGCTTATTTTTGTGGCTCAAAAGCAGGTTCTTATGGGTAACAAGGAATTAAACTCTTTAGCATTAAGACGCGCTACTGTTCGCCACCCAAAAACAATATCCCACCCAAAGGATAAGAAAATTCATCTCCAAACAAAACCACAAACCTAGGATCTAACGGATGTGTTGTCCTCCATTGATGACCTTCAAAAATTGAAGAAACTTCAGAAGTCGAGGGGACAGACAAATGATGATGAGGAGGTGACAGAAGGAAGCCTTGACAGTCATCATTTGAATCAGAATTTGAAGAATCTTCCGTATCTTTTACTGATTGCCGTGCCAACAATAAACGACTTTCTCTGTGTCGAAATTTCCGGTGGTGTCCGAACCCGACCATTTTGACAACCAAAGAGCAGTCCTTTAAAAAAAATATTTTTTGTCGTCCAAAAATTAATTTGTCTCATTATCACCCCATCTTTTTTCGAAATTTGGATTTCGTGATTTTTGACCTTTTTCCGAAACTCTCTGACAACCTTAAAAAGGCAACACTTTTACTCTGATCCCTAACACATATAACTCGGACTTAGTACTAATCGGAATGTCAAACCATTGCCAATGTCAATGACACTTGTCGAAATGACGACTTTGTGGAATCCTTCTCCGAAACGCTCCATTAACACAAAAACATGGTTCTACTTGACTTTATGAGTCCAATAAAAAAAATTGGATTTTTTAGTATTGCAAAGTTGGTGTTGGTTCCAAAACATTTCTTCATGTTCGGGACCTACGCCCCTTGGGTCTGAAACCATTCCCTACCCTCTCCCTCGAAATTCTTTCTTCGAAACGCTCTACTAGGACAAAAAAGCGACATTTCTAAAAATAAAAGAAACCTCGCATTTCACCAGCTTCGGAACTTGAGAAACAGTACAAACTCCATAACATACAGCCTCTTTGAAATCAAATAAATTTTAATTAAACATTTAACACCCTTCTACTTACTATCGTGTGGCAATGTAGCTACGCCAGAAAAGGCAACAATTTCATTCGAACCTCCTCCATTCCATTTACTCTCCCCTTCTTCCTCACCATTAAATTGTTTATCGACTTGGTCAAAAAAATTTTCCCAACACAAACCTTCCAAATTTTCAAACTCTCCCATTTATTTTTAAAAACAATTTTTAATTTGTTTCATTTTTAAAAACTACAGCGAAAAATTTTTTTTATTTCATATTAAACACAAGAGAAAAAAAAATGTTGACAAAAAAAATAAATTTTAAAAATATTCGAGAGTTTATACAAACAATTTTTAAAAATTCCAATTAATTATTCATTTTTATACTAAAAAATCAATCAATAACGAAGAAAAAATTTTTTTATAAAAAAATGAATTGTTGAAATCAAGCTTGGTAATGGATTCGGATACAGATAAGTTAAAAATGCCTGCGGATATCCGTCTGTATCCGCCGTAATATATAATAGTTTGGAATTCGCCCCCTTTTTTTCAACATTTCCCTGACCATTTTGAGCTTGTTTGTTTGATACATAATTTATCATACATCTTTCGAAAGCGCTCATCGAGCTTGGTCGAATGATACCGTGATTGACCAGATCTGATCATTCTTATCGAAATTATGAAGCCAAATCCTAGTTTGGGCAAACTTTTTGTATCAATGCAAGTGGATAAAATATACGGTCACAACTTTGTTCACTTAAGTCAGATTTCGTTAATTTTAATGTCATTCGACTCAGCTCGAAGAGCTCTTTCAAATGATATATAATTTACTATAAAATGAGAAAAAACTAGGAAAAAATAAAGAGGAAAAAAAGGGGGGTGAATTCCAAACTATTACCTATATGGTTACCAAAATCAATGTCCATTAATTACCAAGTCTGGTTGAAATTTTACACAGTTAGTTGAATTGCACTCATCTGTAAAAATTAATTTAATTTCTTCAAAAAAGTTTCTCTTCAGAGTAAGTCGAATCTCGTTATACACACATTCTTGGGACTAGAGCTCTGTGGGAATTTCAACAACTAAAACAAAAAATGGAGGTTTCGCTTGTAGACATCTTCACTCAACCAAATAGAACAAAAAAGCGTATCCGGGAGAGTATACCACACGAGACTCGATTATTCTTTAAATTTTTACAATTAAAAAAATTCCAAAATTTTTTATTCATTTTTGAATGAGGATTTTTAATTAAATCACATTATTTCATTAAATTATCCATTTCTGAATGAGTATAAAAATTGAAAAAACTCAACTCAAATAATCACCAAAATAAAAACCAAAGTTTGGTTTTTATTAGAGGTCGGCGCGGGACGGGATCCCGCGCGGGATTTTGCGGGGTCCCGCTCCCGCACTTTTTTCGATTTGCGGGATTTTGCGGGATGCGGGATTTTGCGGGGTTTTTCCCGCGGGATCCCGTCCCGCAAAGATTTTTTTAAAAAATCCCGCATGCGGGTTCCCGCAAACACGATTTTGCCGACCTCTAGTTTTTATTTTTTAAAAAGGTGTCAGTTGAGTCAGAAAAGAGTATTTGGTTAAACAAAGAAAAATTAACAAAAGGAGGGAAATAAATTAAAAATAAAAAAAGTGGCACGAGATATTTGCGAGACAATAACAACGACAGATAAAATTGTAGACTACATGTGTACTAATTTTAACTATCACAAAAAGCTGTGCTTTATCGCAATCCTTTTAGACATCTCTCTCTCTCTTAACCCAATTTTATTTAACTAACGATCCATAAAGTGTTATTAATCCGCAAAGGTGTTGTTGTTATTCGCGCAAGTATCTCTATTCCTTTCTACCGGGAGCAGGCCAACTTACCGCGAGCCCACCCAACTTACCGCAGAGCTATAACTTCGTTCTGAATCGTCAAATCCGGGACGTTGGGCTCGCGTTAAGTTGGGCTCGCGTTAAGTTGGGGTGTACCCCTTTCTACCATATTTCCTAATAAATAGTGATCTAAACGACCGTACTACGGCCGTATTTTTATCGGTATTTCGTATCGATAGTACAGTACGAAAAAAATTTTCTGTACAGTAACACGGCACCGAAGAAAAATATCGGTATTTCCCGGTATTACAGTCGGTAATACGGTACTGTAAAATTTTGAATTTTCTCGGTAGTATACGATACAAAATTCCGATCACGACTCATACATAACTATAAAATATCGAGAATTTTTTTTTGGAATATTTTCAAATTTTAGGCTACAAAAAATGAAAAATCACAGCAAAATAAAAATTGTTAATTAATGTCCTAGATATGTAAAAAATATTAGGAGGCGCCTTTAACTTTTTTATATCACGTGATTTTTTTCCGTCAAAAAAAAAGTAAAAAAAAATAAAAGTACAAAAGTTACAGTCCGAATTATCTTACTAATACCCACCCTAATTTTAAATTACCTAGTTTAAAAAAATTTGGTTGGTCTCTAACACCAATCCCACATTAGACTCGACGCTTGACAGTCGTCCGCGTCGAGTATCTTCCAACATTGAAATGGGCACGAATTGTTCTTTCCGTCTATTTTACAGTAAAAGACGAATGGTCTAATTAAAAGGATCTCTAAAAAAATTTTTTTTAATCTTGTTGTGTACTCATATTTGCCTTCTGTCAAAAACTGAATTAATAGAAAGTTGTCGATTTCTAAGTAAATGATAACAATTTAGACAAACACGAACAGGATGGTAATTTGATGGTAATTTAACACGTCCACTACTACACGAATTGCAAAATATTAGACCACAATTTCTGTAGAGAAGAAAAAATTTGTTTTTTAAGATTTGAGATTCCCTCCTTGTATTTTTTCATTTTCCCCGTATTCGGTTTAAAACGTGTGAGTAAAGTTAAAAAAAAAAGAGGAACTGGCATAATCCAGCCCTTCCCCTTCGCTCTCTTCTTCGATTCACCATCCCGCAAAGATTTTTCCCGTTGAATATCGGGTCCGATTCTTGATACCCAAAGATTTAAGATGTCTTCCCTCAAAGCCCTGCGTGCATCCCACTAGACTTTGAGGGTAACGAGGGATCCAAATTTCTAAATCGCGTCGATTTTGGTGTCAATCAAAGTGTCCCCAAGATTTCCCTGGGAGCCGTTAACCAACACACTTTCTATCAAAAATATTAAACAATTTCAAAATTTCTCTTTTACCTACAATGATGTCTTCTTTGAATTACCGAGAATTGAATATCACAAAGTCTACACTACAAAAAAATAATTTTTTTCAAAAATTTCCTTTAAAATCCCTCAAAAAACCTGCACAGCCTCTTTATCTTTTATCCATTTTGCATCACTTAAAGGCATAATTTCTTCTTTTAATTCAACCATGCGTAATTTTGATTCACTCAAAGCTTCACTAAATTCTTGTAATGCTTGTTTTGATTCACTCAATTCTTGTTTACATTTTCTATAATCTTCTTTTAATTCTGACAATTCATTTTCAATGTTGGTTAAAGCCTTTGAAAATATTTTTTAATTGAATTTCACTTCAAGCCTTAAAGGGCAACCATGGTTTAGAATCACCCATTAGGGTTCTTGGCCCAGATTTTATAACTAACAACAAGATTAGAGGTTCAACGCAGGACGGGACCCCATTCCCGCACAGATTTTTACAAGTCCAAATCACTATAATGGATCCTGCAAACACGATTTTTGTCGACTTCTAACCTAGACAATAAGTAATCAAAAAAAGTTCAATAAATGACCGTGGATCACAAACAAAAAAAATGTGCCGCAGAAACTGAAAAGGTATGATAGGGGAGTGGGCCACTTTAATTGTTGACCGTTTTATTATCAAAGGAATAACCAACAAGGATCCACTTAAAAATTTAACTGTGTTGCAAAACCTCGTGGCTCCTTTTAATTAAAAAAAGGAAGGAGGAAAAGAGTGTAATTAAATCTCCAAAAATACCAAAATTAAAAAATGGAAAACTAATAATAATTGGCAATGAATTTTCAGCCATTCTCTACATGGAATAAAATTTTTCACCTAATATCCCTTTAATAAATCAAAAAAATGAAAGGAATAACCAAAAAAGGATCCAGCCACAAATTAAACGGATGTTACAAAACATCGTGGTCCCTTTGAAAAAGGATAGAACAAAGGGAGTGAAATTAAACTCGCCAAAAATACGAAAATAAAAATGGGAACCTTGGTAGAACTAAAATATTTCCCTCAATGTTCCCTTTTTAAAAAAAACAAAAAAAACCTTAATTTTAGCATTTAATTCATTACATTCACTTTTTAATGAATTTAAACTTTCTCTTTCAGCACTTAATTCCTCATTTTTATTTTTAAGCATAGCCATTGTTTCAGAATAAATTTTTGTAATTTTAACAAATTCCAATTTGAAGCATTCTTCTTCCTCCATTTGCTCATTTTTTAAATTTTTTGCCAAAGAAATTAAAGATTCATTTAAATTGTTAACTTCTTTAGTATTTAATTCTTTCATTTTTTCTATATCTGATTGAAATCTTTTTATTTTACATTCAGAAGCTTTTAATTTTTCATACAAATCTTCGGTAAAACGACGAGTGCCTTTTAATTGGTCTTGACTTGAAAAAAGAAAAAAATTTTTAAATTTGAATTTTAACAATATTTGTAGAGATTGAAGGTCCGCTGGGAAGGGAGCTTGCCAAGGTACCGCAAAGCCTTAACTTCGTTAAAAATGGTCAAATCCGAGACGCCTTGGTATGGTTCGATTCAGCTCGTCGAGGGGCATAGAAGGGCTTCCAGGACTCATTAAACTTTGAACCAAGTTATAGGTTCTGCGGTACCATGGGGTGTACTCCCCTGGAAATTTTTGTAAAAAAATTTTTTTTTGAAAAAATTTGCACTATTCGACAGCTAGAAGTCTTTTCGGATATTCAATTTGTTTTTAAAATTGAAAAAAAAACATCTAAAAACTTAACGGACCCAATCTCTACAAATACCATTTTTAATTAAATACCTAATTGCTAAACTGTCCTCTTTTTCTGCCAATCTTGCTCTCAGAATGTCCCTTTCACGTTCCAAGTCCCTCAAACGTTCAGTAAAAATTAGTGAAGAATCGTTTCTATGCAAAGTCTAAAAATAGAAATTTTTTAAAAAAATTTAAACGAATTTAAAACCTCATTTGTAGAACATCCATTAGAAAATTTGTCAACTTTAATTTTTAGTTGTTCTATATTAGCACTAAAAAATTATTAATTTATTACTATAAATAATATTTTTGAGGAAGGGTTGGAGGCCCAAATCCGATAGTCAGTAAAGCCCCTTGCCCCCCCCCCCTCACCCACCCGAAAAAATCATGACTACGGGCCTGGACCGGATTGAGTCCAGCACATTTCTGACCACCCCATTTTTTCCAACCTATTTTAACTACCAACCTTAATTGTCTATTCCTCTCTTCCAAATATTGTTTTTGATCCAATATAGTCCTCAAATCAGTATATTCCTCTTCTGTAGTAATCGAACAGCCTTTATCGTTATCGAAAGCTTCGGGGAAATGCCCAGGCAAAGTCGGCAGCCGAATATATGGAGTTAAATCGAAAGAATTGATTTGTTCCTTTAAAATAAATTTTTTAGGGAAATTCTAAAGAATTAAAAAAACCAAAAGTGCGTCTTCCTCAACAAGCAAATTGCTATCAAAAACATTTAGAGATAGAAAAGCGCCACAAAGAAAACTGCAACTTTCACTTCTAATTAGCGCCCATGGTTCGTAGAATTGGCTAAAAAATTAATTTATTGCTAAATTAAAGACTAAAGACCCAAAAAGAGTCAAAAATCTAAAACATGAAGAGAAATCAACCAAAAGGTCCCCCAAAATCAACTCCCTCTTGAACAAATGACCCAGAAGGTCACTCTAAATATTTGGGGGACTCCAGATCAAAAACACGTTTGCCTGCTCCTTTTGGCTTTTCAAACAGTTTCACGAAAGAATTTCCTTCTTATGTCTCTTAATCCCGACAAATCTACCTTAGTTCGACCAAACCCATCGATCAGGCCCGTAGCCATGGGGAAAAGGGAAAAATTTGGGGAAGGGCTGGGGCAAAAAAGTGAATTTTTTTGGCCTACGGCCTTCGAAATTTTCAAAATTTTCGCCTGCGGCGCTAAAAATGGAAGAAATCTGGCTTCTTGAGGTCTAAAATTCAAAAAATTTTCGCCTGCGGCGCTGAAAATCAAAATTTTGGCGCCTACGGCGCCGAAAAAGTGAATTTTTTGGCCTACGGCCTTCTAAAATTTTCAAAATTTTCGCCTGCGGCGAAATTTTTCCACCCTTTGGCCCCCCCCCCGAAAAAAAATCCTGGCTACGGGCCTGCCATCGATATCCCCATTTATAGCCACAAATCCTTCCCCAAAAATTGATAATATTATCAAAAACATTCTTACTCTTTCTTTGGGCACTCATAGAGACATAAAAGATATTCCGCCAGTCTTTTTTGCATTAAAGCCAATCGCCAAAATCCTCTATATTTACTTAACACAGATCTATTCAAAAAAGAAATTTTCTTAAAAATAAATTTAAAAAAAAACCTTAAAGTACTCATTCCACCCAAACTATTATACAAATCTTCCATTTCTTTATTCGATTTGCTTGCAATACCAACAAATTCCCACATCTCTGTTTCTGGAAGTCTTCTTCTACCAATAATGGAAGAAGCTAAAACTTGGAAATTTAAGAGATTTAGAAAGTCATATAGTCGTTTATCGGCCCCTTTCTCCTTCACAAGTTTTATTCTTCAAGGTATAATAATGCCCAGATTTGCTTCCCAAATTCCACTTTTTATATTTTTTAGCATAATCGGACCAACCACAAAGGCTTTTAGCAGAATTCAGCAACTGCGGCCAGGCAACGAACCTGAATCTCCCCATTAATCAAAAGGATTAATTTTGAAAAGGAGAATGGGGCCTGGTACACGACGACATTACAGAGTTAAGGCTAAAATTAAAAAAGAAACCTGGCACTTTAAACCCATGCCAAAGGCACTTTTCGAATATAATGAAGAAATCACTAATTACTTGAGATTCTACCAAGTCCAATATTCGAGTGCCTCGAATTTGATCGTCCAAAAGAGAATTTAGTACTAATCTCATCAATGCGAGAAGATTGCTTCTTTCGTTTTCTACAAGTTAAAAATAGTGTTTTAAATTTAAATTTCGAAAAAAAACCATGGCAAATACGTTGAGCACGTCTCGAAAAGTTTTTAAAATGTTCCTCCACAGAATTCATATTTGGGTGAATTTGGAGGGGTTGTAAAGGAGGATGTAATAAATCCATCGAAAAATCAAGTCTAAAACGAAAAGTTAAGGATAAGGTAAAAAAATTGAAAAAGAGGTACAGCCCAATTAGGCGCGCGGCCATAACGGCGCAAAGCCATAACTTACTTCAAAATTTCCGAATCTTATCAAATTTAGTATTAAACGATTCCTCTCATCGAGCTGAAGAGATTGGTAACAAAATTGATAAGGGCCAGAAATTTTTCAGCAAGTTATGGCTTTGCGCCGTTATGGTCGCGCGCCTTTTTGGGCGTGTTGTTTGAAAAAAAATATTGCAAAGAAAAACAGGGTTTAATTTCCCTAATTTATCGAATCAAATAAACACTACAACCAACAATTTATCTACACACAAAAATACAATTGAATACAACAATTCAAATACAATACAAACAACAAGAAATATACAATACATACAATGAGAGCAATATATGGTGACACAAATTTATCACAACTCCTCTCTCGGGTTATTATTATCCTTCGGTTCCGACGGCGGAATCCACCTCTCATCAACCGGCTCCGGCTCCTCCTCAGACATTGGAACCTCAACACCGTCCACAGCGCCCCTATTCGCCGCCTTTATCTCCGCCAATCTCTCCTGCTCCTCAAGTGTCGGGTTCTCCTCGATTGTCCACTCGTCAGGCTTCTCAATGTTGATCCTCTCGACCTCGACGATCTTCTCGATGACCTTTGGCTGCTCGTATTCAATCGCCGTCCTTGTCCCGTCGTTCAAGGTGAACGTCGCCGCAATGTTCTTGTTCTGAAAAATCAAAATTGGGAGGATTAGCTGAGATTCAGAGAAAAAAATGTTTAAAATTCACCTTTTTCCACTTCTCGAAAGACCCAACAGCTGCAAGTCCCTTCTTTTTCAGTTCCGGCGTGTATCCCCGCTCGAAGAGTTCTTTGTCCTTCCGCTTCTCGAACTGATCCACAAGGTACTGCAGCTTGTCCATGGCCTTTTTCTTCTCCACTCTCTTCCAGATTGCTTCGAGCTCGTCCTCGATTGAAGGCAGCCCCACCGCAGTCTTCAGCTCCTTTCTCTGAAAAAATGTAAAGGGTATAAGCTTGATTAATAAGTGAACGATTTTTAAACTCACATTCTTTTTCCATGCAGCGAATGTCCCGACAACCTTTTTGCCTTTGGTCTTCTCCTCAGCCTTGTACAGCGCAAGCAGACGATCTTCTTCTGCACGTTCGGCGTCCTGCTTCCCTCCCTTTTTCGTATCCTTTCCTGCTTTGTTCTTCATCCAGAGCCAAACCAAAACTGCAATGATGATCCCAACAAAGAGGCCAACAGCAGCAGCAATGCCAATCGCAAGGTAGGGAGCTCCGCCACCCTCCTCCCGCTGTTCCAGGCACTTTGTCGCTGCTTGAGAAGTCGTTCTGATGGAAGTGAAGCTGTCGACGGTCGCGGACGAAGTTGGCAATGAAGATGTTGTCGTTACAGGCGTCTCTGATGTTTCCGCTCCTGTGGTCGTTACAGTAGTCGTAGTCGGCTGCGTCGTTGTCGGAGAGTTGTCGACAAAGAGAAGGCTGTAGTCGGATGTATTCTGAAAATGTTACAAAAAAAATATATTATGAAGGTTATACAAAAATTAAAACTCACAAAGCGGACGAAGAGTTCACAATGCGGTCCGTCTGGAGGCTTTGACAAGTTGTCACCATTGTACGTATAAGCGGCAGTTTGTCGAAGCAGGCTGAAGACGAGCAGGTGTTTGTCCTTGTGCTCCCCATCCGTGATGGTCCATGCTTTGGGTGCGAAAAGAGGAGTTGACTCTGGAACGCAGACAGCTTCTTTCGAGGCATTGAAGAATGGCTCTGCCACCGCATACTCAACCGTGAATCCGCTCGCAGTACTTATCTCCAGGTCTAGGGTCATATTCTCACTCACAGACGCTTTGGACCGACTCAAGCCTTGTCCCTTAACCTCGCCAACTAAAATACCTAATTTAAGAAAAAATAAAAACAAACAGGCCTCTTACTTAGATATGTGTGAGCATAGACCTTGCCACCCAACTGGCTCCATGAGACTTGAAGTGATGTATTCAGCATGCATTTTCCATTAATGGCTTGGCAAGCTACATTACACTTTTCGCCTGGATCGTTGTACTGATGGTTGTTGAGCTTTTCGATGACCGTGTTGTTGACGCTGTAGACGAAAGGCAGGCTATAAAGATTAGGATAAATCAACAGAAATTACCTGTCAAATAGCATAAGAAAGTAAAACTCACGTGTTGTTATAGCTGCTCTCGAAGGAAGTGGTCATATCAAGGCATTTGTTGAGACCTCCACCTCTTGGGTTCCGCACTCCGGTCGTGAACTTGATCCTGTTGTCGTTCGCTGCGTTCTTGCTGAGTAAGTCCACAGTGCATCCTTTGCTGCCGTAGTTGTATCGAAGCTCGCTAGAACAAAATAAGATGTTATTTACGATTAGTCTTTAAAAAAATAAAAAGGTCCTCACATGTAGTCGTCTTCGATTGTAACATTGCAGGCGTCCGGATACCGCTTCTTGAAGTTACAATCAGCAAGGTCGAAGTTCGTCTTGGTGGCAATTGTGGTGTAGTCGGCGAGCGTCACATTTTCTCCATTCCTTGTGTGATTGCCGAATCCGACTTCTTCGCTGTTGACCTGTCCAAGAACTGCAAGTGTGGCGATGGTGAGCAGCAGCAGCAGAGTGCACAGCGTTGACGACTTTTTGGCCAAAGGTCCGGTGTCGAGGTCCATTGGAAGGCAGCGGACGAGTATGTAGAGCTGCAGTAGACGATGTAGACGTTCGATGAGTTGCGATGAATGTTTTGTAGAGTTGGTAGCAAATGAATGAAATGTGGGAGCTTTTATAGTATATTCTCGTGAAGGAAGACCGAGATTGCCAACTAAGAGACGAGAAGGTTATAAAAGCAGTTTTATTGAACTGTTCACTATCTTCCTTGCCTCTTACCACGACACTCATCGACAGGACTAAACCACAATGTCGTCTCCAACACACAACTGCTGTCACCCGAAGCAACAACAACCGCAAACGACAGCAGGGGAACTGGCAAGCGTCATGCAGGAATTGCTTCAACGATTCAACAAACAGACGAACCTGGAAGATGTGCCAGTTCAGCCTGTGCAGAAGGAGGAGCAGAAAGAACAGCTTAGCTTCTTTGAGAGGAGGCAGGCCTTTTGGGAGGAGTGTCAAAAGCGTTTAGGATGTAAGATCAATTCACTAACCAAGTTGTTTAAAGCCTTATTATTTTTAGGGGATATTATTGAACGGATCCAGATGCGAAGCGCGACAGAACTTCTCAACGACAGGGAGATGTTTCCGGTGGAGGAGTGGTGTGATCGTCCTAGCTCGCAATATGAGTGCGCTTATGGTGGTTGTTGTCAGCATACCCAGTCCTGCCCATCTGCATTCGTGTATTCTCCTGAAGAGATGAAGTTTGCTGCTGAATTTGATTCTGTTCCAGATTTTTTTAAAGAAAAGTCCAAGCGGGAAACCATGGAGAATCTTGTGGATGAGGAGAATTGTAAGCAAATTTTGTCTTTTACTAATCCTATAACATATTTTTAAGCCTCTGAGTACTGCGATGAGGCCAATGATCAGCCTGCCTGCTCTGAGGAACATCTTGCCGAGTTCGACCCAAAGCAACAACAACCGCAAACGACAGCAGAAGATCTGACGAGTGTCATGCAAGAACTGCGTCAACGATTCGACAATCGGGCGAACCAGAACCCTGTGCCGGCTCAATCTGTACAGAAGGAGGAGCAGAAAGAACAGCTCAACTATCGCCAGAGGAAGTTTGCTTTCCTGAAGAAACGTAAGGGTTTAACTGAGGAAGTTCGCTTATTCATCTGATTTTTTAGATGGCCACGTATTCTGGGCCCAGAGCGCGCACCACCTTCTCAGCGACAGGAAGAAACCTCCATCGCGTAGATCCTGTCGTCGTGTAGGGCCGCAATATGACTGCTTTTCAGGATGTCATCACACCAAATCCTGCCCAGGTCTCTTCGAGTATCCTCCTGAGGTGATGAAGTTTATTGCCGACTGCGAAGCTAGAACTCGCCACAGACACACAACCTTCTCTATGAAAAAGCCCAAGTTGGAGACCGTGGAGGAGTGTGATGAGGAAGAGGAACAACGTAAACTGCAAATTTTTCGACTTCTACCTTCAATTAAAACATTTTTAAGTGTCATCGTATTCTGTCGAGGCCATTGGCCGTCCTGCCTGGTCTACCCGCCGACTCATTGCCAGGTCCTACGACTACCTCACTCCTACTTCACTTGATGCTGTGACTGCTAACGGTAGAAGCGACAAGGCAGAAGCCAGCAATTTGACATCGTCTTCTGATGACTACTTTGGCCAGTCATCTGAAAACTTCAGCCTTGAGCCTCTTCTAGGTTCCTTTGAGGGTAATTTCTTTAAAGCTTCTTTCCCGCTAAGTTTCCTCCATCAAATCCCTCCGATTCTCAGATATCAATTCTACAAAGACTTGCCTTCAAGCTACCAATCAGAGAAATTACTTCTTGGACGAGGAGTGGAGTTTGGACTTTGTCTCTGTTGGTTCGTCTTGTGTAAGCCTGAATACCATGGAAGAGCTTGATCCAGAAGGATGTAAAAACTAAACAAATTCTCCTCTAAACACCTACAAAATTTTTCAGGGCAATTGTTGGAATACTCTGCTAGACCCTTTGCCTCGTTAGATGACTTCTTCACTAGATCGGCGTCTTCCGGAAATGTCAACTCTCTGAGCAGTCAATCAGTTCCAACAATAACTAGATCGTCGTCTACTGGCCTTTTGGGAAAAAGTGCACTTGAAGGTGTGGATTTTGTAAAGGACTCTTCAAAAAAATTTTAAATTTTCAGATTCCTACTATTCCCCTTCCAAAGCTCTAAAGCTATGTAAAAAAGTAAGGAAGTTGGCTTTGCAAGCCAAAAGTGCGGACGCCTTCTTCAAATTGATGTAAACACTAAATTTTCTGATTTTTTCTGAATTTTTTCTCTTCTTTTTTCCAGTCCAGACGATTTGCTCAACAGCTTCTTGTCCGACTACAACATGTTGGTGCGCCAAAAAATGTTGGAAGAGCAATGTGATAACTAATGAAAACAGCCCTAAAAAGCTGATGATTGAGTGAGAGATGACAATAAGAATGGATGTGGATTGATGAGAATAATAATAAAATATAAAAATATTCTAAAAGTCATTTTTACATCCTTCTAAATTGTGAAAATATATATTCCATTAATGTCACCCACTTGTTAGGATTTGTAATCCCCAATTATTTTTTTCTGCTTGGTAAAAAAGAGAATAAAAATCAAAGAAGTAGAATTTTTTGCTGGCTTTTTCAAATTAGAGTTGGTCTAGATTGACTCCGTCCGAATGATCCGGCATAGCATATTTGGCCCGAAAAATACTCTTAAGGCCTGGGCCGATAAAAACAAGCACCGAAAAAAATGCCCCGAATGTTGGACCGATTCTCGAAAACGGCAAGATTACTCACAATTTCAACCTAATTTTTAGTTAAATATATTTTTACATAACAAATATATACAATAACAAAATTTTTAACAAAAAGTTTGTTGTAATTCTACAAGTTCCAAAACCCTTTGATATATCATTTCAATTTCACGCTGAAAAAAAATGAAATTTGGAAAATTATAATTGATAAAAGAAAACCAGATTTGACCAACAACAACAATAGGCATGTTTGTATGAAGCAAGCCATAGTAGAACATCCACGGCGTCCTGGAAGTGAGATATTAGATAAACATTTCGTTTATTTGATAAGCGTGACGAAATGAAAGAGAATGGGGTAAGAGTCCAAATAAGAAAATATCAAGCAAGAGGCCAAATGACAATATTGGGAGAGTGATCAAATGACCCAAATATTGGTTAGTGACCAAATGACCCAAATATTGGTTAGTGACCAAATGACCCAAATATAGGTTAGTGACCAAATGACCCAAATATAGGTTAGTGACCAAATGACACAAATATTGAGTAGTGACCAAATGACTAAATTATAGGTAGTGACCAAATGTCCAAATCTTGGGTAAGCGACCAAATGACTAAATATTGGTTAGATGACCAAATGACAGAATTTTACGTAAGTGACCAAATGACTCACCTCCTGTTCAAGTTGACAAGCAATTGATTGAAATGCGCAAAAAAGAAAAGGAGTAGAAGAAGTATTGCTGCTAGGTCTTTCCCTTGAAGGCAATTCCACAATAGCCAAAGTTTCTCTATGTTGATTTTTTAATTTTAATTGTAAATTTTCAATTTCCATCCAAGGATTATTTAAAAATTTTGAAACAAAAATTCTTGAAATTTTTAAAATTAAACAGGGTCCTTCTTCTTTATCTTCTCCATTTAATTTTAATAAAATTTCTTCTTTTTTGGAATCAAATTTAATTAAAAATTGTTTTTGGTGTTGCTGATTTTCTCCCCCTTCTTGATGGATGTTAAGTAATTCTGATAAATTGAAGGATTGGTCTATTGAAGTTGTCGAGTCTATATTATTCGAATCCAGAACAATTAATGACTAGAAAAAATTAAATTTTTAAAAATATAGCTGTATTAATAGGTTGGGGACGCTAGAGTCTTGCCATGCCCTAAGACGTATTTCGAGCCATAACTTTATTTTATATTGACCGTTTCGAATAAATTATAAATAAATCTTTCGAAAGCTTTTCATATGCTTCTTCTCTTTTTCTCCTTGAAACTGATAAGTAGGGCTCGGATTTATATTTAAATAAATCACTGAAGCGACCCTGCCCGCGAACTGACCACTGTCCCTCCATTTTTTCATCAAATCTATCACTGATCATTTCTGTCTTTCCTGTATTCGAACTCAATGGTCAGACACTGGTCAGTCAAGGCTTGTTCATGACCAAGGTCGTTTTTGTGCCCTATTTCAATATAAATCCTACTGATAAGATTCCTCCAACCCTTAAAAAAGGTTACAGACTTCTAACAGTCTCTAACTTTTTATAGGATGATTGTGTCATTCTCTTCCTTTGAAATTGTCTCTTTAGGAAAAAGAATCATGGAAAGAAATGTAAAGATTCCCATGGAAAGGTGGGACCGTCCATCAAAGAAATTAAACGAATCCTACCCACCCTGCACTTGGCCATCCAAATTTTTTGCCAAACGTCATCTTGCCAATTTTTAAAATTATTATTTAAAATAATAAATTCCTCATTTTTATGATATCCAGCAAGTGGAATAAAATTTGGGAAAATATTGTTGTTATTATTATTGTTTAATTCTTTCCCAATGTGTTTGTTGCATATTAGAGTCTGGGCTTGTGCTGAAATTCTTCTTTGTCCATTTGGTGTTAATTTGGTAAATAAAAATTGGCAATAATTGGGAAAATGTGTTCGAGGTTCTAAAAATTTTTTTGAAAAAAATTTTTTTTTAATTTAAAGAATTTTTTGTAAAATCGGAACATTAGAGTCCCACAAACCGGTCCAAGAATAAGACCTTTCTTTTAGGCCATAACTTCTTTTGTTTGAAAACTTTTCAGGACAAATTATATATCATTCGAAAGCTCAGAGAGTACTGATTCTTTTTTGTGTTGGGATCGATTCGATCCAACCAATTATTAAAAAGATAGAGCCTGATAAACAGAAAAAATCACGATTTTACACACTTAACTACTCATAACTTTTTAAGGAAAAATCAGAATTGAAAATTGTCAAAAGGAAAAAATTTTAACAGAGTTCGAGCTTTCGAATGATATATAAATTATTCGGATTGCTTCAAAACTAAGAAAGTTATGGCGTAAAAATGTGCCTCAGAGACTGAGATTCAACTGTCCTCTAAATAGAGACTAAAACTTTTTTCCAAACCCCACAAAATTTAACAACTCCAAAAATAAACTCACGTCGAGTAATCCCATTCGATACCAAATGTTTAAGAACCTTTAGAAAAAAATTATTTTAAAAAATAAAAATTCTTCTCACCTCATGGCAAAATACAAATTGTTCAAGTGTTTGGACTAATTGAATTCTTTGTTTTCTCATCCTTTTTAATTGTTCGCTAACATCAATACGGTCACAACAAAGCTTAAAAAATTTTTTTTGAATTTTTTTTGAATTTTTTCAAGACTCAAACAAACCAAATGTCTTCTCAAAGAGTCCACCAAAATAAATGAACCGGATCTTCCAATACCCGCACTACAATGAACTACACAGGGAGTAGTAGAAGAAGAAACATCTTGATTTTGTGAAGAACAATGTAAATCGGCAACATAATTAATAAAGTGAAGCAAAGGAAATGGGGTTGAAGGGACTCCTTTGTCCTTTAAAATATTTAATTTCAAGTTTATTTATTTAGTGGTAAAGAAGCTTTTACAAATCAGAATTTGTAATTCAAGTTTATTTAAATTTTACAAATCAATCACAAATTGTAGAAAATTCAAAATCAGAATTTCCACTAACTCAAGTTTATTTATTTAATATACAAAACAGAATTACAAATCAACTAAAACTTATTTCAGAAACACAACAAAATAATTTTACAAATCAGAATTTGTAATTCAAGTTTATTTTACAAATTCTGATTTTAAAACTTTTTGTTTGTAATTCTGGTTTGTAAAAGTTTCTTTAGAAGTAAATAATAAACTTGAAATTAATTTTCCTTTTACAAACCAGAATTTGTAATTCAAGTTTATTTATATTATTTAATTCTGATTTTTCTAAAATACAATTTTTTCTTATATTCAAGTTTATTTTACAAATTCTGATTTTTGTATTTTCTTTTAATAATAATAAATTCTACCGGCCAGTCCATAAAATGTAATTGATGTATTGTTCTAATATTTTCTTCTTCTCCATTTTCTATCAAATTATTTTTAATTTCCAAAACTCTGTGAGTAAAAACAGAATTTGAACGTTCAGCCACTAATTTTATACAAAAATTTTCTATCAAAATTTTTTCCCCAATTTCTTCAGGCCAATACTGATCACATTTTCTAAATCCACATTCAACCATATTAATTATAGCAATTAATAATTGGCACTTTTCTTGCCATACCATTAACCAAAAATCGCCAAAAGTGTTGGGTAAAGGTGCCTGGGTAGCTACTAAAAATACAGAAAGAATAAAAAAATTCTGATTTATAAAATACAAATTCTGATTTTCTAAAAGTTACAAATTGTATTTTTACAAATAAATTCTGGTTTGTAAAAAATACAATTTCTTTTCATTTTATTCTGGTTTGTATTTAAAGTTGTAAATTCTGGTTCATAAAAATAAAACTTTTTCTGATTTTTTAATAATTACAAATTGTATTTTTAAAAATAAATTCTGGTTTGTAAAAATAATTTAAAGTTGGAAATTCTGGGAAATAAAAATACAAATTCTGCTTTCTAATTATTACAATTGTAATTTTTTAAATAATTCTGATTTTCAAGTTTATTTAAAAAATAAACTTGATTTTTAAAAATACAATTGTATTTTCTTTTATTCTGGTTTGTATTTAAAGTTGCAAATTCTGGTTTGTATAAAAATACAAATTCTGATTTTCTAAGGAAATAAATTCTGATTTCCAAGTTTATTTTTAAAAATAAACTTGTTTTACAAATTTACAATTGTAAATTCTGATCTTTACAATTTTAAACAAAACTTAACTATAAGCATGTTTCTCATCACAACTATCAACAAAGTTTGCATTAATATAGCGTTCTTTTTCTGTACAATAGAGTTTTATTCTGCTTTCTTTTGGAAATGCCCCAATATCAGTATATCTTTTTTTTAATTAATTTAAATTTTATTTTTTAATTTAATTTCTACCTATTTTTATTTTTTTCATTATCACAATTATTAATTAATAATAAATTTGTTGATGTTTTTGTTTCAGACTCAATTTCCTTTGAAAAAAAAATTTTTTTTTTTATTTTTTTAATTAAAAAAATATTTTTTTTTCTACTTACATTGAATAATTTTTTAAATCCAGCATTTTCATTATTCGACATTTTTTCAAAATAATCATCAAATTCTAAAACACTAATTAATGTTGTTGAGGTTGTTTCTTCACAAATATTATTTTTTATTAATTTATTTTTATTTAATAAGTTATTATTTAAATTTTGTTGTTTATTTAATTCTACTCCATTAGAAAATAATTCTTCCCCTATAGTTATTGGAGGAAGTAAAATACTGCTATTTTCTGAAAATTTGAAAAAAATATTTTTTTAATTAAATAATTTATTTTTCCATCAGAAAATAAATAAATTAAATCTTAAAAAAATTTTTCTCAAAATATTTCCAAAAAAAATTTTTTTTCACCTGCAGCAGTCTTTGGAACAAGCGACACTCTTTCCTGTCCGTTCACTATTTTCCCATTTTCTGAAAATTTTGGTCTTCTTTTTTGTTGTTTAAAATTAGAATGAAATAGTAAAAATGTTTTGAAGAGAGGACAACGACTAAAAAATAAAAAATTTTTATTTTTAACGGAGACTCAAATGTACCTTATAATTTTTAAATGTTTCAAGTTTAATTAATTAATAAAAATTTTTTTGCAAACCAGAATTACAAATTGTAGAAAATTAAAGTCAGAATTTGTACTAATTCAAGTTTATTTATTTTCAAGCTTTAATTAAACCAGAATTACAAATTAAAGAAAAACTTATTTCAGAACAAATAAAAAGTTTGCAAATCAGAAATTGTAATTCAAGTTTATATTTTTCTTTGCATTTGCTTCAAGTTTATTTAAGTTTTACAAATCAGAATCACAAATAAGAAAATTTAAAATCAGAATTTGTAATTTCAAGTTTATTTATTTTCAAGTTTATTTATACTTTGAAACCAGAATTACAAATTGAAAAAATTTACAATTTGTAATTCAAGTTTATTTTTTCGTTAATTACAATTTGTAATTCTGGTATTTGTTTCAAGTTTATTTTTTTTCAATTTACCTTCTCAACATACACAAAAATAAGAGAAAAATAGCCAACGCTATTGCAGTACCAAAAATAAAAAATATTGTTGCCTTTAAATGGTAAAAAATATTATAAAAATATTTTTCCTTTTACCATATTAGCATCCATTTTAATATTGTTATTAATTTGTTTATTTTGAATTAAAGGAATTAAAGTTGTTGTTTTTATTTCTTCTTGTATTTTTTGATTTGCTGCAGATTTTGGAAAATTTTCACAAATGGATTTGGAGGTTATTGAATTTATGGGAGGACATATTGATGAACGAAAACGACATTTCCAGCCTTTAAAAAATTTAATTCAATTAAATTATTAATTTTAAAAAATTAAATTTTAATAGATACTCAAATGTCCAAGTTAATTTTTAAAGTAAGTTTCAAATTAAGTTGGGTTCAGGTTTACAAAACTTTTTTTACAATTTGTAAAAAATATTACAATTCTTTTTACAAATTGTGAAAGAAGTTTTAATATATTTTACAAATTGTAAAAATATATAAACCTTTTTTACAAATTGTAAAAAAATTAAAAACATATTTTACAATTTGTAAAAATATATAAACCTTTTTTACAAATTGTAAAAATATATAAACCTTTTTTACAAATTGTAAAAATATATAAACTTTTTTTACAAATTGTAAAAATATATAAACCTTTTTTACAAATTGTAAAAATATATAAACTTTTTTTACAAATTGTAAAAATATATAAACCTTTTTTACAAATTGTAAAAATATATAAACCTTTTTTACAAATTGTAAAAAATATATAAAAACATATTTTACAATTTGTAAAATATATAAAACCTCTTTTTACAAATTGTAAATTTATAAAAAACTTTTTTTTACAAATTGTAAAACTTAATTGTAAAAAAATATTCTACCATTAGCTAACAAAACAAAATGTTCTTGACTAGAACTTGGTGTTTCCAATAAAATTGAAGAATTAGCTTTACTTTTTAATAAAATTGAAACACTTAAAGTAAGTTGTTCTCCTAATTGGATTTGGTCTAATAATAACTAAATAGAAAATAAATTTTAATTAAAAAGAATTTTTAAATTTGTCTATGTTACACTGCGCGATCTTAAGGAATTTAAGCTTTATAAAAATGTCAAAAATGAAGCTAGAAACTTGAAATTTTGCATGGATATCTCCAATAGTCATATCCAACAATTCTAAAAATTTCAGAATTTTAGGTTCAATATAAAAAAAGTTATGAGCAAAAATATCACAAAAATCGACACTTTCGCCTGTTTTTCTCCTATAATTTTTGAAATATAAAACCACAAATTCTCAAATTTATGGGGAATGTAGAAAGATACTTAGGGAATATCTCCACAAAATTTGAACAAAATTGAAAACCCCTGCCCTTAGTTATAATCTTTTAAAGACGCCTGGTAGCTGTCCGCAAAAGTTTGTCCGCAAAAATTAAAAAAAATTTTTTACCTTTGATGGAGAATTAATTGAAATATTAAAATTTCTAACAGTTTGAGTCATTAAAGAATAAATTGAAATTTTATGAAAACCATCAAATTTTGAATTTAATAAATTTTGAGGTAGAATCCATTCCAACGATAATAATAAACTGGCACAATCAAAAAATAAACTTGTAATTTTTGGAGATTCTTGAGGAACTATAAAATATTAATTTTAAAAAATTATTTTTATAAGCAATAATGAAGACTGGACAAAATTTAAAAAAAAAATTCAAAAAAAATTTGTCCGCAAAAATTTTTTTGTCCGCAAAAAATTTTGCGGATGTCCGCAAAAAAAATTTTGCGGACGTCCGCAAAAATTTCTGTCAAATCTTCATTTTCTAAAAAAAAATTATATAAACTAACCAGCAATGTCAGTATCAACAATTATAGGTTCACTTTTAGGACCCTCGCCTTTATCAGTAACTGAAGAAATTTGAATTTTATAGCGGCTATTTGATAAAAGGTTTGTCTGTTTAATTTTAAAAAATTAATTATTCTTCCCTAATGTAATTTAGAAATCAAACAAATTTATTTAGAAAAATTTGAAGCTTTTAGCAGTCTGGAGACTCTTTCAGCTCTTTATGTCCGCAAGTTTTGTCCGCAAGTTTTGTCCGCAAGTCATACAATCTTCATTTTTTTTTATTCGAAAAAAATTTTTTTTTGCAAACTTGCGGACAAAACTTGCGGACTTTTTGAAATATAGAAAAAGGACAGCCTCTACTTTCCTCCAAAAAAAATTTATTCGTTTTCTCATTTCAAAAATTAAAAAAAAATTTCTCCTTACAAGATTGAAGGCAAACACTGTATTACTCGAAGATTGTTTTAATTGATTTTGATTAAATAATTCATTTTCTTTTTCCTCTTCATTTTTAGCTTCTAACCGGATTTGTCTTAAAGGTCGTTGAGAAAACATTTCCTTGAAAAAAAATTTTTTTTTTAATTCCAAAAAAATTTTAGAAAACCTTAAAATGTATTAAATATGCACGAATTATTCCATTAGTTTTTTCAGGTTGCCGCCAATTTAGAGACAGAGAAGTGCCTCCAGGCAAAGGTAGAATTTGTACGGATAGAGGTGGACCACTTGGAATGCTCTAAAAAGTATTTTTAGGATTTTTACCATTTTTAAATTTTGGCATTTTGTCGAATGGACATTTTGGAATTTGGACGTTTTGAAAAAAAATTTAAAAAATTAAAAATTTTCCTTGAATTTTTTAAAAAATTGCTGATACAAATATCGCTGGTTAGTTTATATAATTTTTTAAGTAAATGAGGATTTGACAGAATTTTTGCGGATGTCCGCAAATTTTTTGCGGACAAACATTTTTTATATTTTTTTTTCAAAAATTTGTCCAGTCTTCATTATTGCTTATAAAAATAATTTTTTAAACTAATATTTATAGTTCCTCAAGATTTAAAAATTAAAAATAAATTACGAAAAAACCTGTTCAGTTTTAAAAGATGTTTTGGTAGCTTTAGAATATCCAAATAAATTGTGGGCCTCCAAAGTAAGAGAATAATCAGTAAAGGGTTCCAAAGAACATACAAGTTGTTTTTGGGTATTTGAGCCTTTAGCATAAAATTCTTTTAAATTAGTCCCATCCAATTTGTTTACCTGAAAAATTTGAAAAAAATTTTTTTTCAAGAAAAGGACATTTTGAAAATTGGACATTTTGTCGAATGGACATTTTAACGAAAAGACATTTACCGGAGTCGACGACTTTGGCGCTCCGACACGGGCACAGTGATCCATTTGCACAGTAAGACAATTGCACATTGGGCATCTGCACAGTGGACAATTGCACAGTAATTTGTGGTTAAGTGCATTTGTGTTAGACTTTCTGATAAGTTTTTTAATAATAAAATGGTTTTTATTAAACAAAAAAATTTTCCCTGTTCTATAAGCAATTTTTCCCGTTGTTGGAAAAGTTGCGTGCCCGCTCAACTCATCTAATACTTAACTCATCCACACGCCCAAAAACGCTCAACTCATCTAAACGGCTAAAATTCCTTAACTCATCCACACGGCCAAAAACGCTCAACTCATCCAATCCTCAACTCATCTAATGCTTAACTCATCCATACGCCCAAAAACGCTCAACTCATCCAATCCTCAACTCATCTAATGCTTAACTCATCTACACGGCCAAAAACGCTCAACTCATCCAATCCTTTGGAACGAGACTATTGAGTACCAGTCGTTTGAGTCCCTGGCCGTTTGAGTCTCTGGCCGTCTGAGTCCATGACCAGTTGAGTCTCTGGCCGTCTGAGTCCATGACCAGTTGAGTCCCTGGCCGTTTGAGTCCATGACCAGTTGAGTCCCTGGCCGTTTGAGTCCATGACCAGTTGAGTCTCTAGCCGGTTAAGTCCCTGGTCAGTTGAGTCCCGGCCGTTTGAGTGGTTGATTACCGCCGGTTGAGTCTTGGGCCGGTTGAGACTCAACTGACCAGGGACTCACCCGGCTAGGGACTCAACCGGCCGATATTTCAAGGATTGGATGAGTTGAGCGTTTTTGGGGGTGTGGATGAGTTAAGCATTAGATGAGTTGAGGATTGGATGAGTTGAGCGTTTTTGGGCGTGTGGATGAGTTAAGCATTAGATGAGTTGAGGATTGGATGAGTTGAGCGTTTTTGGCCGTGTGGATGAGTTAAGTGTTAGATGAGTTAAGGATTGGATGAGTTGTGAAAATTGGAGACGAAAACTCGCAGAAATATAGGCTCCCGAAAATCGAAAAACAATAGAGTAAACCAAGCGGTTTTTTGTGGTAAAAAATTCGAAGATGCAAATTATAGCTCATTCGAAAGAGCTTTTTGAGTTGAGTCGGCTGACACCAAAATCATCTTGATTGGATGATTCTGAACGAAGTTATGACCTATAGGTGAATGAGCCTTGCGTTTATTTGGAGTGTTTCGCGACTAAACAGGCGTTTTGCGAATAAATGGGTAGGTCGTTTTGCGAATAAACAAGACTACTGTGCAATTGTCCACTGTGTAATTGTCCTCTGTGCAAAAGTCTTACTGTGCAAATGGATCACTGTGCCCAAGTCGTGTCACCGACGACTTTATGTCATGACTTTGTCAAATCAAGTCGGATTTCGTTGATTTTGGTCTCATTCGACTCAGCTCGACGAGCTCTTTTGAATGAGCTATCATTTGTATAGATTTTCGCTTTATGATTTTATGCCCCTGTGATTTTCTGACCCATTTTGTCTAATAGACATTTTGTCGAATGGACATTTTGTCGACAGGACATTTTGTCTAATAGACATTTTTTCGATTTTACATTTGGTCGCAAGGACATTTTGTCGATCGGACATTTTGAAAAATTTTTCAGAAAATTTTCTTACAATAATCCTATAGCCAAGTATCGAATCACTCGTAGCCTCACCATCCTCCTCAATAACCGGTTGTTGCCATTCCAATTCTACACAATCTGCCGAAGTTGAATTTATTAAAGAACGAATTTCCGGTGATTTGGATGGAGCTACAAAGAATTTTTAAAAATTAAAACAAAAATTTAAAGAAAATTCCTACGCAGTCCAAAAGTTTTAAACACTGCTTCAGGGCCAAATTGACTTTCTCCGACAGTGTTTTCTGCACGTACCTGTAAATGAAATTGAAAAGGCCTTAGGACTCTTTTCTCTAATATACACTCAAAAGTCGGCAATCCAGGAGAATTGGGGTTTCTTCGAATAAAAAGTTTAAAAATAAGAAAAAGGGTTTTTCTAGGGTAAAAAAATACGCTGATTACGAATCTGAACTCGGATTTTGAAAAAGTCGAATCCCGACCCCGAATTCGGAATTTGACTCCGGACATTGTCGGACATTGTACAAAATGGTCAGTCTTTCATATGCTGGTAGAACTCATCGAGATGCATCGAATGACACCAAAATCGATGAAATCCGACGTGGTTGGACCGAGATACAGAACCCGGAATATTGAAAAACAATAGGGGTGATTTTTTGGAGTAAAAAAAAGTTTATACATATGATGCCCCATTCGAAAGAGCTCGTCGAGCTGAGTCGAATGACAGCAAAATTACAGTGATTCATCAAGTTTTGACAAAGTTGTGACATAAGTCGCCGACTCCTACAGTACTCCCATAGGTATACTTTATGTCATAACTTTGTCGAAACAGGTCCGATCGCGTTGATTTTGGTGTCATTCGATGCAGCTCGACGAGCTCTTTCGAACGAGCTATCATTTGCTTATTCGAAATCCGGGTTCAGGGTTCGAAATTCGGTTCGGGTTCGGGATTCGACTTTTCCAAAATCCGAGTTCAGATTCGTAATTAGCGTATTTTTTTACCCTAGAAAAACCCTTTTTCTTACTTTTAAACTTCTTATTCGAAGAAACCCCAATTCTCCTGGATTGCCCAAAAGTCCGCAAGTTTTGTCCGCAAATTAATTTTTTTTTAATTTTCTTAAGTTTGCGGACAAAATTTGCGGACTTTTTCTAGAAGGTCCGCAAAATTTCTGAAAGTCCGCAAGTTTTGTCCGCAAAATTTTTTTAATTTTTTACTTGGGATTTTCTAGGATTGTATTAGAGAAAAAAAGATAAGCTTCGGAAATATTCAAAAAAATCAGAAAATTAATTATTATAATTAATTTAAACACACAGAAAAGGAATATAAAGTATTTGGTTCCAATTCGGCAATTTCCAAATTTGTTAAATTATTTTTTGTAGACAAAACACGGACAAAATTATTGTTATTTTTCCTTCTTTTAATATTTTCTTCAAATTTTTGTGAAATATAAATTGCAAATTTAATTATTGGTTGTTGGGAAGGTAAAGGTAAAAAGCCTTTACTCCAATCAAGCAAAACAGAATTTTTGTTGTTTCCATATTGAATAGAAGGTTTTGGGGGAATTGGGGGCTTTTCTGAAATAATTAAATTTTTAAAGAAAAATACAAAAAAATACAAATCAGAATTTGTAAAAAATACAAAGCAAAAATACAAAACAGAATTAAAAATCAGAATTACAAAATACAAAAAACAGAATTTGTAAAAAATACAAAACACAATTAAAAATCAGAATTTGTAAAAATACAAAGAAAATACAAATCAGAAAATTAAAAAAATACAAAAATTAAATAGCAGAATTTTGCAAAAATACAATTAATTGTATAGAAAACGCAAACCAGAATATCTACAAAGAAAAATCAAATTAAAAACAATCAGAATTACTTTGAAAAAACAAAAATCAGAATTACTAAACAGAATATAAAAATCAGAATTTTATTTAAAAAATACACACAATTACTGTACTATCCTCACAAAGCAAGCCATTTCATCACCAATTTTCCTCAAATTTATTTTCATTTAAAATTCCTCACATTAATTTCCTCATTCTTTTTTATTTTATTTTAATTTTTTTAAATTGCATCTGGACACGCTCTCTCTCTCAATATTTTTTTCCAAAACCAAAACCACCGGTCATTTATTCACATACATCATCATTTTTACTCACTCAATTGTCACGCGATTTATTTTCTCAATCAAAATTAATGTCATTTTGTTTCTTTAACAGACCGGACATTAGAGTAACAGAAAATAAAAAATAAGGCCGAGTCCAGGAGGATTTTGAGTCTCAGACTCTAGTGTCCTTATATTAAATAAATTAATTTTAATATCCTTTTTCCATCATTCTTGGTCAAATATATCCATTCCATAAATTAAAATTGGTCAAGCAAGAATAATTAATTTTGCGCGGATATTATGCGCAAGGACTTTTAAGAAATGTAAAAACAATAATAATAAATTAAATTATTAATGTATGTGGAAAAGGAAAATAATTTAAAAATTCTGATTTTTGTATTTTAAAAATACAAAAATCAGAATTGAAAGAAAATACAAAAGATCAGAACTTAAGTTTGTGAAAATACAAAAACCAGAATTAAAAATAAAAAAAATACAAAAAACCAGAACTACATATGTTTAAAGGAAACACAAAACTTAAGATTGTAAAAATACAGAAATCAGAATTTTGTTAAATTTAAAGAAACACAAAACTTAAGATTGTAAAAATACAAAAACCAGAATTTCACTAAAAATACAAAATCAGAATTGAAAGAAAATACAAATATTCAGAATATCGTTCAAAGAACACAAAACTTAAGTTTGTAAAAATACAAATAATCAGAAATTGCCTTAAACACAAACACTAAAAGAAAACACATTTAATTACCCACCTAACACCAACAATTTTGCACCAGCCTTTTGAAGCGGCAATTCTTCAGCAAATAAAGGATCAGTTTCCAAAATACAAATCCATTCCCCATTGTCTTTTGGCAGAACAGGAAAAATGCGTAATTCAAAAAATGGACGTTTGAGTAGCAATCTTTCGTTATTTGTCCATAATTGTTGTTCAATATCCGCACCGAGTTCTTGCTGTTTTTAAATTAACAATTAAAATTTTTTTAAAATAATTTTTGAATTTTTTGGAAGACTTTTTTTTTATTTTATTTTTTATTTCATTTTATTTAATTTTCTCCCATAAAACATTGCCCTTCGTTCTTTAACGCTTGCGCGCGAGCGACTATAAAATAAACAAAATAAGCATAAAAAATTCTGAATTTTTTAAAATAACATTCTCAAAGTTTTATTCACCCTCTGTAAAAATTTCAGAATTTTTAATTAATTATTCCACAAGTTGTGATTAAAAGAGTGCAAAAAATCAACAAAAAATCGACATTTTGGTAAAATTCCGTCATATCTACCGGAAACCGATTCGGACAAGTGATATGTCATTCAAAAGAGCTTGCCGAGCTGAGTCGAACGACACCAAAATTAGCTTCGGGACTCACATATGGGCCGAAATATAGGTCCCCGAAAATCGAAAAACCATAGGGGGGAGTAAGCTCAATTTTTGGGTGAAAAATTCGAATATGCAAATAATAGCTCATTCGAAAGAGCTCGTCGAGCTGAGTCGAATGACACCAAAATCAACGAAATCCGACTTGATTGGACAAAGTTATGATCTTTTATCCTTACCAATGGCATCTGTGGAGATTTTTGCTGCTACGGAGGCCCCAAATACGTCCAGAGCAAGGGAGATAGGAATAGGTTTATGTTGCGAGCCCAGACCCAGCGCCCGTAGACTCCCCGCGAGGCGCGTGCCGCAAAACCCCGCGCGAAGCGCGGGGTTTTGCACAAGCGCCTCGCCGACGCCCCATAGGTTTAGGTTTTTTGTTTTTTGTGTCATAACTTTGTCTAATCTTGTTCAATCACGGTGATTTTGGTGTCATTCGACTCAGCTCGTCGAGCTCTTTCGAATGAGGATTATTTGTATAAAAAAATTTTTTATTCCAAAAATCGTCCCTTTGGATCTTTGGTTTTTAGGAGTCTATATCTCGGTCCAATCAAGTCGGATTTCGTTGATTTTGGTGTCATTCGACTCAGCTCGACGAGCTCTTTCGAATGAGCTATTATTTGCATATTCGAATTTTTCACCCAAAAATTGAGCTTACTCCCCCCTATGGTTTTTCGATTTTCGGGGACCTATATCTCGGCCCATATGTGAGTCCCGAAGCTAATTTTGGTGTCGTTCGACTCAGCTCGGCAAGCTCTTTCGAATGACATATCACTTGTCCGAATCGGTTTCCGGTAGATATGACGGAATTTTTCCGACATTTTTAACTACAACTTGTGAAATTCTGAACCAAAAATTCTTAAATTTTCAGAATAGTTAAATAACACTATTAACAATATAAATGCAAAATTTCATAGCTTTATCTATTTTTTAGGCAAATCTATAGACGCTCGATTATCATCAACTCATCCAGAAAACCTCATTTAAAAAATTAAAAAAAATTCTTTGGTCAATTTTACTTCTTCCTAATTTCCTTCCTCTATTTTCTGCCTCCTTATTTTCCCAAGAGGGAAATAATATATCCTATTTAAACTTTAGTATAAAATTTTAAATTTAAAAGAAAATATGCAAACAAGTTAAAGAAAAAAAAAGATATACTCAAATGTACCTAAACTTGTCAAGTTTGCGAAAAATAAACTTGAATTACAAAAATAAACTTAAGTTTGTAAAATAAAAAGAAATACAACTTGAAAAACACAAGCAAAACACAAAAACATTACAGAACATATATTCCAAAAACACAAAACACGTAGAAAAACACAAAACTTACTAGAAAACACAAACAAGTTGCAAAACACAAAAACATTACAAAACATATAAAATTCAAAAAAACACAAATAAACTTAACAAAAACACAAAACATTTGAGAAAAATCAGAATATTTAAAAAACACAAACAAGTTGCAAAACATTAAAACACTAACAAAACACAAAAAATTCTGATTTTTAATTTCAAGAAAAACACAAACAAAACATATATTTAAAAAAACACAAAACACATACAAAAACACAAAACTTACTAGAAAAATCAGAATATGTATTTTCCCTCAAACAAAAATACAATTTACAATTAAAATCAAAACACAAAAATCAGAATAATAAACAAATAATAAATTAATTTAATAAAAATTAATTCATTTCCCTTCCACATAAATTTAAAAACCTTTCTATCTTATAATTATTTATTTTTTCCTTAAAGTAAATTGAAAGCTAAAAACATTGTTAATTAGACATATACCTTATTTATATTTATTTTCTCTTTTTAATTTTAAAAGCTTAAAACTCAGTCAGTCGGCAAAAATTTTTATTTTCTTTTCTCTCAACTTTCCTTACCCCCTCCCCCCTTTCCCCTCCCTTTTAACTTTCCCTTATCCCCCCTTAAAAGTCCAAAAATAAAAAGAAAATACAAGAAAAAGGACGGAAATTAGAACAAATATAGTAAAGAGAGGAAAATAAATTTATTTATATTGCCCGGAAACATACCAATTTTCTTGGCACAGTTTGAAATAAAAAATAAAAGAAAATCGGCACAAAATAAACAAAGAATTAAAGTAAAAATAAGAAAAAATACACAAAAAGGTTTTAAAATAAAAATGCGGGAAGGGGATGTTTTATTGACAGAGTCTAATTGTCGTTAGAAGCTTTTGAGTCTAGTGAAAAATAAATAAAATCAGAATTTAAGGAAAAAAATACAAATCAGAATTTTGAAGGAAAATACAAAAGAAAAATACAAAAACCAGAATTTTACAAGGTAAACTCAATTTGAGAAAACACAAAATCAGAATTTAAGAAAATACAAATCAGAATTAAATAAAAAAAAGAAAATACAAAAATCAGGGTACTTTATGGATATGTCACCCCCCTCCTATTTTGAGTCTCAGAGTTTTCCTTATGCGTAGAAAATGGTCAGAGATTATTTTCTTCTCCATGTCAATCATTTTTTTCTTCAAGCAAAATAAGTGAAATGTGGAAACGAAATGAGTGAGAAGTATGTACAAAATTCAAAAATATACGTGAAAAGGCAAAATAAAAAAACAAAATACTTGAAGAAGAAAAAAATGATTGACACGGAGAAGAAAATAATCTCTGACCATTTTCTACACATAAGAAAAACTCTGAGACTCAAAATAGGAGGGGGGTGACATATCCATAAAGTACCAAAATCAGAATTTTGTAAGGCAGATTGGAGAAAATACAAAATACAGAGAAAATACATAAATTGGAGAAAATACAAAAACCAGAAAGCAAGCTTAAGTTTGTAGGAACAAAAATAACTAAAATAAAAATACATACATATTACAAAAACCAGAATTTTGAGAAAATACAAAAATACAAAAACACACCACCTAATAATATTATTTTCAGAATATTATATATTTAAACTATCCCCCACATTTCACTTATATTTTTATTTATTTCGGTTAATTTCCTTCCAAAAATTTATTTTTTCTCTTTTCAACAATTTATCTACACACTTAATATTTCTTAAAAAAAGAATTTTGTGTTGGTCTAAGAGAAAACTCTCTCTCTCCTTCTTCTTGAAACGGCATAATTGACAGCCTAAGGCCAAAGCATTTTGCCTCAAATTTCCCACAGGGGAGCAAATAAATAAAAATATGTAAGAGGGGAAAGTAGTTATCATCATCAACATAATTTTAAGAAAAAATGGTTTTGAATAAAAAATAAAAAAAAATTTTGATGGGTGGAGAAAGGTTAAAAATATGTATCATGAAGAAAATATGCATAAAAATATATGTATATACTCAAATATTCAAGTTTGCGAAAATAAACTTGAATTTGTAAAAAAATAAACTTTATTTCTTCTATTTTACAATTTCAAGGTTATTTTCGCAAACTTAAGTTTATTTTTATTTTACAATTTTTAAGCTTATAATTCCAACTTGAAAAAACACAAAAACATTGCAAAACACATATAATTCAGAAAAACACAAATAAACTTAACAAAAACACAAAACATTTTATAAAAATCAGAATATTTCAAAACAAATCAAAATACAAATTAAAAACATTAAAACACAAAAAATACAAACAAGTTGCAAAACACAAATAATTTCAGAAAAATACAAATAAACTTAGCAAAAACACAAAACATTTAAAAAAAATCAGAATATGTATTTTCCTCAACAAATATTAATTAAAACATAAAAACACAAACAAACACAAAAAATTCTGATTTTTAATTTCAAGTTTATTTTTCTACCAAAACAAGTTTATTTTCAAGTTTATTTTTTTTCTCAAAATGTCCAAAACAAAAATGCCCAAATTATTCACCTGTTGAAAAGAAGCAACTAGCACCCCTTCAAAAAACCAATTTAATTTTCTAACTAATTGGGGATGTTCAAAATCAGGGGCCATATGAGTTCGTACAAGTATAGAGGCTGGGGGGCATTCCAATATTAATTCTGTCCCGTTTATTATTTTTAAATTTTCCAAAAATAATAAATTATTTTGTTGTTTTGAATGTTTATTAATTCCAGTATTTGCTGTACCATCACGGAAGGCTACAAATGTTATTAGTGGAAGCATTAATAAAGCCATAAATATTTTCCTTCTATTAAAAAAAAATTTTTTTATGTAAAAAAAATTTCAGAAAAATTTTTAAAAATTAAAAAAAAATTTTTTAATCTCCCTCCATTTTTCTAATATAAGAAAAATTTTTTAAAATAAAATAAAATAATTTTCTGGGAGAAAATAGGAGAAAAAACATAATAATAAACATACCTGTGCCAAAAATGAGGTAATTAAAATAACGGAAATTTTAAGGAAATTCTTATTATTTTTTATTTACTCAAAACAATAAGAAAAAAAAAGTAATTTTAAATTAATTGGGCAAAACAGGAAGGAAAATAAAAAACAAAAGAAAATAAAAGAAAAATAATTTTGTGTGAACGTAGAAAAAAATTTAAAAAAAAAATCAGAAAAACAAAAAATAATTTTTTTGGTCAAGTGGACTAAGGCGCAGACTATAATACCTCAAGTTAGTTTAGGGAGGAAGGTTCGAGTCCAACTAAGGGTAATTTATTTGTTTTGAAGAAGTGAACAATTTAGAATATTAAAAAAATATTTTTTGATGTATTTTAGGGGCTAATGAATTTTTTAAAATTAAATTTTGAAGAGAAAAAGAGGAAAGAGTTTAAGAGAAATTGGCTTTTCTAAGTAAGGAATAGGGTGGTCAGAAGATTATTAAAAAAAAATTTTTTTAATTAATAAATAAAATTAAAAATTCTTGAAGAGAACAAAGAGATCATGTAGAGATTTTTGAATTATTTTTGGTTTAGTAGAAAACACAAAAAAATTTTTTTCCTTAAAAATAAGCTAAATGGTTGAATGGATATATTAATTAACGTTTTCTGTTGCAATAAGTGTGTTGCAAATAAATCCAAGAAAAAAAAATTTTTTTCAAATAAAAGGAACAATATTGAAAATGAGAAAAATGACCACACAAAAATCAAAAATAAAATTTAAAAAAAATTCTCAAATTTTTATTTTGTTGAAACACCTGTTCACCCCTCCCTTCATTCTTCACAGCCTCCCTCCCAAAAAGGACAAAAAAAAATATTTTTCTCTCTAACCTATTAAACAAACAAATAAAATGCAAAAACAAACAAAAGAAAAATTAAATAAAAAGAATTAATAAATAATATTTAGGTAGTTGTACAAATATTAGAAATGAATAAAATTTTATTTTTAAATGACCATGTTTGGGTAGTGGTCAACATTATTTTTGTTGTTGTTGTTCTCTACATTTTTTTCTTTTGTATTTATAAAAAATTTTTATTATTGTCCTTCCGGAAAGAAGAGAGAAAATATGAGAGAAAAGTTCGAAAAAATAAAGGAAATTTTAGGAAAAAAAATTTTTTTTTTTGAAAAAAATCCTATTTATTACCCAAAGAAATATTATTCTCAGCTTCTTTTCTCTTCAAAATTTAATTTGAAAAAATTCATTTACCCCTAAAATCAATCAAAAAATATTCTTTTAATATTTTAACTTGTTCACTTTTTCAAAACAAACAAATTACCCTTAGTTGGACTCGAACCTTTAACCCTATGAACTAACTTGAGGTAGTGTAGGCAGCGCTTTAGACCACTTGACCAAAAACTCTCTTCTAAGAAAATGGAAGGAAAAACGACAAAAAATATTATGTCCTAGAAAACTAAGCATGAAAAAAAAAATTTTTTCTTTAAATGGGAAAAAAGAAAAATAATTTTTGTTTTTGGTAAAAAAGAAAGAAAAAGGAGGAAAAAAAATTTGCATTTTTCTTTTTTTATAAATAATGTAAGGGTAATTTTTATAAAAATAGGTAGTCTTTTTCAAGACTTTTTTTTATCCTTAGAAGGGGGCTATTGAGAAGAAAAAAAAATTTTTTTTAAGGATAAATAGAAAGGTGAACTTAAAAATAAAAATATTTATATTTTTGTATGGTTACTCGAAAAACTTAAGAAAAAATTTTGTTGTTTTTGCCTTGAAATAAGTAAGGAAAAAAGGGAATGTGCTTTAGAAAGGAAGGGGGAAAGGAAAGAAGGGGAAGGAAAAGGGCGGAACCAAAGTCCAAAAATATTTTTATTTAAAAAAAAAAGACCGAGTCCTCCCCAAAGAAATTATGTGAGAAAAAAAAATATAAATCGAGAGAAAATGTTGCAAAAATTATTTTTATTACCCATATTTATTAAAAAAATTTTTTTCTTTCAGTTTTTCTTGAAAAATCAAAAATATGGTCCAAATTATTTTTTTATTTCCCAATTATTTTAATAAATTTAAAAGTAAAAATTGCTCACACATTTTTTTTATTTTTTTTTTTCAAATTTTATTTTTATAAGATTATAAAAAATGAAGAAAACCGAAATTTTATTTTAAAAATTTAAGGATCAAGATAAAGTCAAATTAAGGTACAAATTGAAGTGACGTACTAAAAAAGACCAAGTGTCGTATAATTAGAAGCCGTGATAAATAAGTAGAGGTGTTTAAAAAACTGGAAATTTTCTTCAGAGACTTAAGACTACCCTTCCCCTCTTCTAGAAAATTTTTTAAAAATTAAATAAATGTCCGCAAAAATTTTGCGGACATATCTTTTATTGTCCGCAAAAATTTTGCGGACAACCTCAAATAAAAGTATAGCTGATTTCCCCCTTAAGAAAAACAATGAATGACCTACCCCAAAAATTCAAGGAACAAAATTTAATTAATTAAAATTAATTTAATAGTCCTTATCCCCCTCACATAATCCCTCTCCAGATCCTTAAATTTTAATTTCTTACACAACAAAAAAAATATTTTTTTTTAATTTAAAAAAACCATAAATATTATGAGGAATACCAACTAAAACACACCAAAAAAATTAAAATAATATCATTCCTTAACTAACTAAATATTTAATTTTCCCCCCAAAAAAATTAAATTTAAAAAATAAAACTTGTTGTCAATTTCCGCATATTTTTTTTCCTCATTCAATTTTTCTTCACTTCCCTTCTTCCCCACCCTCATTTTTATTTTCCAAATTTTGCTCATCAGCAACTCCTTGTTTAGTCATTTGTTGTTTGGTCATTTCACCACCTTCTCCTTCAGTCACAACCATTTCAACACTTATTGGTTCAGTAATTAAATCACTATCATCTTTTTGTGCCTTTAAAAATAATTTATTATTAAAAATTTTTTTTATTTTTGCGGATAAACATTTGCGGACAAATCAAAAAAAAATTTGAAGAAAAATCTTTTTCCCAAAAAATTTTTTCCAAATTTATAAAATACGATTGAAACTTATCACATTATGTATAATTAAAAAAAATTTTTTTTTAATTAAAATTTTTTTTTGAAAAATTTTTTTGCGGACAAAACTTGCGGACAACTTCAATTAAACCCCAAAATAAATTCCCTCTAAAAAATCCAAAAAATATTTTTTAAATTCAAAAACAAACCTGATTATTCTCTTCCTTAAAAGAATTATTAGTTGTACTATCATCTTTACATTCATCCAAAAGAACAACAACATCAGAAGCTGACGTTTCCTTGCTTTCTTTATTCTCCTTAGCTTCCTTCCCACCCTCCTTGCCAGCTTCCTTTCCTCCTCCATTTTCACCATTATTATTCTTAACATTTTCCCCTTCCTTTGTAGCAACTTTAGGTGGCGGTGGAGGTGGAAATACACTTTCAACAATTGAAATAATTCGTTGTCCATAACGTTTACAATCAGTCAAAGACCTTTTACAAACTTCATTATCATCCTTTTCCTTTTTCAAACTCTTTTCTGCATCATGCAATTTTTTTCTATAACGGTCAACATCATCTTCAAGACGACGCTTTTTCTTTTCTAATATATCACGTTGTTCTTTTGTTGTTTCTTAAAAAAATTTGAGAAAATTAAAAAAAAATAAATTTTTTTGCGGACACAAATTTGCGGACAAATTAATTTTTTTTTAATTTAAAGATAAGAGGAAAAGGATTCCATATTTTCTTATAAAACACCATATGTAGTGTCCACAAATAATGGAAAAATGTGTTATGATTTTATTAAAAAATTAAAAGTTAAGGAACTTGATAAGACGTCCGCAACTTTTCTTGCGGACTTTTCACTTCTGTTTATCAAAACAGATGGAAGGAAAGACCTAGAGACTTCCAAGACCGAAAATTTTCCAAGACTCAAGACCAAGAGTTTTGGAAGTCTATAGAAAGACCTCTCTTCCACATTAAAAAAAGTTTGCGGACACAATAATAAATGTCCGCAACTTTTCTTGCGGACTTTTCCCGTTTTGTTTTCTAAACCAGACGGAAGGAAAGACCTAGAGACTTCCAAGACCGACAATTTTCCAAGACTCAAGAGTCTTGGAAGTCTATAGAAAGACCTTTCTCTTTGCCCCTTAAAAAAGTTTGCGGACACAATAATAGATGTCCGCAACTTTTCTTGAAAACATTTTCCACTTTTTTTTTAAATTAAAAGTTTTATTTTAAAATTTTAAAACCAGAAAAACCTTCCTCCCCTTATTTATTAAACAATCAATAAACCTACTCAATTGTAAATCCAATTCATTATTTTTATCCAAAACAGCCTGACGTTCTTCTTCCATAGCTTGTTGTTGTTGAATACATTGTTTAATATTAACAATTTTGCCTTCATAAAAGAATATGTCAGAAGAAGCCTCATTAGGTGTTGGTTGTAAATTATTGTTTGAAGAAACTGACAGCAGTTCCAAATTAGCATGTCCTAAAAATAAAATATAAAAATTACAAAAAAATTTTTGCGGACGTAAATTTGCGGACATAAATTTGCGGACAAATTTAAAAAAAAAGTTTCTTTCATAAAGACAAGAGAAAAATGAGTCCACAGAAATTTTAGAAAAATAAAAAAATTCAATTTTAAACAATTTAAATAAAACTTTATGCTATATAGACAAGCGTATTTAATTATTATCTACTACCATAAACGATGGAGTCTTTTTACTAACCTACAACCAAAAAATCGTGGAAATCTCATATACACTTGAGAAATAAAAAAAATAAATTAACAAGTCTAACCTTAAAAAAAAATTTTTTTTCCTAACAATAAATCCAAAAATTATTTCTCAATTTTACACTAATCTTCAAAAAAATCTCTCACATAAAATTTCAATTCCCCCAAATCTTCCCAAAAAAATTAAAAAAACAAACTAACCATTAGCCAACTCCTTGTAACTCTCAAACAAACTTCCTCCACCTTGATATACAGGTTCAGGTATATATTTAACATTCCCTTCTTTATCAACCCATTTATCAGTCAAATCACGATAATTAATACGTTCCTTTGAAACCAATTTTTTAACCAAATTTTTAACTTCGCCACGAGACAAGTCTAATCCTGTAGAATTTATTATCTCTTCCAAATCGCGATCAGTCAAATAACTAAAAAAAGAAAGAATTTTTTAAATTAAATATTAAAATCTTTAAAAAAAAATTAATTTTCCCATGGATATTTAACAGTAAAATGGCACATGGACACATCTGGATATTTTAATGTACAAACAGTTACCCTACTGATTTCGGGTCACCGGGTCTTGAATAGTATATTGATATACCTACGGATATATAATAGTATACCTACGGACACCGGGTCTTAAATAGTACATATATTGAAAAATAGAGTTTTCATGTTTTAGAACAAACGTAAACACGCTAGAAATTTTTTTGTCACCCCAATCACGATATGTCCGCACACACATAAAATAGTTTACGAAAAAATCAGTTATTGATGTATCCCCCTTCCCTTTTAAAATACCGTTTAAGACATCTTTCTACGCCAGCGGTAATTAAAAATCAAGAAAAATGTCATTGAAAAATGCTACAATTATTTTAAGTACATAGTAAGCGGAAAGCTTATTAGAAAATGGTCCAGTCGAATAGGGTCTACACACCCCAAACGTTGAAATTGGTCCTAAAAAGCAGAGCTGGGTACTTATTGTCATAAAGCAAAGTTAGTAACACTGTTTAAGATAGACCACTATTTCCCTTTCTAAAGCAAAAAAAAAGGGGGGGCAACGTTCAATTTTACCAAACCTTTTTTTTTTAAAATAAATTCCAAAAACAAACCCGCAAATATTTCCATCAAAATGCACAAAAGCTGAAAAAAGATCCAAATTGTGAACAATTGCTTTAAAATTTGTTCGCAAATCTGTTGAAGAACTTAGAGGTGATTTTGGTGGTTGTTTATCAGAATTTTGACCTCCTTCTTTATTTCCTTCCTTCTCTTTTTCTTCTCCTTTTTCCTTTCCCCCACCTCCAACACCACCACTACTTTCATTTATTACAACAACATCTTCATCTTTACAAGCTTCAGAAAGTGTTTCATTTCGACGCTTCTTTTCAGCTTCTCGATCTAAACAAGTTGCCACAGAGTGATAAACAACAAAAGCGTTGGAACGATCAATTGCTTCACGTAAAGCTTCAACAAATATAAAGACCTGAAAAGAAACATTCATTATAAAATATCCCCCAAAAAAAAATTGGAGCTTAAAAGGCTATAATGGGGCCAAACCATATGACAAACTGAAGTGAGTCAAACCATTAGTTAGTCATTTCAAATAAGTCTTTAAGCCACACATCGATTTACAAAAGATGCCGTTTATTCGAAAGTATATGGTTGGCCAAGACATAGTGAGAAGCTCTCCCAACCAGAACACTCCACCTACTTTAGGATGTGCCCCTCATAAGATAAAAATGATTTCTAAGCCCAAAGATAAGTATTTTATAAGTGAGTTATAAATGAACTTTTCTTAAGGAAAAATTAAAAAAAAAAAACCTCAAAAGACGATTCTTTAATATCATCTTGACGATAATCCAATAATGAATGTATAGACATCAATTTACATTCAAATTTTCCACCTTTTGCAGTTTTGCTTGGATACACAAAAATTCCAGGTTCTTTAGGAATTTGGCTATAATGACGTTCTAAAGTAGCTTTGCGTTCTTTCTTTTCTTTTTCCTTAAAAATTAATTAATTAAACCCCAAAAAATTAAAAAAATTGTACAAATTTTTCTTTAGCTTTTTCCAATTCTTGACGTTCCTTTTCCAATTTTTCACGTTTTGCTTGTTCTTCAGGTGATTCCTTCTTCTCTTCAGGCTTAAAAAAAAAATAATTAAATTTTGAGTCTGGTTCAAATTTTGGTTAAAGTAACAAACAGCGAATTTTTTAGTTCGCTTATAACACGGACATTACAATAGAACGTCGAGTCCTCTATCAAATGGTACCAAAAAATATATCAAATTCGTGAGTACAGTAGACAATGTCCCCTTGTACGATTAAAAATAAAAAATAAATCTCACAAAAATTTTAAAATTATAAACTAAATTTCAAAAAATAAATTCTCAAACCGCTTCATCAGTTTCCATCAATTCAATAATTTCTTCCTTTATTTTAACCATTATACTAGGTTCACTAGTTGTTTTCTGAGCAGAATGTTGTTGTTCATTTGGTTTTGCTCCTTCTTCTTGTTGTTGTTGTTCCTTTGAAACCAAATTTTGTTGTTGCTGTTCAGTATCAGGCATTGCTTCATCTGCCGGCTTTTCTTGTTGTTGTTGCCCTACTTGATTCTCATTTTTCTCATCATTTTCCTTTTCTTTTCCAATAGCTTCAGACAAACGTTGAGACAACACATTTTTTAATCCTTTAGAATCAAGTCCACGCAATTCAAGTTCTTCACGAAGCTCAGCAACCTGAATAAAATTAATAAAAATAAATTATTAAAAATAATGTAAGGGTTAAATCGGAGACCAACTCTGGCTAGCATTAAAAACTCCTACTAGGCCATGGATTGCTAGGCTTGCTATAGGGGGTTTAAACATATTGCAAGGCTTGTTATAGGGAAAAACTGGCGAGATATTTTAGTTAAAATGGGACACCTGTATGTGGTGAGGGAAACTCCAAACAAAACCTACCAGGAAAACTAGACCTCACCTGTCCCTTTTACAAAAACTAGAAAAATGAAAAAAGAAAAAAACCTTCATTGTACGAACAACAGGTTCCAACAAAGACCAATGTGTTTTAGTTTCCTTTTTGGGAGATTGAAGAGTTTCTTGAGAAGTATCAGCAGATTTTTGAGGAGATGAAGAGTCCATAGCCTAAAAAAATTTTTTTTAATTTATAAATCAAAAAAGTATAATTTTAAAGATTTTTCTTTTCAAAATAGACACTTAAATAGAATTAATTAGAAAAATCCTAAAAAATAAATTAAAAAAAATTTTTTTCTTTTATTTATAACACCAACACCACCATCATATTTTTTGCCAAAATAACAAAGAACCTCCTCAGTAGCAATACAAAGATCAGGAACAGCATTATTCTCTTTTGATGGTGGTTCAACACCAACTTCAGGAGCAGAAGTAGCAACCAACGTTGATGTTGATGAAGTAGCAGCAGAAGTCGTAGTATTCGTAGTCGTCGTTGTAGTAGCCTTTTCTATCCCCCCACCACCAACACCCTTTTCAACAACAGACTTTTCCCCATCAACAACATTTTCCCCTTCCGTTTCTTTCTTCTCATTATTAAATTGTTCAGCATCAATTGCCGCCAATTTAACGGCAAGTTGATCACGTAAAGATTGTTCACAAATTTTGTAGCTTTCCTCATCAACTTTAAAACTTTCTATTGCGCTTGTATCCGGAAGCATTAGAACAACAGAATCAATACGTTGACGTTCAGCACGCAAGTAACGCAAGTGCGCAATTTTGTACCTGGATTATTTATTCAGAGTGTGTGTATTTTTTGAATAAGAGAGGAAATATTAAGAAAAAAAAATTAAAAAAAAACTCATCAGCCATTGAAGAGCAAACAAAGAAAAAGATTAGAAAGGTAGGAGATTTTTAAATTTATAAAAAAAATTTTAAATTTTTCAAAAAATTTTCTTAGAAATTTTTAAGAAATATTTTTGAGAAAAAAATTTTTTTCTTACCATTTAGAACAGTCAGACAGATTTAACCCAGTCATTGCTCTAGTAGTTCTAATAGCAGTTTTAACCAATGTTACAGGATCCAAAGGATTTTGACCATCCAAAGAAGGAGACCATGGACCTCCAATACACATATATTCGCCTTTGCCGCGATGACCTTTTTTAAAATTAAAAATAAGAAAAAGAAAACTTTAAAAAATTTAAAGACATACCAACAAGTAATTGAATTGTTTTTGTTAATGGTTGAGTTTCTGTAGCTTCATCAATACTTCCGTCTGACATAAGTCCACTCAATTTACGACGGATTGTCATTAAACCAGGATGTGAAATAAGCATTACCTTAACGAAATGAAAGTTATTTCTAAAAATTTTAATAAAAAAATAGTTCCAAAATTTTTTTAACAAAATTAAAGGACTGTACATTAACTTGTTTCGACTCTGTTCTAGTCCAATGAACCATTGAGTTTTTAATTGGATTTTTGGACCCATAATTTTATAGGCATATTGAGACTAACTAGCCGAGAGCACATTCTTTGTAGCTTTCTAACTAATGTAAGTCTGCCTTATGTAAAAGTCGGATCCCTCATTAATATTTTATAATATTTTATATATATATCTGAAGCTATAGCACACCTCATTTCAGCCCCCTGAAATCGACCTCCTGGCTACGCCCCTGCTATATTGTTTACCTACTTGTGTTCAATTCGTATCTATTAAAGGAAGAGTTAAATCTCTATTACCAAACCCAATACCCTTACAAGTCTAAGAAAATGTGAAACCCCAACCTTAACAATATAACGATAATCAGCATCAACAGGATTTTCAATCGGAGCCTCTTCCCCCAAAGCCAAAGGAGCATCAATATCTTTATGCAAAACATGAAAGTTGATTGGATGTGGAGAAAATTTGATTGGAGTTTCAAGCGGAATAGAAGAAATCCAATCAAAACTGCATCGAATAAAATCGGACGGAATATATAAACTAGCATAGCGTCGTCGCAAATCAGCGTTCTTCATATCACCCCTAAAAATTTTATGAAAATATTTCCTTTAAAAAAAAGTAAAAAACAAACAAAGGCAAAGTCTGCTTCGGCATATTACAATGATAACGAGGAATGATACGTTGACGACGTCTTGGAGGCGAAGAATCAGCATCAAGTTTAGTAGATTGTCCACGAACTGAAGAAGAATCACCACGATCATGTTCTCGCTCCTTCCTTCCAAAAGCTTCTCTTCTAGGCGACGCTTCGCGCTTACGAGGTGTTGTACGACGTGGTGGAGTACGTTGACGCGAAGATGGACGCTTTGCTACTACAAAATAAAATGAGAAAATTCATAAACTTTTCAGAAACCTGGAGAAGAACGACGAGGAATTGTAGAAGGTACTTGTCTTCGCGGTTCATCTCTAATGTTACTACGACGATCGCTACTTCCTCCACCCCCTCCACCACCACTACCAGCCCAACGATTTGACGAATTCATTCCATTTTGTTGTTGTGGTGGTGGTAATTGACGGCTAGCTTGTTGTTGTTGAAGACCTCCTCCACCGCCTTGAGAAGTGTCATTGATAAGACGAACTTGATAAGCATTCCATTTAAACGGCATTGAAGGATTGTAATTTGCTTCTACCATAACACGGTCACCAAGACGGGGCATTGTGCCACGGATAACACTGAAAAAAAATAGGAAAGGATGACCATAGTTGAGCTGGGACTTGATAATACTCAAGGGGTTACTATTGCTAGAATGCGGACGGGACAGGATCCCAAACACGATTTTACGGGATCCTGCCCCGAAATCCAGTAATTTAAGCAACGAACAGGATTTACGAGATTAATCCTACGGGATCATGTCCCTTCGATTTTTTGAAAAACGGGATCCTCCCCCCCCATTACGGGATCCCAAAAATGCCATTTTTCCCCCACTCTATTGTCACCACAATCCGGACATGTCCGTCCCGTAATGTCTCCCTATCCATTATTCAACCCCAAAAAAAAAAAAAGAAAAACCTTGTTTGAAAGAAAACATCCTCGTCAACAAATCCATAAGTTTCCATCATTTTAGTAATAACACCAATAAAAGTACGTTGAGAGCGAGCAGGAGAAGAAGATGGTTGCTGCTGTGATGATTGTTGTTGACGTGATTGTACTTGTTGAATTTGTTGTTGTTGAGGTTGCAGCATTTGAGAACGTTGAGCTTGAGCTAGCATATTCATCCCCATTGTACTTGAAAAAGCAGCTTGATTAACTAAACCGGCTAACGGCATTCCTGGAATTCCTCCAAAGGATTGTCCAGTCGTTGCAAGCCCCAATTGGCCAGTAAACAAATTTGGGTTCAATTGCTGTTGAGAGCCTAAATATGAGACAAATTTTTGAAGTCTTCCATTAAAAGGATTAAACCAGGAATAAATATAGCTACTCAAAATCCGGACATCGTTCCGATACAAAACCAAATCCACAGAAACCCGTTTCCCCAACAGTTATCAGAACCCAGGGGATCACTCAAGAGTCTCGACACCCAAAGTATCGGATTACCCAAAGATCAAACTGGGTGTCGATACTTTAGGGGTGGACTCTTAACCCACATACCAGTACAGAACCAAACCGCGTCAACCCACAAATATGGTCATCTTATGAAATAATTTATTCCCCCTAAACTATGTTCTGAAATCATGTCCTAAATTTAGTGACAACTTATAACGCATACGAAAAGCTTGACAGCTACCATGACAAAACGAGCAATTTTGGTCTCAGAACCCGTTCAATCCCTTAAAGTAAAAAAAGCAAACCTTGAGATCTAGCCCATGCAGGTTTTTGACCATAAGACATTTTCGGTTATTTCGAATATAATTTAAAAATCAAAAGGTTAAGAAAGTCTAAAAATCAAAAAATTTAAAAAAAAAATTGAAAATACGAAACAAAAAAAATAGAAAGACAAAAAATCAATAAAGTACAGTATAAATAGGACAAAATGTCATTTATCCAAAAATTGGGGTAGGGGACGATTCAGTATCGCCGATTCAGTATCGCCGATTCAGTATTGGCCGATTCAGTATTTGGGCTTTTTGGCCATAACTTTTTGCCCGATCAATATTGTAGGAATTATTATATATGATTTGATAGGTCTCGGGGTGCTGCATCTTTTTCATAATTGGACTGACCTGATATTATCATTCTACAAAAAGTTATCACTGATAAACGACGTCACAGGCATAAAAAATCGGTTTTGACGCTGTAACTTTTTTTGTGATCATCAGATCAGATCGGGCCAATTATAAAAAAGATGCCGGACTATGAGACCTTTCGAATGATATGAGAATTATTCAAATCAGTCGAATATCAGGAAAGTTATGGCAATATACTGAATCGGCTATACTGAATCGGCGATACTGAATCGTCCTTAACCGAAAAATTGTTAAAAAAGAGTCAAAGGAGTCTTGAAATCGTCTAGGCCAGAGAACGCTTTTTTTGTCAGTAGTAAATGGAAAAATAGAATTTTTCGGAATCAGATTCCCAAATTTGTAATTAGAGCTAGGTTGGATTCAACAGGACTTTCCTGCTTAATCTGGTCCGGAAACAGTCCCACGAAAAAACTAGAGAAGCACGAGACCGATTAATTGCCTCGTTTATTTTTACCGGTGGCGGGTCTTTTTTCTCTTTTCACTTCTCCGCTTTTTGTCCCGCCGCAGGGAAAAATAAACGAGGCCATTAACCCAAGATAAACGAGGCCATATAAAAGATAAACGAGGCCATAAACGAGGCCATTAACCCAGCTTCCGGAAAAGTCCGGGCAGATCCGTTCCGGCGTCCGGGTACACTTTTAAGGTTTGTAATTTTTCAAAAAAAATTTTTTTCCCGTTCACAAGAAAAGCATTCGTTTCTGGCCAGAGATCCCCACACAAAAATAATCTCAAAACAAAAAAAAAATTTAAAAAAATAACCCGTTAAAATTTCAAAAAAATCCCCTCAAATTTTTTTTCAATAAAAATCAGCATAAGCATTTTGCATTCGTTCACAATAATCAGATTTTTCTTGTTCACTCATTTTTGCCAATAAAGCTTCGTTTATATCTTCAAAAAATTTTTTTCTTTTTAAAATTTTATATAAAGATTACCATCAACACGATATCGTTCTCCTTGAACAAATACAAAAACTTCTTCTTCTTCTTCTACATCTTCTTCCAATTGTTGTTGATTTTTTAGAGAACTAGAAAAATTATTATTATTTAATTTATGTAAACCAAAAGTTGACCCAATTTTGGTCATTAACCTCGTTTTGGAAAAATTTTTTTTACTCAAATATTTGTCCGCAAAAATTTTGCGGATTTTTCGTTGTCCGCAAAAAGTTTTTGCGGACAAAAATTTAGACCGCAGAATTTTGCGCATTTTTTTACTTCCATACAAAAAATCCGCAAAAAATTTGCGGATTTTTTTACTTCCATACAAAAAATCCGCAAAAAATTTGCGGATTTTTTTACTTCCATACAAAAAATCCGCAAAAAAATTTGCAGACTAGATTTTTGTCCGCAAAAATTTTTGCGGACAAAACATTGCACTCTTCCTTCTTACCTGCCCAAAAATAATTTTATAAAAAATTTTCAAAAAAACCTTCGTAATGCCGAATCATCATCTTTACCAGAACCACCAATTTGAGTTTCTTCTTTTTGCTTACTTTCTTCTTGTTCCTCATCAGCCAAAAGTAAAGCTATTTCATCACGTCTAGGTCTCTTTATTTTTACTTCTTCTTCTTCCTCGTCCTTATTTCCTTCTAAATGGTCATTTTGTTGATTAGTAATCTTTAATAAAAAAAATTTTTTTTATTAAAAATTTTTATGGAAACTTTAATTATTTGTTGAGATGAGGTTGAAGCATTGTTAATATTTTCTGTTTGTTTATAACCATCCAATTCTGAAAAAAAATTTTTTTTATTAAAAAATAGAAAATTATTTTCAAAACGTTTGGTGAGTATATACTAGAGCTCTCAGTTGACCCTTTAATGGAGAAGCTTAAAGCTAAGAAGTAGAAAAAATGGATACAGTCTGGAGGTTACGGAACAGCTCTATTGGGATATGTAGGGATATAGATGATTAAGGGGAGTATGGGTAAATTGCCGTGAGCAAGGACATGCCGGGCTCATTTTTGGAAAATTTTGAGCTTCAAAGTAAAAAATAGGAATATTGAGCTTTAAAATTTTGGCGCAGGGATTCTAAAGTGTTATTGTGTGTTGTGGGAATTTTAATTTCGGGCGTAAGAATAAATTTTGTGCTGAAAGTTATCGCATCTGAGATTCTAAAGGTCTATGAATCTGACAAGCTTCAACAAGTTACGGTACTATAAAAGCCTTGTTGATTGTTTCAATTTTCCTCCCAACCACCATAAATCTTCAATCACTTCAACTCTACATCAACATATCATCTAAACAAACAACAAAGACAACGCTTCATGCTCTTCTGCCTCCTTCATCCAATGGACCACAACACCGGACCTTTGGCAAGGAAGTCGACAACGCTTTGTGCTCTGCTGCTGGTATCCATCGCCGCGCTCCTAGTGCTTGCAGTTCCTGGACAGGCCAACGTTACGGAAGTCGGAGTTGCCAATCACACCTTGAAAGGAAGCAATGTGACGCTCAAAGAAGGCAGTAAGCAGGCCGACACGGACTTAAAGTATGATGAGTACGTGCAGCGTTTCCATAATGTCTGTAATTTTGTGATCGACGAGAAATACATGTAAGTTGATTTTTCATTATGATATATGGAAATAACGTTCTTAATTTTTTAGCACGCTTACATACGAAGGCAAATGGTGCATTGTGGAACTGATCACAAAAACGCCAATGGAGATGATCAAGTTCACGACTGGATACAGGAAAAATGGCTGTAACATGAGTGAATGCGAAAATAGCAAATACAGATATCAGGATGGATTTTCAAATGTGTAAGTTAATAGTTAAATGCTGATAGAAAAGAATTATATAACAATTTATTTCAGCCTGCCATTCGCCTACAGCAAAAACAACAAGGAGATCGAAAAGCACATTGAGGATCCGTTCTACGATGGTAAAAACGTCAAATGTGATAAAATAAGATGTGGGGACAAATGCATGAAGCATACATTTCTTGAAGTCTTGTGGAGTAAATGTGATGGTAGTGTAATCGCTTACACTCATTTAAGTAAGTACACCCATTTTACACCCATTTAAGTACTTTAAAATATCCATTTTAGTTGCTGAAGTTGAGAAAGGCTTGGATCAATATGAAGAAGAAAAAGGTGGCGATAAAACGGATTTCAATCTGGAGATATATGCTAATAGCAGCTTCAAAATGGATTTTCACAAAGATTGGACCGATATTTTCGATGATAAAAATATTAGTTGCGCTCCAAGAAATAATTCCATTGTCCCACCAACTACATGGAACATCACAAATGGAGACGGAGACCTGAAGGATAAACATCTGCTCGTCTTCCATCTACTTCCAAAAACGGCTACACGAAGGTTCGAAAAAGGCAATCACAAACAATTTGAGGAGGAAAGACCAAAGTGTGATCTCTTCATTCAATTTGTAATTTTTTTGCATTTTTCCCAAAAACTCGACTAATTTTTATCTTTCAGGACAGGGAAATCTACGAATTTCTTCAGGTCGATCTTCGAACAACGACTACAAGCACAACTACAACGACCAAACCATCAACAAAATCATCGACCACATCAACACCTATCAAAACAACTCCAACGCCACGACCGCAGCAAGGAACTACAACAAATGTGCAGGAAGTAAAGGACACCAAAAAGGGAAGCAGTGCTGGGACTGTGATAATAATTCTGTTAGTTTTGGCGTTTGTTTCCGTGTTGATTGGAGGTTGCATCTATTTTGGGCTCGACTACCGCAAAAAACAACAAAAGGAAAAGGAAGAAGAAGCAGCGAAAGCAGCAGCAACTGAAGCAGCAAAAGCAGCGGAAGCAGCAGCAGCTGAAGCAGCAGAAGCAGAGGATGAGAAAGAGAGGTAATACATAGTAGGAAGAGAGATGATATAGACAATTTTTTGTTTTTTTTTCAGAGCCTACTGGTTCAACTTTGGAGACACTACGGAGATTGCTGATCAAAACTTTAAACGCGCTGCCTTAGGTCTGATGTCGGTGGAAGATCAATTTGTCAAGGAGATTCTTGACAGGATGGAGAAGGAGGACAAGGAGAACGCGGAAAAAAACGAAGAAATTCTCATCGAATTGTATCTACCGGACGTTGCGGAAAAAGGTTTTGCCAAAGTTGGGACTTTCCGAGAGTGGCGGAAGAAGGTGAATTTATAAAATAAAAATATAAATTTGGTTTTTTATTGCAGAGTAGAATGATCCAGGAAAAAGGCGAGACTTCGGAAGAATTCGACAAGAGAGTCGAAAAGGCGATAAAGAGAAGGGGAGGCTTGAAGAAGACTGTCAACGCACTTTTCAATAGGAAACAATCAAAGGATGAAGCTGCCGGAGGGAAAAAGACAGAGGACAGCAAGGTGAATAACGACCAGGCCCCGAAGGAGGAAACGACTTCGAAGGACTCGGCTCTGAAGAAGGACCCGGCACCGGATAAGGCGGACGCTACAAAGAGCAAGCAGGCAGGTACGACATCGGATGTTCCAACGGATATGGTGTCGGAGGCTAAAGAGACGGATATGTAATATTGTGGAGATGAAGTGAAGGATGCGGCTAGGACAAAACTAGATGAGAGAAGTTGAGAAGATATATAAATTGGAGATATATAGAGAATAATCTGTAAATAATTTGTAAATCATTCATTCTATATTTCCCAAATACCCCTATATTCTCCAAATCTCTCAACATGTATTTCTCTCTGTATAATGGCTATATATGCCAATCTATATATTCCTTATATCCCCTATATATATTCACATATTCAGGCTTATATGCCGTATCTATATATGTATGTGAAATCTGTATGCCTATTTTTCCTATATACCCAAATTTCCCTATATATATTTGCCTATATTCCCTATATATATTTGCAGGTTGAGCTATTGTATTCCCTGCTATTTTTCATATATTGTATTGTTTGTATATGTATGTATTTTTCTGTATATGTTTGTATTGTAATTGTTGTATAAAAATTTGTTTTGGAGTCCAAAATTTTACCGGGGCCCAAAAAATTGTAAAAAAATTTGGGAATCCAACTTTTTCAGATCCCAAATTCAGGTACCCTAAAAATTAATTTTCCCGGGTGGATTTAGAATCTGGTACATTTTCGGCACAAACCTAAAACCCTTCTCAACCCGGTCACAAACCAAATTAAGGGGAGTGTCCTTTTGGAAGGCACAAGAGCCAAGGTTTCTCTTTGAACAATAAGACACAGAATTACACTCCTTTTTGGCGCCGAGAAATTAAATTTTTGAAAAATTTCCAAAATTGAAAGAAAAAATCTCTAAAGTCAAATTTTAGAAATAAATTCAGAACTCAGCTTTTCAGAGCCTAAAGGTACTTTACTTTTCTGCCACCTCCCCTACATTAATGCTTAAAATGTCTCCCTCCCCCTATGGGTTTTGACCATTTCGAACCCTATAGCTCAGTCCACAGGCATCTCCGGAAAAAGTTGTGGAACCTTCGAATCAGCACCTTTTATTACCATATGACATTTTTAGTATTAATTTAGGGGGAGGTGGCAGAACGGAAAAGTACCAGCCCAAGTTCAGGCAACCTAAAAATTAATTTTCCCTTGGATAAGTTAGAGAACCTGACACTTTTTCAGTTAATTTTATAGTAAAATTAAAAAAAAATATTTACGTGTAGTATCCACATCCACTTGTTTAGCACTAAGTAGCCAAGGAATTTCTGCTTTTGCTTCAAGCGTTTTTTCAATATTATCATCACCAATTGAAACAGTAATATCACCTCCATATAAATCACTTCTAGTTTTACCAGCACCAAAAAATGCACGTTGTCCAAGCTGAAAAATAAGAAATGGAAAATTTTAAAGAGTCTTGACGCTGGTAGATGGGGGAGAGGTTCATCCAATTCAAAAAAAATATTTTTTGCAAAATTAAAGTAGAAACAACGCCCCTAAACATCAACTACTTACAACTCCGTTTCCCAAGAAAATAATTTTAGTTAATTAAAAAAAATTTTTTTCCAATAGTCTCTATAGGTAAACCTCCCTCCAATATGGCACTGACATGAGTAGGAAATAATTTTTTTTTCGTATAAATCGAAGTAGGGGTAGACCCTTTAAGGGGGGGGGGGGAGGAGGGCATTCCCATGCATTCCTCGTTATCCAAAAAAAATCAAAAAATTTTTAATAAAGAGTTTTCCCAGGAAAGTCCTTACCATCTAAAACTACTCTAACCAACGACCACTATACATACTACTTAATTAAAAGAATTTTTTTCCTCAAAGATTAGTTTTTCCAAGGCGAATCCTCTCCAGCTGACATAATATGACAACAAAGACTACCCACTTAATTCAAATCAAAAATTAAAAAAAATTTTTTTTTTCGAATAAAATTTTGCCTAAATATGAACCCCCTCATATTATTAAATTTAAAAAAATTTCAAAAAAAAAAATAAAAAAAACTAACACTAGCAACTTTTCTCGTTTCAAGTTCAATCGTTTCCCCTTCAGATTTAAATATAGGTGCTTGTATAGTTGGTTCAGTTATTTCCCGTCCAAAACGAATTCCATCCATTTGTTTTATTAAAGAAAATATTCCAGTCATTTGTTCATTAAATTTGGCCATAGAGGAACGCGTTGTTGAGGATGGACCACTGGCAAGTTCGTCTTGTTCTACTAAACTGTGACATTGCCAACACCTTTTGGGTTAAATAAAATTGAAAATTTATTGGGTTTAAATTTGAAGGGGGAATTTTAAAATTTAATAAACGTAGATGAGGAAGAAGTTTGAGGGAGAGGCAAAAAAATGTTTTTTTGCCTAACTAGGGAAGGTTGCGAGGTGTCCGAGCTGAAAACGGTCGAGACCGGGCTCATTTGATAGAGAATGTGTTTTGGAGGGCCATATCTTGGCCAGAACAAAAAAGGGCAAAAACGGCTCAAAATCCTTGCTAGAAAGGGCACATTTTCTATCGAATGAGCCCGGTCTCGACCGTTTTTAGCTCGGACACCTCGCAACCTTCCCTAGTAAATATGAAGTTTTCATATGTAAACCTCCCTCCAAACCAAAAAAAAAACATATCCATTAAATCTATTGCCTTTTACATCCCTCACTAGAAAAATTTTTATTGAGGAAAGAATTCGAAGATTAAAAGCGTAGATAAAAAATAATAAAAGAATAAATTATTTAATTGAAGGAAACAATATATCCACGTGGAAACGGAAACAAAGCTAACCCAAAATGACTCTTGTTTTTTAGGAATATCGAAAAAGTTATAAAGGGAATACAAGAAAAATAATACAAAGTAGGCCCAGAATTCCGAAAAGAAAAAAGAAGATTAGGGTTGTTAAACGATCGGTTAATTTTTGCCTGTGGTGATGCAAATACTATTAAGTAGGGTTGTCGGTTCTGGACCGAACAGACGATTTTTCGGTTCCGGATATCAGAAGATTTTCTTGAAACCGACAACCCTACTCTTACAATTAACATAAGACAAAAGCCTCAAATGCTCTACAAACAAAAATTAACCGACCGCCTGCAATCCTAAATAGAAACCCGCACTTTTTGGTCACAGAACATTTTTTGCACGTTTTTTTGGCTATTTAGGTCCTGTAAGGATACCCGAGTTTCGGGAACTATGCTTACTGGGACAACAAAAACCCTTCGACAAAATCCCAAAAACCATGCCTACCTTAGTGTTATTTTCCTATTTCCAAGTCAAATGCTCTACAAACAAAAATTAACCGGACGCTAAAAGCAAACCTCATCTCCTGTGTGAAAGGATCAAAAATCTTCCCCATATCCATCACATCATATTGCCTTTTACACCCCTCATTAGAACATCGATAAAAAGCTCTGTGAATGTCATCCTTCTCTCTAACTTCCAATTTTTGTCGAATATGGTCAATTTTGTATTTGGCAACATTTAAAGCTCCTTTGTAATTGACAAAATAATAAGTAAATTTTCTAACTTTGCCATCAACTAGAAAAATAAAAAAAAAACTTTTTTCTTTAAAAACGGAGGCAGAATGAGTCAAAGGCTCTTGTAATTTAAAAGGAAACATTCTCTCAGCCAGGCCCGTAGCCAGGGGGGGGGAAAGGTCTCTAAAAATTCTAGATTTATTTAGGATAAAATTAATAAACAATTAAATAAAAAATAAGGGTTCCACAGAATAGACTCAAGATCGGTAGTTTTGAAAAGCCTGAGCGTTCCTGGGTTTGGTTTATTTTGACCTAGACAAGATTCTGGGCCTGCAGTCAAGTAAAACCCATGCCTAAGAAAAACCAAAGAAAGTCAAAAATGCCTGGGCCTGGACTCTGATTGTGAGTACAGAATAAATCCAAGCCTTGGTCAAACCCAGCTCGATACCTAGAATAGTTCCCCCAAAAACATTAAAAAATTAAACCTTCTTGCGGCACCAACCGTTCCTTTATAAATTTCTCCACTTTCAAGGTCACCAAAAATTTTCTCAATTGTCTCTGATCAATTTTGCAGACTTGTCGAAGCTCTTCCTCTTTTAATATAATTTTCTTTTGAATATAACAAAAAATAACATAACATTCAATTCCATAAAATATTTTGACTAAAGTAAGCAATAATTGTTGAAGTGTTGGGGGTACTTCTGTAAGTAGTTGATTTTGTTGATTTGATTTTTCTGTGTCCATTTTTCTATAGTTTTTATAAATGTTTTAATAAATTGCTGAAATTAATTAAGAAAAATTAGAAAAACTGACGGACAAAAATCACGGACAAAAAATAAATTCTCAAGGCAGACGACAAAACGCCAACAGACATAATGCCAGCGGACTTTACGTCATTTGACTTTTCGTCAATGGACAATGAAAATATTTTTTAATATTACGGTAGCCTTAAATCCATTAATCACAATGCCTAATGCGATATATACTTTATATAATCTGATGTAAAATACATGTGTAGATAGATAATGATGATTAGAACTTGAGATAGTCTTATTTGAGGTTAAGTCCGAAAATTTGCTTAAACATGGGAAAGCATATAGCTATTTAGATAATTCTTAAGGCTGTGCAGTAGGCGGCGTGGTGTAATGGCTAACACATCAGTCCGGTCTACTGAAGATGCTTGTTCGCTCCCAGCCGCCGAATAACCTTTTGCACTAGCTAAAGGAGAGAAATAGCTATAGCCCAGCTGCTTTACTCGTGGGTGTTTCAAGTTTAATCTTAGAGTTACTATCTCAATTTCAAAATATTTAATATCTTTTGGTAGTGTTAATTTATAAAAAATTTAAAAAAATTTTCATAGGAATGTTCTTATATTTTTTGTTCTTCAATGGAATTTATGAGGTAATATCCAGCTTCTTTCCCTTTTTCTCTTCAGCTTTTTTCTTCTTTATTTTCTCTTCTTTAAGAGGCTCTTTTCGATATTCTTTAAACTCCTCCTTCTTATAAAATTCTGCGTTGACTGGAATTTTTACATAAAAATCATCCTGTAAAGGAGTAGATATTTCAAATTTAATGTCCTTTGGCTTTGGGAGAATCTCAATTTTCTTAGCCAGTGTTTCTTCATTTTGTGGTTGTCTAATTTCTATTGGATTGTTTGCCAGATAAAGCCTTCTTTGATCGACTAGAATAAATTTAGATAGTAATTTGTTAAGATTTAAGTTAGGTTAGGTCTCGAGTCCATAACTCAAGAAAGAGGAACTCGCTACACCTCAGGGCCCGTATCATAAGAACTCGGTCACCTGATGATACCTAACCATGGTCACCTAACCACAAGGTCATGGTTAACCTTACGATCGTCTTATGATACCGGTTAAAACCACCGGTTGGTGGTTACCTTACCAGCAAACGAGTTCTTATGATACGGGCCCAGTTGTTAAGTCCCCCAATAATAATTTGTCAAGTCCTTAAGATCAAGTTTTCTTAAGAAAAATCCCTTATCCTCGAGCTATCAATTTAAGGAGCAGGTCAAATCATGTAGCACCTACCCTGAATTCCTTTCCATTTTTCATTCGTTTTTTCTTTCGATTCGATATCTTCTATTTTTGGGCAATTAATAGTTCCATCTTCAATCAAAGAATCAAGTCTTTAAATTAAAAAATATAATTTCATAGCAAAATCTATCCACTTACTCCCCAATGTTTCTTCTGGTTATATGAATTCCATCTAACCGATAATTTTCTGTAATGATATAATTTGTAAAAAAATTAAATGAAGGTATTAATAATAAAATATTCTCTTTTTCAATTTTTCTATTTTCAAAGTTTCCTTTTTTAAAGTTTATTCCAACAAGCCAAATTGTTAATCGTTTGTTGCTTAATTAATAAAAAGGTAAATAATAAAAATTAGAAAGTCTTTCCGGAAAAATAATTAAAAAGAATTACATGCCCAGTATATTTATTACAAATTGAGAATTCCGGAAAAGCTAGTGCTGACTAAAAAGAATATTTCCGGAAAAAATATTTCCGGAAAAGTTTGTAAGGGAGCATTATTTCGGGGCATCATTCCGGATAGATTTTACAAATTGTAAAATTCTATTTTCCGGAAAAAGCATATTTTCCGGAAGAATAGTTTTACAAATTGTAAATCGGGTATATTTCTGGAGAAATACTCATTTTACAATTTCTACCCTATTTTCCGGAAAAAATAGATTTTACAAATTGTAAAGTGGGCGTTTTCCGGAAAATAAAGGTTTTACAAATTGTAAAATCCTATTTCCGGAAAAAACATATTTTCCGCAAGAAAAGTTTTACAAATTGTAAAATGAGCGTTTTCCGGAAAACAAGGGTTTTACAAATTGTAAAAATAGCATATTGTAAAACTTACTCTCCATCATTACATTTCCATTCTAAATTTGTCAAAACATGATATTCCTCCAAATAATCACTTAATTTGTAAATCTTATAATTTTCTTCTACATTTTCTGCAGTATTCTCCTCAATTTTAAATCTTAACGTGGTTTTCTTTGTCCATCTAACCAGCAAACCCCGAACTTTTGTTTTTACAAATTCACAGGATTTATTTTCATTGATATCCTCAATTTTAACTTTTTCACTGCAAACAAGTACTAAAAAGTGTTCGTATTGTTTTTTATATTCAAGCTTTTTAAATAATATGTCTTTATAAAATTTTTCTGTTAGCAATGATGTCGAGCGATAAAGTTGGGCATAAGCTGGAAATTTATTTGAAATTAAAGCAGGGCTCCGATCGACAAAATGCCACTCAAAAGTATCAAAATCTCGATTAAAAAGTATATAGGGAGAAAATTTGTAAATAAAAAGTAGTCTCAAAATTAAATTAGAAAATATTTATTCGTCCTCAAATGTTTTATATTTCTCTCCTAAATGAATCTTTTCTAATAATTTCTTGTTTCAACTGAGCATTTTGTCAATTTCAATGCACCTTTTGTGGCGCCGAAGGCGCCAAAAAATCTATTTTTTGCGCCGCAGGCGAAAATTTTTTGAAATTTAGAGCCCAAGAAGATAGATTTCATCCTTTTTCAGCGCCGCAGGCGAAAATTTTGAGAATTTCAAAGGCCATAGGCCAAAAAATTCACTTTTTTGCCCAATCCCTTCCCCAATTTCATTTTCAATCAAAAAAAAGTATATACCTTCAAAAAAGTATAAATTCTATTTCGTAAGTATGGAGGTCGATTTAAAAGTAGAATACTTTTAAAAAAGTAGGAATCGGAGCCCTGAATTAAAGTGATGCCGAGCAATTTTCGTATACCTTTCTTCATTTCCTTAACAATTATATCTCTTGTAAATTCATTTGTGTTAAATGCAGTATTCTGCTCTGGAAATATTGGGGAAATTATAGGCATATAATCATTTTTTAAATTTAATAAATTCCAAGATTTAATAAAATCATTGTTGGATAATTGAGGTAAATCACTTGGCATTGTTAGTTGTTCAAGTATAATAGGCACGGGCCATTCCCTGAAATAATGTTTTTAAAATATAAGCAAGTAGTGTAGATTTTCATAGATTATTTACAAAATTGAGAAAATTCCGGAAAAAGAAGATTCATTTTTACAAATTGTAAAATAATTCCGGAAAAAGAAAATTAATTTTTACGTAAAAGTAATTCCGGAAGAGAGAAATTAATTTTTACAAATTGTATAAATAATTCCGGAAGAGAAAAATTAATTTTTACAAATTGTAAAAGATAATTCCGGAAGAGAGAAATGTTTTTACAAATTGTAAAAATAATTCCGGAAAAAGAAAATTAATTTTTACAAATTGTGAAAGTAATTCCGGAAAAGACAATTAATTTTTACAAATTGTAAAAGTAATTCCGGAAAAAGAAAATGCTTTTTACAAATTGTAAAAGTAATTCCGGAAGAGATAAACAAATTTTACAAATTGTAAAAAGATTTCGGAAAAAGAAAAATTAAATTTACAAATTGTAAAAGTAATTCCGGAAGAGACGAATTAATTTTTACAAATTGTAAAAAGCATTCCGGAAGAGGGAAAACGTTTTTAAAAATTGTAAAATGAATTCCGGAAGGAAAAATTAATTTTTTCAAATTGTAAAAGATAATTCCGGAAGTGAAAAATTAATTCCTACAAATTGTAAAAATAATTCCGGAAAAAGAAAATTCATTTTTACAAATTGTAAAAGTAACTCCGGAAGAGAGATGGTCTTTCCAAATAGACTAGAACCTACCATAAACTATAAATTTGAAAGAAACGTTGCACAAGAAATGTTAAACTTGCACTTTGATAAATTAAACAAATTTTGGCAGTCATTAATATCAAAGCTGTTCCGCTCAAATATCCAAATACATTTGAATAGAGTCCTTTTTCTAAATGATTAGGAAATACATATGTAATTAATTCAATAATTAAATCAAACAAAAATTCGACCTTATTTAAAAAAATTAAAAAAAGCTAACGTTTTGCCCAGTGTTTAACGGCACGCATTAAATCGGAAAATATTTCCGATCTGTTCTTCTCTAACAAAAAAAATTTTGTGCGATAAGCAATTCTATAACCTTCAAAAATAAAAATATTTAAATATTCCGGAAATAATTCCGGAAAAGAATTTACGTAAAAATTAATTTTTACAAATTGTAAAACCAATTCCGGAAGAGAGAAATAATTTTTACAAATTGTAAAACCAATTTCGGAAGAGAAAAATTAAATTTTTACATATTGTAAAATAATTCCAGAAACCCTCATTATTAATTCCGTCACTTTTACAATCTAGAATCTTACCTGATAAAATCAAGATACTTTGTATATACAAAGGATCTTTAGATTTAATCATTAAATTAATCTTTTCATCAATAAAATCTAAATTTCCTTTAATATTTTCAATGGTATCGTGCTTTGTTAACTCTAAATTCTCATCAATTTTTGAATCGGGGATATTGGCAATCATAACATCCATTTCTACACCTTGTATTTCTATTGCTAAAAGAGGAACCCGCGAATTTTCAATTAGGTTGATATTTGCCTCGTTCTCCTTTTTATTTAAATTTAAGTTTTTATAATTTGTAATTAGTTTAATGTCTTACTTTTTCATGTAGAGACCGGACTGAGACGAGATTTTGATAGAAAATCTCGGTTATCGAGATTAGGGTTGCCAAAATGGACCGACTCGGACCGAAAGATCGAGTCATGCCTCGATGTTTGGCCCGAAAAAGTCTCGTACCGGCCCGACTCGATAAAGTTGGGCCCGAAAAAGACTCGTAACGGCCCGACTCGATAAAGTTAGGCCCGAAAGTGACTCGTACCGGCCCGACTCGATAAAAACAGGCCCGAAAAAAATTGTCTCGGAAAAAGTCGGCCCGACTCGAACAAGACTCGATAATATTTTTACCAGATTTGTGGACAAAAATGGGAGAAATCTGGCTCCTTGGCCTTCCAAAATTCGAAAAATTTTCGCCTGCGGCGCTGAAAAAGGAAGAAATTTGGTCCTTAGCCTTCCGAATATCTCAAAATTTTTGCCTGCGGCGCTGAATGAAGGATTTTTAGCTCTATACTTTGCTTCACATCTCGAACTTACTGGCTTTAATCGATAAGCTGGATTACTGGGATTTATAGGATATATTCCGCGGGATCCCATCATCATTTAACTTTTGAAACTAAATCAGTTTTGAGAGTCTACAATTTTCCGCAGTCCGCAATTTTAACTTTAAAATACGCAGTCGTAATCTTCAGTCCACAAGTCAAAAACACACAATCTTACGCAATCCGCAGTCCACCATCCGGGATATAAGGTGTAATCTGGGAATATAAGGCAGTTTGAGTGATTAAGTCAAGGGCGTATCCAGGGGGTCCAAAATTCTCAAAGTTTTTGCCTGCGGTGCTAAAAATGGAAGAAATCTGGCTTCTTGGTCTCCAAAATTCTCAAAATTTTCACCTGCGGCGCTAAAAATAGAAGAAATCTGGTTTCCTGACTTTCCAGTAAGCCCTTATCAAAATACGAATAGTTCAATCATGGTACACTGGGATTTTATTAAGGGATTTGGTGATTAACTCAATATCACTTAAATCTTGCGTTATCCTTCAAATCTCCGATATCCATTCAAATCTCTTCAATCTTTTTAAATCCTATTACAACGTAGCACCTTAATTATCTGATATGCGATCCTGATCCCCTTAATCATCTGATCTCCTTTAATAAAACCAAATCTAGCAATATCTCACACCAATCCTCCGATAATTTAAATCACCTTAATCCCTCAAATCCACTGATATCCATTTCAATTCTCTTCAGCCCTTCCTTTACCTCCCAGATCCATCGATATACTTTTTAATTCACAGATATCCCTCCAAATCCACTAATTATTTTTAAATATATCTTTTAAAAAAAGACTCGAAAATGTCTCGATGCCCGACTCGATAAAGTCAGGCCCGAAAGTGACTCGTTCCGGCCCGACTCGATAAAGTTAGGCCCGAAAAAGACTCGTATCGGCCCGACTCGATAAAGTAAGGCCCGAAAAAGACTCGTACCGGCCCGACTCGATAAAAACAAGCCCGAAAAAAAATGCCTCGACCGTCGGCCCGACTCGAAAACGGCAACCCTAATCGAGATCGAGAATTTTTCGAGATCTCAATTCTCGGATGACACTCCCACTCCGGTCTCTATTTTCAAGGATATAATCTAGTTATTTCCATGGAGGGGATATTCTCTAATAATAACCCCCTCTCCATGGAGGGGGTAATTATTAAAGAGGGGCTGCTAAATTTGGAGTATTTAAATAAATTGCTGACTAAATCGATTTATTTTTTGATATTGGTTCAAAAAATGTTCCATTAATTAAAATTCACATGAATTTTTAATATTTTTAAATTTCGTAGTTTTTTTTCACTATTTGAGAGAGTCTAATTATTTGAGCGTTTACGGTAAACATTTCAGGAAAATCTTACGAACTCCACTTATTTTACAATTCGTAAAATAATTATTTTAAAACTCACATTTAATTTTAATTTCTCAATTGTTCCTTCATCTATAATTGCTTTTTTCAAATGTGAGTACAAAGAAAGTTTGCTGTTCCCGAAAATCAAATCATGTTCTTCAATACAAGGTCTTAAAGAATCCCTCTTAATCGAGCACATTTTACATTTTTTAAAGCTTTCTTTCTCTTTTTCGTAAATTTGATGGACAAGAAAAATTATGTCCAAATCAGAATTAGCTGCTGCTGTTTCGAGTAATTCTGACCCACCCAGAATCACTGAAAACCCTTTAAATTTATACTTAAAATATTATTTTTTAGTTCAAATCACCTCCATATTCAATTCCTTTTTCCTTGCATAAATTTCTCAACCAATCCTCAACTTCCTCCTTCAGCCAATTAATTAATTCTTGTTTCTTTTCTTTCTTCTCTTTATCTTCTTTATAAATTAACTTCAAATAATTTTTCAACTAAATATAAATAATTAATAATAATTATTTATATTATAATTTACTTACATTATTTTCATTTAAATTCTTGATTTGATAAATTTCTTGACTTTTCTCATAAAATTTTTCGGAGAAATCTTTAAAATACAAATCCTCTCTTTTACCAAATTCGGTATCTTTTTCTTTTAGTTCTCCAATTTGTTTGAATAAATCATCATCTTAATAAAGTAATTAATTTACAAATTGTAAAGGCTTTCTGGAATTTAATAAAACATTTTACAAATTGTAAAAACTTTTCCGGAATTTAATAAAACATTTTACAAATTGTAAAAACTTTTCCGGAATTTAATAAAACATTTTACAAATTGTAAAAACTTTTCTGGAATTTAATAAAATATTTTACAAATTGTAAAAACTTTTCCGGAATTTAATAAAACATTTTACAAATTGTAAAGGCTTTTCTGGAATTTAATAAAATATTTTACAAATTGTAAAAACTTTTCCGGAATTTAATAAAACATTTTACAAATTGTAAAAATTTTCCGGAATTTAATAAAACATTTTACAAATTGTAAAAACTTTTCCGGAATTTAATAAAACATTTTACAAATTGTAAAAACTTTTCCGGAATTTAATAAAACATTTTACAAATTGTAAAAACTTTTCTGGAATTTAATAAAATATTTTACAAATTGTAAAAACTTTTCCGGAATTTAATAAAACATTTTACAAATTGTAAAAACTTTTCCGGAATTTAATAAAACATTTTACAAATTGTAAAAACTTTTCCGGAATTTAATAAAACATTTTACAAATTGTAAAAACTTTTCTGGAATTTAATAAAATATTTTACAAATTTTAAAAACTTTTCCGGAATTTAATAAAACATTTTACAAATTGTAAAAACTTTTCCGGAATTTAATAAAACATTTTACAAATTGTAAAAACTTTTCCGGAATTTAATAAAACATTTTACAAATTGTAAAAACTTTTCCGGAATTTAATAAAACATTTTACAAATTGTAAAAACTTTTCCGGAATTTAATAAAACATTTTACAAATTGTAAAAACTTTTCTGGAATTTAATAAAATATTTTACAAATTGTAAAAACTTTTCCGGAATTTAATAAAACATTTTACAAATTGTAAAAACTTTTCCGGAATTTAATAAAACATTTTACAAATTGTAAAAACTTTTCTGGAATTTAATAAAATATTTTACAAATTGTAAAAACTTTTCCGGAATTTAATAAAACATTTTACAAATTGTAAAAACTTTTCCGGAATTTAATAAAACATTTTACAAATTGTAAAAACTTTTCCGGAATTTAATAAAACATTTTACAAATTGTAAAAACTTTTCTGGAATTTAATAAAATATTTTACAAATTGTAAAAACTTTTCCGGAATTTAATAAAACATTTTACAAATTGTAAAAACTTTTCCGGAATTTAATAAAACATTTTACAAATTGTAAAAACTTTTCCGGAATTTAATAAAACATTTTACAAATTGTAAAAACTTTTCTGGAATTTAATAAAATATTTTACAAATTGTAAAAACTTTTCCGGAATTTAATAAAACATTTTACAAATTGTAAAAACTTTTCCGGAATTTAATAAAACATTTTACAAATTGTAAAAACTTTTCTGGAATTTAATAAAATATTTTACAAATTGTAAAAACTTTTCCGGAATTTAATAAAACATTTTACAAATTGTAAAAACTTTTCCGGAATTTAATAAAACATTTTACAAATTGTAAAAACTTTTCCGGAATTTAATAAAACATTTTACAAATTGTAAAAACTTTTCTGGAATTTAATAAAATATTTTACAAATTGTAAAAACTTTTCCGGAATTTAATAAAACATTTTACAAATTGTAAAAACTTTTCCGGAATTTAATAAAACATTTTACAAATTGTAAAAACTTTTCTGGAATTTAATAAAATATTTTACAAATTTTAAAAACTTTTCCGGAATTTAATAAAACATTTTACAAATTGTAAAAACTTTTCCGGAATTTAATAAAACATTTTACAAATTGTAAAAACTTTTCCGGAATTTAATAAAACATTTTACAAATTGTAAAAACTTTTCCGGAATTTAATAAAACATTTTACAAATTGTAAAAACTTTTCCGGAATTTAATAAAACATTTTACAAATTGTAAAAACTTTTCTGGAATTTAATAAAATATTTTACAAATTGTAAAAACTTTTCCGGAATTTAATAAAACATTTTACAAATTGTAAAAACTTTTCCGGAATTTAATAAAACATTTTACAAATTGTAAAAACTTTTCTGGAATTTAATAAAATATTTTACAAATTGTAAAAACTTTTCCGGAATTTAATAAAACATTTTACAAATTGTAAAAACTTTTCCGGAATTTAATAAAACATTTTACAAATTGTAAAAACTTTTCCGGAATTTAATAAAACATTTTACAAATTGTAAAAACTTTTCTGGAATTTAATAAAATATTTTACAAATTGTAAAAACTTTTCCGGAATTTAATAAAACATTTTACAAATTGTAAAAACTTTTCCGGAATTTAATAAAACATTTTACAAATTGTAAAAACTTTTCCGGAATTTAATAAAACATTTTACAAATTGTAAAAACTTTTCTGGAATTTAATAAAATATTTTACAAATTGTAAAAACTTTTCCGGAATTTAATATAAACATCACTTAAATCTTGCGTTATCCTTCAAATCTCCGATATCCATTCAAATCTCTTCAATCTTTTTAAATCCTATTACAACGTAGCACCTTAATTATCTGATATGCGATCCTGATCCCCTTAATCATCTGATCTCCTTTAATAAAACCAAATCTAGCAATATCTCACACCAATCCTCCGATAATTTAAATCACCTTAATCCCTCAAATCCACTGATATCCATTTCAATTCTCTTCAGCCCTTCCTTTACCTCCCAGATCCATCGATATACTTTTTAATTCACAGATATCCCTCCAAATCCACTAATTATTTTTAAATATATCTTTTAAAAAAAGACTCGAAAATGTCTCGATGCCCGACTCGATAAAGTCAGGCCCGAAAGTGACTCGTTCCGGCCCGACTCGATAAAGTTAGGCCCGAAAAAGACTCGTATCGGCCCGACTCGATAAAGTAAGGCCCGAAAAAGACTCGTACCGGCCCGACTCGATAAAAACAAGCCCGAAAAAAAATGCCTCGACCGTCGGCCCGACTCGAAAACGGCAACCCTAATCGAGATCGAGAATTTTTCGAGATCTCAATTCTCGGATGACACTCCCACTCCGGTCTCTATTTTCAAGGATATAATCTAGTTATTTCCATGGAGGGGATATTCTCTAATAATAACCCCCTCTCCATGGAGGGGGTAATTATTAAAGAGGGGCTGCTAAATTTGGAGTATTTAAATAAATTGCTGACTAAATCGATTTATTTTTTGATATTGGTTCAAAAAATGTTCCATTAATTAAAATTCACATGAATTTTTAATATTTTTAAATTTCGTAGTTTTTTTTCACTATTTGAGAGAGTCTAATTATTTGAGCGTTTACGGTAAACATTTCAGGAAAATCTTACGAACTCCACTTATTTTACAATTCGTAAAATAATTATTTTAAAACTCACATTTAATTTTAATTTCTCAATTGTTCCTTCATCTATAATTGCTTTTTTCAAATGTGAGTACAAAGAAAGTTTGCTGTTCCCGAAAATCAAATCATGTTCTTCAATACAAGGTCTTAAAGAATCCCTCTTAATCGAGCACATTTTACATTTTTTAAAGCTTTCTTTCTCTTTTTCGTAAATTTGATGGACAAGAAAAATTATGTCCAAATCAGAATTAGCTGCTGCTGTTTCGAGTAATTCTGACCCACCCAGAATCACTGAAAACCCTTTAAATTTATACTTAAAATATTATTTTTTAGTTCAAATCACCTCCATATTCAATTCCTTTTTCCTTGCATAAATTTCTCAACCAATCCTCAACTTCCTCCTTCAGCCAATTAATTAATTCTTGTTTCTTTTCTTTCTTCTCTTTATCTTCTTTATAAATTAACTTCAAATAATTTTTCAACTAAATATAAATAATTAATAATAATTATTTATATTATAATTTACTTACATTATTTTCATTTAAATTCTTGATTTGATAAATTTCTTGACTTTTCTCATAAAATTTTTCGGAGAAATCTTTAAAATACAAATCCTCTCTTTTACCAAATTCGGTATCTTTTTCTTTTAGTTCTCCAATTTGTTTGAATAAATCATCATCTTAATAAAGTAATTAATTTACAAATTGTAAAGGCTTTCTGGAATTTAATAAAACATTTTACAAATTGTAAAAACTTTTCCGGAATTTAATAAAACATTTTACAAATTGTAAAAACTTTTCCGGAATTTAATAAAACATTTTACAAATTGTAAAAACTTTTCTGGAATTTAATAAAATATTTTACAAATTGTAAAAACTTTTCCGGAATTTAATAAAACATTTTACAAATTGTAAAGGCTTTTCTGGAATTTAATAAAATATTTTACAAATTGTAAAAACTTTTCCGGAATTTAATAAAACATTTTACAAATTGTAAAAATTTTCCGGAATTTAATAAAACATTTTACAAATTGTAAAAACTTTTCCGGAATTTAATAAAACATTTTACAAATTGTAAAAACTTTTCCGGAATTTAATAAAACATTTTACAAATTGTAAAAACTTTTCTGGAATTTAATAAAATATTTTACAAATTGTAAAAACTTTTCCGGAATTTAATAAAACATTTTACAAATTGTAAAAACTTTTCCGGAATTTAATAAAACATTTTACAAATTGTAAAAACTTTTCCGGAATTTAATAAAACATTTTACAAATTGTAAAAACTTTTCTGGAATTTAATAAAATATTTTACAAATTTTAAAAACTTTTCCGGAATTTAATAAAACATTTTACAAATTGTAAAAACTTTTCCGGAATTTAATAAAACATTTTACAAATTGTAAAAACTTTTCCGGAATTTAATAAAACATTTTACAAATTGTAAAAACTTTTCCGGAATTTAATAAAACATTTTACAAATTGTAAAAACTTTTCCGGAATTTAATAAAACATTTTACAAATTG